GTTAATAAACAAAGAGAAGTCACTTAGTATGATGGTTGAAGGCTATGGTGTTATTGATAATGTTGTTGACTATAGGGGCGAGAAAAACTATATTTCGGAATACTTCTAATGTGGTAATAATGACTGCTCTCTGTTTCTTGCATCCTATTGATATCTATACAATGTTGATCCCCACTACCTGGATATACATATCACACTTTTATATATTAAGAATATAATCTAGGGAGGAGATATATACACTAATGAGAAATGTAGATGGGTGCCATACTTATATATACACTTCTTAAAAAATGAATAGGGAGTGGATACATGAGGTATGTCTACCCTGCTTATATGTCTTAACTAAGGAATCTGGATATGATCCTATTGGAACACTGTTTAACTTATATAGTTCTTACAGCCAAGTTGAATGACCTTCTAATTAAGGTGATACTGGATTTAGGAGTCAATAGAAGCTATACAGGAACTATCTTGGTTAATAAACTTAAAGACTAAATATGGCCTAAAGAATAGCTGTATTTACTAACTATAATAGATAGAATACCAGCTGACTATAATAATGGCTAGATATGTAATGAACTCCACAATATATGACTATAAATTAATGATTACGAAGAGTTACTATTGCTTGATATAGTTAAACTTAAATATGATATAGTGCTAGGAATAGAATGGCTTACATAGTATAATCTAGTAATTGACTGGATAAAATAAACGCTTGAATTCCTGAATTGTAGTTATAGGATGATAGGAGACTGATCATCTCTAAAGGTACCCTTTGCAAAGGTAATATAGGTGTGACCACGAGGTAGGGTCCTAGCTGAAATGGTCTCAGTGGATATACCTTTAGTATATAAAGATTTCGAGGATGTGTTTAAAGAATCTATAGGGGATGCTGCTCTATCTGAATATTAACTATAGGATTATATAATACCTATTGAAGAGAGCAAGAAGCTAATACACTATGCTAAGCCCTGAAGATATACCCAAGAAGAGGAGACCTTCCTCTAGGAGTATGTGAAGAAGGAACTTGAGAAGGGGTTTATACACAAATTCATGTCACTAATTGTGTATAGAGTTGTCTTTACAACTAAGAAAGATAGTAAACCCTGGTTATATATCGATTTCTGATCAACTAATGTAATCACTATTAAATAGAGACACCCTCTACCTTGTATTAATAAGTTGTAGGATTAACTACTTGGTATGAAGTTCTACATCACTCTAGATATAAGGGACATCTTTAATAGAAACAGGATAGCTAAAGGTGAGGAATGGAAGACAGTGTTTAATATATGTTAGGGCCTTTATGAGTACCTTGTAATGCTCTTTGGGTTAACTAATGCTCCTGCCACCTTTTAAGTATTGATTAACAAAACCCTGAAAGGATATCTTGATGTTTTCTGTATGGTATATCTTGACAATATTATTATCTTCTTGAAAACTATGAAGGAATATATGGTTCATGTTAAAAAGGTCCTTTAGTGGCTTAGGGAAAAGAAGCTCCCTATAAAACTCAGTAAGTGTGAATTTCATAAGCAATAAGTAGTGTTCCTGGGCTATATTGTTTCTGATTAAGGACTGGAACTAGACCTAAAGAAAATTAAGCCACTACAGCAATAGCTTATACTGACAAATGTCAAGGATATATAATCCTTCCTAGGCCTGGCTAACTACTATAGATGGTTTATTAAAGGATTTTTAAAGATCATGGCACTATTAACAAACCTGACTAAGAAAGAGGTTCTGTTTATCTAGACTGATAAGTGTAAGGAAGCCTTTAATGGCATTATTCAATGGCTAATCACTGTATCTATTATTACACTATTTGATCTAGAATGCGAAGTGACACTAGAGACAGATGTGTCTGACTATATAATTAGTGGCTGCTTAATATAAAAGGATGACTAAGGTAAGCTATAGACTGTTATATATTTCTCTCACAAGATGATAGGACTAGAGCTTAACTATAATATATATAATAAGGAGCTACTGGTGATAGTGGAATCCTTAAAAATATAGAGAGTATATCTATAGGGGACTAAGTACCCTATCTAGATTCTGATAGATCATAAGAACTTACTCTATTAGACCACTACAAAGGAGCTGAATTGATAGCAAGTCAGGTGGTCTGAACTACTCTTGACTTACTGGTTCAAGATAACTCATATCTAAGACACTAAGAACAGATATGTGAATACCTTAAGCTGAAGACTAGACTACAAGGCTAGGAGCAAGTCTAAACCTATATTGATACTCAAGCTTAATAATAGATCACTAGTCTACTAGAAACTGATGACTAATATGCTTGTGCTGATAGATATCAGCCTTATAGATAAACAAAAACAGAGTGTGATCTAGGAATGACATGATTTAAAGACTATAGGATACTAGGGGATTAGCAAAACAATTGAACTCATTACTAGAGACTTTAATCCCTGGCCTGGACTGTAGAAGGATGTAGAGGCCTATATCAAGGATTACAAGATATACGCCAAAATCAAGCACTCTAGATATAAACCTTATGGACTGCTTATATCCCTAGCAATACTAGATGAATCATAGTTGTTAATAGTGATTGACTTTATCACTGATCTATTATATTCTTTAGATCCCCTCACAGGTATAGAATATGATAGTATTATAGTGGTGATGGAATAACTAACAAAGTGGGCTTACTTTATACTGTTCCTTAGAATAGTAAAGGTAGTTGATCTAGTCTATATGTTTATAGACAAAGTCTTTGCTTGATATAGAATGCTCAAGGAAATCATCTTGGATAGAGATAAGCTATTTATATCAACCTTCTGGTAATCACTTATGGACCTATTAGGTATCAAGTATAAGCTATTAATAGCATTTCACCTATAGATAGATAGGTAGATAGAAAGAACCAACTAGGTGCTTGAATAATATCTATAATACTATTTGAATTACGAATAAACTAATTGGGTTAAGCTACTCCCTACAGTACAGTTTGTCTATAATAATAGCGCTACCTAGACTGGAATCTCTCCTTTCTTTGCAAACTATAGGAAACACTTAAACTTGGATTATAACCCTAAAGGTATTAAACTAGTAGCGGATAAAGCGCAAGTAATGATATCTTGTATAAAAGAACTATACTAAATCTTACAAAAACACTTAGAAGAAATAACTATGAAAACAATAAAGTACACAAACAAGAAAAGGACTGAGGGACCAGCCCTGAAAGAGGGAGGGATGGTTTACCTGCTAAGAAAAAACATCAAAATAAAACGACTCAGCGGCAAGCTAGATTACACAAAACTGGGACTCTACTAAATTAAGAAGAAATATAGGCTAGTCATGTTCAAACTGGAGCTCCCAAAGTATATGAGAATCCACAATACCTTTTATATCTCCCTCTTAGAGCTAGCCCTAAACAATACACAACAATCAGACAAACTTATCCTGATCACACTAGAAGCACAAGAAGTATAACACAACAAAATAGAAGTTAATCAGATTATTAGCTATAAATTTATTAACAATGTTCTCTACTACTTAGTACACTGGAAAGACAGTCAGTATAATAACAATATCTAGGAACTCTAGAGCAAGCTTATGACTGGCTTAATTAAGTTATATTATTAATATCACTAGTCCCTAAGGGATCTCTAGACCACTAGATAGAATCAGAATTATTAGTATAATAATAGGAGGCCAGTATAGTATTAATAGTAGGACTGTACACTAGCGGACTTCTTAGAGCTACTGAACTATCCTGGGGAAGCTCCTTAAACACTCCTAACACTATTATTTCTTGCTGAATTATTCTGCTAGATATATTTAATAGGTAGGTGAGCCACTCCTTTGTCTTTAGACCTTCCTCTTCTATCTCTACTAGTGTCTAGTGTATTTAGGTAATTGCCCGCTCCTTTTCTAGCAGAATAGTCTCTGCCTCTTTCTTTTATTCCCTGACTTTTTGAAACTCCTCTAAGGAAAAAGTCCTATCACAATCTCTCTAATACCACAGACACTTGGCATACTTCTTTGATTGCTCGCAATTATAATAACATAACAATCCTGTGTTTACACAACTTATATAGATAACTATTACTAGATTATTAGGATCCTCTAAAAGTGTGTTAGCAATACTGTTCAGACATTCATGTTCTGTTTAATATGTGGCTTAAGGAATGTGGTGTTTAGTGATACAAAAGGGTGTCTATATAGTGAGCTATAGGAAAGGAAGAAGAGAACTTGGCCCTTTAGGCTGGGAGATAACCTATCTTAAGTACTTGCATGGACACAAGAATAATAGGAGGGGGAAAGTGTTACAATCTAGGCTGTAGAGCAGCCGCCTAGGTACAAGGAATTCCAAGTCTAGAAGGTTTTCTAAAGATACCACTGTGTTATATAACTTCTAGGAAAGGAAGTCTTGGCACTATGGTACCTTGCTACCATTCAGTATGGAAGTATGGTAATATGGAACCCACAGCTATACAGCACTATATAGAGGGACATCCCGTCCCGACTTTAGATAGGACTCTTGTAGTCAACTTCGTTAACTAGTGAGTATACCCAGCTCGCTACAACACTGCTCTTAGTGTATACGAATAGTTCCAATTGCTATTCTATCGTTTACTCTGGCCTAGCGCATAACCCTGTCCTGCATCCTCAGCTGCTAAACCCAGTTGAACCCGACGTTCAGAGCGGTTCATAACAATCTGAAGGGCGGTCGAACGAGGGGACTCTGCTGAAGTCTACGGACAATGACGTGCCGACAGCGTAATGTGAAAGTGACGGTCATTACAGCAGCATGTAGGCCTCGAAACTTGTTTTGTGTGGAGTCGCGAGCTCCATTGTCATCCACTAGACCAAGGAATGCCCCATCGAAAGTTGTTGCCTGGTGCAACTTAACTTTGGCGCAAGCAGGCTTTCCTCAATGCAGCCCCAATGCCCCTTTCGCGCCATTCTAGCTCTGATGCGGCCCTTCCACGCGCGGACCCTGCCGCACGAAGTCTGCTGTCAAGCTTTCAATCTGGTTGGTAACCGCCACCATGCTGAACGTTTCCCGTCATGGTCTCTTCGTCGACGTCGTCGTCCTCTGCTGCAAGACCAACGACGACCTGCCTTCGGTGCCTCTGTCAACCATCAATGCCGTCGAGATTATACTAAAGGTGTTTATATCATCCTTGTGTAGAAATTTGTGTATCAATTCGACAACCCGATGTATTCTCCTTCACACATTTGACATTGTGGCTGATCGGCAAAGCGTGCTAACAAGCGGATACGAGTTCGAGTCTCGTTGATGTCCATCTTTTTTGCTTTTTGCTATCGACACCTGCTGATGATACTTGTGCTGGATGACTAGCGTCGCTCATCACGGCAAAGAGGCGAGGTTCAGTAGATAGATAGATGCATCTTCGTTACTCAAGTAGACGCTGCCTGAAGAGTGCCGTCCGACAGGGTAGCGGACATCGCATTTTTCGACGGCTGACCCTTTTCCGGGCACACTCTGCAATGGCGACGATCAGGTGTTCTGCTGCGTAGAAAACGTCCCTACTTGGTGTTTGGCTAGCTAATGTCACGTTGTTCACGACTCGTCTCGCACCAATCCTTGCCATTCTGCTGAGAGTCGACGAACAGATAGCGCCGGAACCACGACAGAGCGTTCTTCGACATGGAAGACCTGGCTGGCCGATAGTGAGGAAGGGTCTGTGTGCATACTGCATCGGGGATGTGACCGCCCTTGAGAGTCACAAAGCGATGGCGTCTAGAAAGGAAACGGACATGCTGTCACGCTGAGCAATAACGATATACAGCTTGAAGCCCGCCATGGCCAAGCGCATCTTTACACTCCACGCTAAGCGATTGATTTCAGGACTCGACACCTCTCCTGGTACTTGACTTTTGTCCTTGATTGCTGTCCGGGGTCTTGGGAGTTAAGCGCCGAACTCAAGTACAAAAGCTCAAAGCTAATAACCGTCTGTCCATAGCCCGAGATGACCAGAGGCATCCCACCCGTCCAGACACTCAAGCAACGCAGGGAAAGCTAGGAACAGGCAAGCAACGGCTTCACCAGCGCGGTGTTCAAATCATATTGAGGTTCTTCTCCCTGGGCGTGTCCATGCAGCCCATGACTTGGCTTTCACAGACCATTGAATGCAGCCCTCCTTCGTTCGTGGACTACACACTGCGTGTTCAAGCTCATGCTCCTCGATCTGCTCGTGTCTTTGATGAAAGGTCCATGCATGGAACTCGGTAGCCAAGCGATTCTGCTTGTCTCAGGCGCCTCTCGTGCGATGCTTGGGCCGCAACACCTAGGATAGAAGGACAAGCATATGTTGTGGCTGCCCATGCCTGCGGCTCCTCAGACAAACATCCTGGGAAGGTCGTCGGGGGGCCAGACCCCGTGGTCGCTGCACAAGACGCTCAGCTGGTGATCTAGCCCTGCCGCTCGTCTGCCGACGGTCGTCGTGTTCAACTCGACTACAAGAAGCCATGAAAAGGCTGGCCGGATTTGATGTAGGAAGTCACGTCCGTCTCTTGATGTTAGCCTGGCCGTCGTGTTATACGCCAGCAACCGACGCTAGAGCGGCCCGCCACCAAGCTTGTCCTTGGTGCAGCTCGAACTAATATCGCTGGGACCATACTGCGGGCCGAGAACACCACATTTGTGCTCGAGCGGGTCTGCTGACAGGATTCGAGACACTGTCGCGTGGTATTCAGAGGCAAACAGTTGATCAGCAGGCCTTGAGGGGTTTTGAGACGGCTCAGTCAATGGCGGCCTCGAAGCCGATCCTTGTGACTGCGGCGGCGGCGAGCTCAGATAACTCGAATTTAGGCAACAACCCGCCGTAAAGCAGGACAGTTGGCCAGATGATGATGCGCATGTAGCTACATCAGTCTGCGGCGGAGGGAGGCAAACCCAGGCTCAGCTAGCCGCAACTTCAAGTGTCCACTTCGATGTGATAGCTATCCGCAAATAGTAATTCTTCCCCACAATCTCGACCATTCATATGAAGCATGAGCGCCAGTTTCACAATGAAAATTCCACCTGCGGCTGATTCTGCACGCCAAGATACGTTCGAAAAGACTCCAGGTGATCTAGATATGATCAGAGCCGAGGACCCAGGTCAACATGTCCCTGAGGCGCAAAGATATTCGGTCAGGGCCGATGACTCGAAATTGATGAGAGACCGGGTACCAGCGTGAGACACAGGAGGGACGAGGCGACCTCTCTGACACGGCGACCATAGGGTCGTCGACGCGGTCTTGATCTTGCAGCAGCAGTAGCACCAAGGCTCTGCTGTAGTCTTTGGCAAAGCAAACTATGCGGTCGCCTCTTCTGTTGCAACTTGAAGACTGATGCCGTCGATTACGGATGGGCTGGTCAGAAATCCGAGCCTTTCCACTCACAGATGGAGGGAGCCATCTACGAACTCGGAAGCCGCTGCGAAGACGAAAAGCGAGAACGAACATCTTTCGGACCGAATACGAAGCTGGTGTGCCCTCAAGACAAGTGCACTGGCGAGAAGGACGAGTACGCGAAGCCTGAACCAGTTGCAAAGACAATCAGAGGAGAACAGGCATCCTCGGGCCTTGTATGCTCGCCGTCACCACCAGTCTGCTGGGCATAATCATCTCGTGATGAATCGATCTCGGCGGCATCAACGACCATCGCGGCGGCTGAGAACCGCGCTCAGTCAATATGCGGGAGGCAAACGCTCTTAAAACTTCGATCGCTGTGAAAAGACGCCGCTTTTGGCTTTGCGGACGTCACGAACTGACGAGTAGCCTAGGTCGTAAGACGGGCTGCCACCCATCGCCGTCCGCAAGCGCTGACCGTGCCATCAGTCCACAGAGACACCCGTTCCAGCCTCTGCTGGCTCTGCGTGCTGTGTGCGCGGCAAGAGACGTGTGAAGAGAGCTCAGAAAGGTTCCGTTATGTGTGACGCATGACGAAAGCGGACGATGACCAACGTGAACGCGACTTTTTGAAGGCTAACGCAGGCGAGGCCGGTTGGTAGTCAAGGTGGGACGAGACCGGTCGACGATGGAAGTCATAGGAGAGACTGGACTGAGCCGATACGTGGGCGATCAACGACATGCCTGTGCATGTTGTTCCTTCAGCCGTGCACCAGATCTTGCGACCGGTAGAGCCGTTGGTAGCATCCGGCGGCCTTCCCAACGCTCGAGACTAGCAGTCAATCCACGTCACGAATGCCTATACTCGCCTTTGCTCTAGACGCTATACTAGCACATCCGCTTGTCTTTAAGAGCTGCCCCGAGGTGATGCGATACTTGAAGACTGTGACCATCAGTTGAGGCAACTCTCATGATATGTTCTGCGAATATGACAGACCTCCAAATAGTCGTCCAAAAGAGCTGTTTTAGTGAAGAAGCTGTCCCCGCGGAGGTTGGGCCGCGCCGAAGCTGATAGCTAGATCGGGAAGTTCAGCAAGAAGCCTCCCGTAGAGCCCCCGGGTTTTGTGGTCGGGGAGGCAAGTGTAAAAAGATCGATTATAGTGCCTTCGAAGGAGCAATCAACCGGTCTGAGATCGGTCTGTGGCTTCATCAGCGAGTAAGTTCAGGCGAATGCACATGGCTTCCACATGAGCGCCCGGGCCGTTGTACCGTATTGATCATATCTGAGGCCTCCGTGGTAAATTGTCAGGTCGGTACAGCCAGTCAGGGGCAATGATAGGACGAGGAGCCAGAGATGAGCGGTTCCTCCAGCTCGTGACCCGAGTTTGGACAATCTCTACAGCGCCCTCCCTGGCCAGATTGTCTCGATATGTTTCTGCCAGTGTGTGAAGTTTAAGAGAAGCTCATCTCGAACCACAGACTTGAACGGCGAGAAAGGCCTTCAGCGCCCTCCCTACCTAGAAGTCTAGAATAGCAGCTCGGATACCGAAATGTAAAACTGCCATTTGTGTGCATAGCCTGGATGTCTGCCAGCGTAGTGGCACCAGAGAGCCTCTTGCTGATACTTCCTGTCCACATGACCCCTCCAGGGCTTGAGGCAACGATCTGCCGCTGGAGCAGCTCGCACCAATGCACTGGCACTGATACTATAACCTGCTTTGGCCTAAGTACCCAAGTAATTTTCTCAGGTCCGACCAGTTCAACCAGTCCCCACCACCTACAATCCCTCAAACGTATGCAGCGCAGCATAGGCCGTAGACGCCGCGCTCTGTGGATTCTGCCCGGTGATCAATCGATTCTCCTTCACGTGGTAGTCATCCCATACGCCTGCTCCTCGAACATCTGCGACGGTCAGTCAGCGCTCGGCCTCAGGAAGATGCACTCACACTTCGCTCCCAGCTGCTCAGCCCAGTCGTCGACCAGTGGACGATCCCAGGAGTTGAGGAATTTCATAACGTCCATCGTGTACTCCGCCTCACGTGTGAAGCCAGTGATGCTCTTCCCGTGAATGATAGACTTGCCAGTCTCCTTGTCAATGATGCCCGGGAAAATTGCTGGACCGTGGCAAACGGCAGCCACAACGCCTCCTCGATTCCACACGTCACTGGCGATCTTCTGTAGTCCTTTGGCAGATGGGAAATCGTAGAGCTAAGACAATCAGATAAGTTGGAACAGCGTGGGAGGATCTACCGCAGCGTGACCAGCACTGGCGAAGAACAGACCGTACTCGCTGGGGTCGAGAGTGTCCGGAGTTGGCATGTTGTCGAGCTTCTTGCGGAACTCGCTGTTCAAATCTTCGTATATCGCCTTGTCCTCGCCGTTGAGGAAGTCTTCCGTCAGACTGAGGGTGTCCGGTGTGTATTTGCCAGTCTCAGAGGAGAGATCGACCTCGAATCCAGCTTTTCGGAGGACTAGAAAGGGATGAAGGCCCTCAGTGATAAAGAAACCGGTCGGATCGCCATTGTGAAGGGGCTTGGTGGCTGCTGTGACAGCTATGAGGGCTTTGCGTGGGAGAGACATTGTCGTGGACTGAGTATCAGGAGCCTTGTTCGTTCGATGAGGGTGAGCTACCGCGTCAAAGGCCTTCTTCACTGTATGCATTTGGAGGCGTTCCTGGCTGGCACAGACACGGCTAACGCGATGTTTTGTAGCTAAAGAAGCGGTCGAAGACGCTCAGAGAACCTCAGTGAAGTCGTGTAGCATGATTAAGCAGTTTGACTCGGGTACACAATGCTAGCGCTATTAGGTATGTGTCGATCCTATTTGGGAAGGGTTCCTCGTCCTGAGAGTGGTCGAACGAAATAAGCATTGTTTGGCGAGTCTTGGTTCCAACGGCTTCGCTGCTCAAATGAGACTAGGCGCCAGTGAAGTAGCAAAGAATCGATCGGAGAGAACCGGCTTTGGGCCTCTTTGCGAGAATGACAAAGTAAATAGGTCCGCAGTGACGACTTAGCTTAGGATCGAAAGAGAACTTGCCACAAGGTCTAGGGAAAGCTCAAGTCTGCGCTATCATAGCGTGCCCGTGTTGGAAGTAACAAGGATTGCTGTGATACCGTTTAGTCAGCGAAGCTTTCTCCACCCGCTTGGGTCTAGTGGACAGGTCGCTTGATCCATGAATCAGGGGCGCTTAACTTCGCGACGTGGGACTCACCCACCGACGCCTCTAGTGGGGCCACGACGTGGCATTGCCTCCAGACAAAGAAGCAGACTGAAAAGGTTGGTTCGAGCAATCCCCACTGCGATGTTGTCTGATAGTTGCTGAGAACTTTCCACGTTCTCGGAAGCGTGAAGGACATCGGGCCTAGAGATCGCTACGTCGTGGCTGGCAACGGCCCCCCGAAGTGTGTGCATACACTGACTTCGCCTTCGGCTGATATAAAGACGCTGCCCTGCATCACTCGACCCGATCAGCGCTGGTTCGCGAGAGCCTTGCTGGTCATATACACGACCAACGCGCCGCTCCGGTGAACCCGTTGTGAGTGCCTCCGTTATTCCAGGGCCTCGGCCACCATAGCCCCAGGGGAGCAACAGCAACACCTGTCTCCGGGAGAGAAGTTCATTTGACGTCGATAGCTCTGTGAAAACTTCCTTTCTCCATGGCAAACGCGGACATGCTGTCAGAGACGCAGAAGCTGAGAAAGTTCTCTCATCCTGGTTGTCTGCCCTTCGGTGACGACATCCCTTCGCCCGAAAGCCGTCTACATCTAGTAGGGGAACGCCGGAGTGGATGAGCGTCGGACATTCAGGAGTTCGTACTTCACGGACTGGACCGGTGAACCATCTCTTGATCTCTTGAGCCACTGATTGACTAGAAGACCTGCTTGCCCCGCTGAGAAACGCAACTCCGAATCACCATGGCGCTTCTATTGCATTTCCTGTCGATATGGGCTCTGCGGCAACTCATATCTGTGGCGGCCTCCTGACTCCACGACCGATGTGGCAGCATCAGCAGACTTCAGGTACCCATTAGCGCCGCTTCCTAGCCCTGCCGATGTGTACTTCCGCTTCTTCCGTCTCATAAACAGGTAGACGATGCCCAGCAGGGGCGCAACGACAGCCATCGTGGCTCCTACCCCGATTCCGACACTTGCGCCGACAGAAAGTCCCGTCGATGTGGTGTCTGCAACGGCAGAAGTTGGTGTGGGAATTGCGGTAGACGTAGCAAGCATCGTAGGTACTGGCACAGTCGAGACGACTCCAGCGACTGAGATCGTTGCAGGCACGATTGAGGCTATCGGTCGCTCGACGACCAAGTTGTCGTCGTCGCTGGTATCGCAGCAGTCGTTCGTGCTCGAACTTTTGCGGCAGCAATAATTGCCGGTCTCGCTACAATAGCCCAGTTGTGCATTGCCCTCCCCATCCTGTGTAAACCATACGTTAGCCTCGGTGCAGCAGCATCATTATTCTACGCACGACGGAACACCCTCGCGCTTGAAAGTACCGTCTGAACGGTGCACACTCCTCGGCGGACCACGTCGGATCACTGCAGCTTTCGATCCAATATGTCTGGCCGTCGAGGCTCCCTACATCGTTGCCGAAGTTCGAGCACAGTCCATTGGGCAAGCACCAGTCAACACTCCTGTTCGGATTTTCCTCTATGTTGCGACAACACATGGAGGATGCGCTCGTGGGATCGCATGGCGTATAGGTCCGCAATTGGGCTAGGTGAGGGGCGCTGCCCTTATAGCAAACCTGCGTAAAGTTCGACATGATCGTGGGCGACGAGCAGTTGGCATGGGCGACGATGAATTGCTGCAGACTGTCCAAGATACATTACACTAGAATATAAGATCGACGGGGACATGCCATATCCCATACTGGACGATAGTATACGAGGATGGTTCTGGCAATTGGGCTCCCTCAGCTGATTCGCTCGCAAGGAACATTGGCAGGGATCTTCGAATTAGCAGCAAGGCGTTTCAGGGATAGCCCCGGGCCTCGAAATAGCCTGCGAGCCTGCATCAGGGACAGTCGGCTCTCTGGCTCTGATCTCTGTTCCAATGTATCGCATTGTCTGGACATAGAGTCGTCGAGCTTCTCGCGAAGAGAAAGCTTTGGAAGTCGTAAGATCTGAAGTCTGAGCGTGATGCAGATAGCTCAGCGCGTGCCTGCCAATGCTTCAATGACGTCTGCAGCAGCATCAGCGGCGCCGGCAGTCTGATTTGAAACTTGGGAAACCTACCGCTTTCATATTTGATCCCTGGGCTCAGTGACATACCATCTGTCGGTTCTCTGCCGTTGCGCCACCTTGGTCGTGGTCTGAATCATGCGTTTCGCAAGGTTGAGAAAGTCCGAATCCGTGTGAGACAAATACACGATGGCTCGACGAGCGACTTTGGTCATCATGTCTTGCGATCAGTCCTGAACAACGCAAGTTCAAGCATACTCTCAGGATGTTCGGAACCCGAAGGTACCTGTTCTCTTCCCGAATCCGCGAACAGGCGTTGTGTATGTTGATGCAGCTTTGGGGAACTCACAGCCCTCATCGCCACCATGCTCTGAATGGTGGACTCCATCAGTACGCTGACCAAATACGCCGCAGCCCGTTTTCGCCCTCAAGGCCGAAGAGCATAGTGAGGTCAGTCTAGCTCGTGCACGGCCTGGGTTGACTGCTCCGTTCACCGACTGTAGCGGCGATGAGCCTGAGATAGTCCTGGGCGACACTCATCGCCGACTTCCAAGCCCTCGACATCTGACTTTCTGCCCTGGAGTGCTCCTAGCCCGTGCCGCAAAACCGTGAGAATAAGTGCGATGGGACAGAAAACTGCTGAAGAAGCTAATGCGGCTGAAGCTGTACATTCAAGTTCGACGACTTGCATGTGGCGGCGAAGCGCGATCGGGGCGGTCCAGGTTCCGCCGTGGTCTACGGCCGGCTGCACGAGACTCGACTGGCTTTCGAACAGCCCTCTACAAAGTCAGTGTACAGGGAGTCTTCACCGTTGTACGCGTTCGTGACCATGGACTTCCGCTTGTGGGCGTTCAATACGCGTCATCGCGATTCTGAACTGCGGGGAAACTCCACTCCATTAACCTTTGAAGGCAGGTACCGGCACTGTGACCACCAGGAAGCCAATGCGACCACACAATGACATCGTCGAAAATTCTTCTGGTAAGCTTTCGATAAAATGCAATGGAGCGTGACCATGACTGCAACTCGTTGTGCTCAGACCGTCTCCGAGTCCTTGGATTTCCATCACCATGCTCAACATGCGGACTAATTCTGGCGTCCTCGCTTGTCTGACACTACCATTGATAGCTTCTTCACAGTCAATAACCCCGTCAATCTCATACAATGGCAACGCAAACACGCCTCAGATGGGCTGGGACACGTACAATGCTTACGGGTTGGACTATAACGAGACCATCGTTCGCACCAACGCACAGCGACTCACCAATCTCGGTTTTCGAGATCTAGGCTACCGGGTTGTCATTTTTGACGATGCCATGACTGAGAGGCAGCGTGCTGAGAACGGTAGTCTGGTCGCGAACGCGGAAAAGTTCCCATCAGGTCTAGCAACATTAGTGGACGAGCTTCACTCCGACGGACTGCTCTTCGGAGTCTACTCATCTGCAGGTAGGTCAGAGAGAGCTCGGCTGTGACGAGACTGACATCTGCCAGGGAAGTACACATGCGGGAAGTACCCGGGCAGTTTGGGCTACGAAAAGACCGACGCCGACTGGTGGTCGAGCCTAGGCGCGGACTACCTCAAGTACGACAATTGCTACAATGAAGGCCTGTCCGGCACGCCAAAGCTCAGCCAGGACCGCTACGCTGTCATGTCGAACGCCTTGAACACTTCAAACAGCAACTTCACCTACAGCCTGTGCAATTGGGGAGACGGTAAGCCACTGTCCTTCATATAACGCTCTGCTGATCGTCCTAGACAAACCCTGGGAATGGGCTTCCACCATCGCAAACTCCGCCCGCATCTCCGGTGACATCTACGACTCGTTCCTCGTTCCAAGCACGTCATGCCCCTGTGGGCCCGACGAATACTACTGCGAGCTGCCTGGCTACGGTTGCTCCGTCCTCAATATTCTTGGCAAAGCAAGCTACATCACCTCGAAGAATCAACCCGGCTACTGGAACGATCTGGACATGCTCGAGGTGGGCAACGGCGGGATGACTACAGCGGAGTATCGCACGCACATGACAATGTGGGCGGCGATCAAGAGTCCGCTGATCATGGGAAACAAGCTGGACCAATTGAGCGTCGCGGACTATCAGATCCTTACAAATCCGGCTATTTTGGCTCTGAGCCAGGACCCTGTTGGAAGCGCAGCACAGCGAAGGGTCGTCAAACAGGTAGAGCCGAAGGACGAGTATGGCTTCGGTGAGGTGCAGATCTGGAGCGGCCAATTGTACGGCGGCGACTACGTAGTCATCTTCCTGAACGCTGCAAACGACACGCAGGACGTCGAGGTACCACTATGGCAGGTCTTCGGCTTGATCACTGCAACACAAGCCGAAGAAGACTGGGCAACGTACGATTTGTGGGCCGAAAACGTAACCATCAGCGCAGGCGTGGCCAGCATGGTGCTGAATGGGACGATGGACCTCTCCAGCAGCTCCACGAATGGCACACTCCAGGCTACTACAACGCCACCGAGATGAGCTGGGAAGCTGGGATAATGGCCAATGATACCAGACTACTCGGATCATACGAAGGAATGGTGAGCGCAGGTGGTACAGTGCAGGCGTCTGTCGATGCCCATGATGTCAAAGCATGGAGGTTTAGGAGTATGGGAAAGGGCGCTTCGAGAAAGAGGGATGAGCTGTGAGGTCAGAGGCGAACCATGCGGTACCCCTCAGTCGTTCCTGCTGGCGGAGCTCGCACACGCCCCTGCCGGATAAAATGTCCAGCTGATCGCCCTGAATGCGTTAAACAAAAGCGAATGGCCCTGCTTGCCAAGCACAAGCGGAGGAAACTGCCAAGCAAGAGCGTAACGCTCTAGCACTTCCAGCTTTCGTCAAGGACTGGACGGCCAGCAGAGGGTGTTGAATAGACATTCATTCATGCGGGTAAAATGCAGCTGCTATGCTAAAAGGGAGTTTCGTGGTTGCCCAAACGAGTGGCGCCCGAAGGGCGTAATGGCCGAGGTCAGAAAGAAAATGTGGCGACCCCTTTTCCTTGCGTCCACACCATGACTTCGTCTGCTTCTTGACGAGTCCATCCAGACAGTCAACTTGACGGTACACTCTGCGCTTACCTCGTCTGCACGTAGATATCTGAGCTTCCACTGCTCTGATACCCCTCAGTCGCAACGATCTGATAGTAATGCGTCCCCAAATTCAACCCATTGCGGGCCCAAGCATTGAAGTGATTCTGCATAGTCACCGAACCACCAACACGCTTGCCCTGGCGAACGGACCAGTACTGCTGAAAGGTCCTAGTCCCGTCGATAGACGGCTGGTTGGTGCGGGTGGAAACATAGACGTTGTAAGTGCCACCGTCAGTGGTGAAGCTACCCTTGTACTGGGCGCCCTGGGACGGGTTGTATGTGCCGTAGGATTCAATGACATAGTATTCGACCAGAGGGTTGCGTGTCCAGCCGTAGATGGCGAGGTAGCCGTTTCCGGAGGGGTTGAAGGCGCCGCCATAGTTGATGGTGCTGGACGTGATGAGTGAGAGCTGTACCTGAGTTGGGACAGTGACTTACCGGCCATTGCCTGGGTTCCAGCCTTTGCCGCCGACGAAGTTACCGGTGTTGCGCCAGTTTACTGTATAGCGCGAGCCTTCGAGTAGGTTGAACCTGAGGCATTGTCAGCCGGTGGTACCATCTCAAGGGCTCCGAACGTGACGGCAAGCGCCGTCCGCCGGTCGATCTGGGGCGACTTACGTAGCAGAGCCACCACCATCAGTCCACCACGAGTAGAAGTAGCCGTTATGGGTACCGACCGAGTTGGCTGTTGACTGGCGCTTCTCGAGAGCCTCGGTGGAATTGCCCTCATCTCGCTCATGAAGGAAGTCGAATGGGTAAGCCATGACGCCAGTAAAGGCCGTCAAGGCGACGAGGAGGGACTTGAGAGAAACCATACTGGCTGTGTCTGGGACTGATTGAAGGCTGGACCTGTTGACTGAGGCGGCTGGTGAACAGAGTGACCGTCGAGCGTTCCGGTCGAGTCTTATGTAGTCGTGAGACCATCATGATTGAGCCTGAAAATCAGGACAACGACATGGGCAAGCATGAGCAATGGTGCAGTAAACGACCAGGCTATTATCTGGGCCAATCTGCCATCGATGCCAAGACCAAAGCATGTTGTCTCAGGGAAAGTCAGCGGAACCAACGCTTGGCATTCGAGGATTGCCGCCAAGGACACAGGCGAAGTCGGCAGCCCTGCAGGATGTCTGTGCTGTTGACCTCGCCAATCAGCCGGATAAAAGCAAAGACTGGACAGAATTGCGACTTGAAAGGTTCCTTGATTTTACCGACAAGGTCGCCTTGTCTTGGCATTAGTCCCTTCATTCACTCTGAAACACGAGGGTGGTCCAGGGTCGAACAGGCAATTGCATGTAATCCGAAGTAAACACCAGGTCACTCATACTGGACCATGATGGGATGCGCTCCGAGCCAGCATATCTGGACTCCGGACGGGAGAGCTCAGTCACGTCCTATGGGTGTGGATGCAGTGGTGGATTGGGAGGATATGAGCGATTCCATACTTAGTTACCAAGATCGAATGGTCAGCTGCTCAGGCCCGAACCGGTATCGACGCAAGCGATACATGGTCTGCCGTGTCAGTTGAATGAATACATTGATTTCGAGCAGCGCAGTCGTGTTCCTGCCTTGGCAGTGTGAAAAATTACCAATCGGCGCATTTCGCAAAACATGTCCCAGCCGGCACATGGAGGGCCCAATGGGAAACATTCATCGATCAGCTGAAAAGACCCATTGACCAGTGGTGGCCGGATCGCAAAGGGACGGGCAGTTGCGAGAGATTCTGATGGATCGCAGAAACTCTGACTGGGATGGCCTGGGCTTCTGGGGTGCATCGGCCCTGCAGCTGCAGGCAGGGGTTCATCATATCGGCTAAATTGAATATCAGGTATAAGTCTTCGGACTCGAAGTCTTCACCATGCTAAGCCCGCCGCCGAGAATGATTCCAGGACGAGTTCTGGACCGAATGCGAATCTGTCGTCAGCCAAGTTCGCAGCCCTGTGCTTACATAGTGTCCTCGTGCGTCCATACACCGACAAGTTTGAACAGCTCCGGATGATATTGGATGGCGCCATCTCATTGTTTGTTGCTTCACACCACCTCGGAAGACAACCTCGGTCAGTCGCGATATCAGCTTGTCGCAAAGTAGAAAGCCTCTCCAGATCGGCCGAATATTCGTATACGATGGTGTAGGACCATTCCTTGGCAGCGGATAAATTCTGCGATGGCGTGTCCGCCCATGTCGTCGACAGCTTTGGACTATTGCAGTACGAGAGTCTGGCCATGCTGACGGGTGCCTTATGTTCAGAATGTGGAATTGGACAGACCTCTGCAATTGCAGAGGAGCCTGCACGTGCACGTCGCCGTAGGCCGAGTTCGTGGTATCTGCGGTGTGCTGAGAGAGCCATTTCAAAGATCGATAGCAGAGCTTTTCGAGTCTCGTGGACTACTTCGCTTTGGTCAGGCTCAGAGCTTTAGCCGTTGTATTTCGTCCCCGCTTCCATTCAACCAATCTTAGCGTTCGAAAAGTCCATCTCCGGATGTTGCTGCATGAATTTCGACAACATGTCTTGCTTCTTCTGCTCGTCGCTGGTCGGCTTGCCTTGACGCTTCATCTCCTGATCGTACATCATCTTCTCCACCATGCCTCTGGTCTCACCATCGAGGTCTGGATCTCGTCAGTCGTGGCTGGCATGTCGGATGTTTGCCAGACTTACCACTCAGCTTCGAATTCTCTGGCGTGATCTTCGTAGTGTCGAGTTTGGGCGCGGAAGTCACAATATGTGCCCACCAATTCGATCCAGGTGCTTTCGCAAGGGTAATATTGATGTCTTTGGTATTATTTGGGCCAGAGATCAGAGTCCACGTGCTGTCGTCGACCAGTATTGAGTGCGGAAAGTCTCCCTATGTCGCCGTCAGTGTCTAGTACTCTCCGCGAGTGGGGATACATACATCGATGATGGAGTCTTGCCCTTTGATCGCAACCTTGATGTGTGTCTTCTTCAACTCGACGATCAAATCCCTTGACTTCAGGTTCCCGGGAATGGGCACGCTGACTTCAGCCTCGGTCAGTGTCTGAGTCCACTTGTACGGCAATGTGGCTTGTTCCTCCTCTTCACGTTTGCGGTCCTCGGCATCTTTCTTACGTCGCTCCTCCGCTGACGGCGATTGATCACGAGATTCTGACATGGCTGAGAAGCGTGTCTGTTCGTATCAATGAGCGCCTGCTAGGTATGTCAGTGTAGCGTGGCCGGCGTTGATAGTCTAGGAAAGCGCCGGTCACATTTGCAGGATCACAGGTGAAGTCGAGGAAATGGCGCGCCGGTCTTTGCTGGCCGCCCTACGGCGCCTCGTTGAGCAGCCACAGTCCTTTGAGGTGGTAGTCCTCGACGGGCAGTACTTCCGCCAGGCAGGGAGCCTATACATAAAAGAATTGATCACCATATGCTTCATTACTATCGATGCTGAACGTACAACGCTTGCTAAAGTCAATTGATGCAATTGAATATCCGCAACTACCGCTTCCCACTCCCTTTTCCCTTGTACTGCTCAGGGATCTTGGGCACAGGAAAGTGATTCCCCGAATCCGGAATACCACAATGCTCCATCAAAGCCGTGAAAGACGTATCCCTCTTGCTTGGATCAGGATCGTACCGCTGATGCGACGTTGTCGAGTGCTCAGGACCAGATCCTTCTAGTTCAGAAATAGCGAAACTAGTCCGACGAGACTGGTCGTAGATGGAGCTTGCAGGTCTTGTCGGCCTCGTCGAAGGCTCTGTGGGCGCTGGATTGTCGTAGCGCGGGACAACATCAGCCTCAGAGGTGATACGAATGGACTCGTCAATTGGCGATCATTGGCGGGCAGATTAGTTCGCAACGGTGAGACTGTCGCGCTGGGGTGTTGTCCGAAGTTCGGAGGCGAGTAGATGCGGATGCTCTCCATTGTCGCAGTCCGATCCTTGTCAGCTACCGGAGTTGGAGTCGCTGGCGTGATGGGTCGAACAGCGCCTCCGTGAGGCTCTGGCGGTGTTGGCATTTTCCAGTTGTTTGGCCCGTTCTCCTTGCTGTTGAACACCGAGTCAGGCACTCGGTTGAAGTCTGATCGCCCACCCCGGGCGTTGATGGGCTCCGAGATCATCGGTCGCTTCTCCGTACGCGGTGTACTCTGAGCGCTGCCACTCCCGCTCTTGATTCGACCAGTAGAAATCATCCATCCCACCACAATCAAGGCGCCTACAAAGAGACCAGGCGCAAAGCCCGCGAGGAACACGCTCGCCGGGAAAGGATTCGGCTTATCATCACTATCGGGTGTGGGCGTGGCTTTCGCAGGTGAATTTGTCGCAGTGGCAGTTCCCTTGGCTGTGCTAGTGCTGATGAAGTCGAGCTAGCAGTCGCAGAGGTAGTCCCTTGAGCACCGGGGAAGTCGCCAACAAATTTGGCCCTATCCTTCTGGATAGTACACGCGCCCTCGTTGTTGCCATCGCTCTTTTGCGAGCAGGTGTAGCCGAAAGGACAACATGTCGTACCGCAGTTGGGAAGATCCGCATCTGTCTTTGTGGTGAAGACTTCGGTGTCAGGATTCTTGGACGGGTCCTGCTTCTTCGCGTCACACTCGACCGTTCGTATTGTGGAGCAATCCTGTCCAGTCGGACAGCAAAGAGCGGATGTCGTGTTGTCGAGTGAAACGCAGGTTGAACTTGAAGAGCATTTCCAGTTGTCTGGAAGCCCGTTGTCGACGTCCTTACACACCGCGGCATCTCTGCGATCGAAGTAATGGTAAGACAAATCAAAAGGTGAGTCGGAGGGCCGCGCGAACGCCCGAAGTGCTAAAAGCGCGCACGTCAATAGTATCTGCTGTGGTCTCATCGGATGTGTATGTGTAGAGAGCTGTTAGCGAGGTGAGGATGAGGCACTTTTAATTGTTCGTTCGCGTTGTTGCGCGACGGTCTTGGTCGTCGAGTCAGAGCGTCGAGGGTTAAACAAAGAACAAAGACAGCTTGACTACCATCGCTTTGTTCGTGCGGCCAAAAATGGCACGCATCTGTCCGTCGACCATCAGAGCTCACCTTTGTTAAGCGCAGAGCACAACATGGCTCCAACGATGGGCAAGTCGCGCCGAAGGTAGCTTGCGAACCCATAGCCAGTCAATCGTAGAGATGGCAAGCTGATCGCCGCTGAAAGATGCGTATGTACCGTTACATCTGTTCGTCATCTGACGCAAAGCGATAGGCGTGTATGAGCCTCAAATGTAGGACAGGAAGACATTTTGGGATTGTGGCAGTGATCGTTTCATCGAGTAAGTGGCAGTCGTAGCTTGATTCGATGGTCGTTGATCCGGATCTTCAGCGGCAACAACGAGGCTGAACAAGGCTGCGGATTTTCATCTCCGAAAATGGACATCTGAGAATCATCCATGACCAGACCGACCTCCACGGCATCGCGAAACACCACTGCGCCCGCGATCTGATGGTTGTCCGGCTCAGTAAGCAGTCGCAGAGCCTTCTACGGGCCGTAAGTCGACCAACATGCGTACGTCATTCTCCAAGAAGTCCATGAACCTGCCCAGACTTACATCTTCACAGCTCGCTCGACATAGCAGAAATCGAGACCTGCACTCAGTGCCACCATTGGGGACCCCCAAAGACGCCATATTCACTCGCTACGGCGTCCCCGGCCTCTTCTCAAAAGAGACATACCAAGAAACATGGCAACAATACCAAACCCACCTCCTAAACTTCGTCAACAACGAAGTCCGGGGCACAACATCTGAAACCCTCAGCATGAAGACCCTCCACGAACACACCTCCCGAGATCGATCAAAAGCCGAACTCTACAACCACGCCGCCCAAGCACACCACAACCACTTTTTTTTCAGCGGCCTCTCCGCAGCCGCAAAGCCCGCGGAGCCGTCCACCACGCTCCGCGGCGAGATTGAACAATGGTTCGAGTCAGTCGATCACCTGGGCGACGAGATCTCCCACATGGCCATGTCGATGTTCGGAAACGGCTACGTCTGGGTCCTCTGCGCGAACGACGAGGAGAAGATGTGGCGCGTCATGTGCACCTACAATGCAGGCTCTCCATTACCCAACGCTCACACCAAACCGCATGTCGATTCAAGGCAGCTTTTCTCTCGCGGATTTACATCAGGGCGAATCGAGCAGGCAGAGTATCGAGCCGGGTCCTTCGGTAACTACTCGGGCCAGATAAACCGTCACTTCGATGCCTTCATCGGCACACCAGTATTGTGTCTGAAGGTCTGGGAGCATCAGTACATGCGAGACTATGGTCTGGCCGGCAAAGAACAGTATATCAGCAATTGGTGGAAGCGCGTGGACTGGAATGAAGTGCAAAATAGATTCAACGTAAGCTCCGACATTACGGTGGATTATAAGTCTGCGCCGCCACCGTCACGGAGCGCGCAGGTAGAAAAGATGAATGAAGGCATGCGAAATGCTTTCCGGAGAGCAGATGGGCCATGATGCTGGTGGTGTGTGGAAAATGCGGAGGAAAGCGACGGTAAGACTACCCCAGGGCTTTCTGTACAATAAAGCATCGACTGTTCATGTACACCACAAGTCTTGCATTGCGTCCCTTGTGACCTGAGCCGACTTTTGTTGCTGATCTGAACCTCACTACGGCAAGACATCGGTGGACAGTACTCGTTCAGTCCCAATACCTGACCAACCCATCTCTCCCACCAGTCGCGACCTTACTACTCTCCTGCTCATTCCACACAACACACGTAACCGGCTCTCCAACTCTCGCCTCATCACCACATTTCCCCTTGCCCGTCCCACCAAACTTCCCCTCCGTAGCCAAAAACTTATGCCACATCTTGCCCGTCTTCCAGTCCCAAAAGCACACATAACCACCACTATCGCCCGATGCTATCATCCCCCCATCCGGACTGATCGCCACATCCACCGCCAACCCAGCTGTATTCATGCCTCTGAACCCCTTCTTGCGGTTTTGCCTGAACTTGTCGCCCGCCGCATACACCACGATCTGGTTATCACCCGACTGGTACGCCACATACTTCCCGCTCGGATGTACGCATGCTCGTGTAAGCGCGAACATTTCTGGGTCGGCGATGAACTTTATCGGCACTGGAATGCCGAATTCCCAGGCGCGGAGGGATTTGTCGTCGGATGTGCTCATGAATCGCCTTCCCTCATCGACAAAGACAAGAGTGTTGATAGCACCCAAATGGTGATCGTACTCCTGCGTGAGCTCGCCAGACCGAATATCAAACGACACGATCTTCTTGTCCGACATGCCAGCAAGGAACTCGTTGCCTTCGGGGTGGAAGACGACGCAGTGCGGCGTCTTGCCTGTTGTGAAGCGGGATATGCATTTGCCGGTCTCGGTGTCCCAAAGCTTCATCTGACGGTCAAAACTAGCAGAGAGGAATGAAGTACCAGAGGGCGTGAAGTTGGCATCGGTGATAGCTTTGTTGTGTCCGTGGAAGGAGCGGAGGAGGCTGCGATCGTGGTATGCGTCCCAGAGGGCGAGCTTGTTGTCTGCTGAGGCAGACAGTAGGAGATGTGATGACTTCGGAATGAAGCGCAATGCTGTGATGGGTTTGGTGTGGTATTTGTAGGTGTGTATTAGTCGCTTCGGGTGATAGTTCTGGATTGAGCCTGGCTCTTTGCTCAGATCGATGTCGAGGTCTTGTGGGACGTGCATGTACGTCCGGCCTAGGTAGTCTCGTTCTGATGCGCCGTAGAACTCTGTGGTCTCGGTCATGGATGTGTCTGCACCGTAGCCGGTGGCTTCTTTCGCAGGTGCTGGCATCGGTGTGGGCACGATACCCTCCTCAGCCCATTCCTCGTCTGAGGCAAGCTCGCGATCGGCGTCCAGCTCTGCTTGCTCGTATGCGACATCATCACTTTGGTATCTCGCCCATGGCCCGATGTATGCACCTTCACCATCGACGATACTTGCGTCGCCTCGCTTCTGTCGCTTCGCCCTTAGCGCAGCATTCGCGGCTTTTGATGATCCCAGCTGGACCACATCCTTCCCGCCATATCTCGTGACCGCTGCCTGGTTGCCCACGAATGCGCCATTCTGTGATGGATCTTGCGTATAGCCTAGACTCTGGAATGTGCGATGCTGTGTCCGAAAAGTTGACTCTGACATGGCTGTCTCCTCTGCGTTGCCCGTGAGGACGTTCTTGCGCTTCAGCGCATTGCCGTTTGTGGTTTTGAAGGGATTGGCTGGGCCTTGTGTCGGTCTCGCCAAATTGTCGTACGACACATTGTAAGCCAGGGCATTACTCGTTGGGTTCGCCAACATCAATTCCATTTGTGAACTGGTCTGTGAACTGTTAGTATCGCGATTGACGTGTGCCTGGCTGATGAGGGACCAAACCTCTACTGAGATCTCCGGCGCTGTCTGTACTGACGAGACTGGCCCAGCTGGTGATGGCTGAGCGGCGCCCTCATCGTCGCTCGAGTCGTAGCTTGCGCCCAAGAGGGTCGCCATCGTCTGAGCTGCGCCGCGCGGGATTATGGAACGATTGTGTGAGGAGTGTACACTTTGGCAGGCCGCTACACAGAAATGGAAATTATTGCTCCGCGAAGGTTGAGATGGAGAAGCAGCCAATCAGAGCGCAGATGCCGCCAGATGGCCGGAAGCATGTGATGGAGGTTCTGGTGAAGTCTCAAACGATGTCTATGGTATACTTGGTACTAGTGGTACCCTCAACGACTCTATAGATCACTCACGTGCTATGCTAGCGTCCGCTCCCACTCCCGAGGTGTGTTGCTTACGTTGGCCGATACCTCTCTACATACATTTCTTCCCGAATCCGTGTCAGCACCACATGTGCCAACATGCTCTCTGCCAACCGCTGCGACTGAGAGTAGCTTCGCGCGATGCCTCTCTAGTCTAAGCCTCCGATCTACCAGATGGTTGCCAACGCTTCTGATTCTCCAGTCACCCAAGGTCCGCAACGTGATCAGTTGAAAGGAAGTCTTGATGGCCACCTTTTCAATCAAGCTTTCGCTCATAGTCATTGCCAGTTCTTTCTCTTGACGTTGATGGTCGCATGTTCGACTTCCTAGGTCGACTCATCGCGAATGAGTGCCACAATCATGCTGTACAGGTAAAAGAAGAACATGATCAGATGAAACCCAAGCTTGATGAATGATTCCTGTTCGTGTCAGCAAAGATGTCCCGCCCTGCGTCCTTGATAACCGCACCTTCTTATGCACGTTCAGCTTTCGGAAGATCTCGGTAGCGTCAAGTAAATGCTGGTTCTCTATAATTCTGGAATGTTGTTAGCGCGACCGCAATTCCCTATGATATTGCACTCACTTTTTGGCATTGAATGCTAGCAGCGGCAGGTTCAGAACAAGCGCGAGCCAGTATCCATTAATCAAGAACAAGAACGTCAGGAAAGCGTGTACAGCGGCTTCTGGGACAATGTATGTGTTGAGACGGTTGCAGAGGTCAATCGGGTTGATGTAGTCGCTACGTCATATTAGCAATTTGTTGATATGGCCTGCAGATGCGACGACTGACCATTCCAAGTCGCTGTACATGATGGTGAAGAAGACCTGGAGAAAGAGGTTGACAGCATTGATGAGTACCGCGAGCAGGTATAACCATGCTTCGCCCGACATCTTGAGATCTTGCTAGGCCACTTCCAGGCCGTTTGTTGTTGGGAGCTCTTGAGACAGCGAGTCGTATGGTTTCGATTGAGGACGTTGGGATAGGATGACGTTCTCGGGCCGCAAGTGTGCGCAGCACTGCTCTACCAAAAAGCGTTCAGCTAAGGAGTCGTCGGTGACTGGGTTGTTGAGTGAAGCAGGCGGAAATCTTGGCTAGGAAGATAGCGTGGTGGGAGGATGTGGGTAGGCAGGCTAGATTGGCTGGACCAGATCAGTGCGGTTGCAGATGAGTGTTGTTGTGCAGTGTGGTTCTGATCACTTCCGTCCAAGATTGCTCGTTAAGGAGAAAGCTGTCACAGTGCACAAGTCGCAGAATCGCATGAGGCAGGCCAGGCAAGCCCGCAAATTCGCAGCCGCGGTGGTGGGATTGATGTCGTTTCCCAATCGAGACGAGAGCTATATCCGGCAGGTGTGATTCGGATACTAGGTAGGGTTGGGCGAAAAGGTCCCTTGAGTCCCTTCAACGTCATGGCACGTCCTTCCGCAAAGTTGTTTCTATTCTCAAGCCAAGATCGATCGTCATCTTACACTTTCTTCAACGAAGTGCCGCATTCCGCGATTAGGGGATCGGAATGGTACGATGTACGATCTGCAATTGAGTGCGCGAAATACCAGATGCTTTTCGTTATTCTCTATCTCCCAATGCATAACTGTAAATGAAGGTCTAGATGCTACCTCGTGTCAACTTACCACCCTTCCAACTCCATGCTTGATGCTTTGTTTCAATCAATTTAGGTTCAAGACCGAGGCCAGAATCCGTCAGTGAACCGTACCGGTGCACCACAATCATGCGGCGCCGCCATCGTGAGGTGGTATTTCCGAGTGTCCGCGATGGATGTAAGTTGATTGCGCAGCACAGTGTTAGTGATCGCTGCGAGCCCATGCCGTTGAGCAACCATTGTTCTCAGAGCATCAGCGTGTATCTCAACCTCGTTTTCTTGGCCAAAGTCTGAGGTGTATGCCACCAATAAGAGTACTGCCTGAATGTTCGCATCAGACGATGCATGGCCCGGATCCCGCAAGCGATTCCAGAGTAGATTCGTTCCTCTGCCAAAGTAGCGCTGCGCGGATTGCAGAGCCTGCTCTGCAAATGCTCGCTGTCGAGTCCGGCTTGCGGACGTGGCGTAGACATAGGCTAGCAGCAGTTGAGTACATGCTTCATCGGTCCGGATAAAGGCTATGATGAGTTGCTGCATTGGATCGTTCAGGATGCCTTCACAAGTATTCTGCAGGTAATTTCGAATAGCGACCTCGTCCTCCGCTGAGACTTGTAAGTGAGGAGATAGCGATCGACTCCCTGGCGCCGACCATGCGGGGAGCTCTGTATTGATACCCGGACCAGTCTCTGACCCTTGCGTGGAACCAGTGGTGCCAATCGCAGGAGTCGAGCCACCTTCCCTTGTGGGCGAAGTACCTGGTGGTTCAGACACCGGTCGTCTGCCCCATTCAAGATAACGTGGCTGCGTGCCCCTTCTCAACGATCTCAGGCGGGCCTCCCGTCGCTGAGCTGCAGAGTGATATGCTGTGTGGCGTTGAATCGCACTTTTGATGTTCGGGTCTTGACTGTCAACGAACTCGATAATGTTGCCTGGCCCTTGCGGTCTCCGGGAGGACCCTGACCCCCTCGAAGATCCCCTACTCGACGTCCTCGATACCTGTCCGGACGTCGGGCTGCCCTCTCGTGACTTCTCGTCACCCGATGACATCGATCCAATCGTCGTGGTTCAATAGTCGTTGTTGGGTCATCTGAGCCCGCCCTGAGTAATGAGTGTTGGTGCCTCGCGAGCAGATGACCTGTGATACACGCAGCAGATTTCGGCGCCGTTAGATGCACAAGGTCGGTCTAATTAGTAGTAAGCAGATTCCCAAAACAGATGAAGAGGACTTGTGAGAGAATGCTCGAATGGATGTTCCGTCCCGGCTAGTCGTCACACTGCATGGCATATAAGTAGAAAGTACTAGTGCTAGCGAGACAATAGAATGCAACCACCAAGGGCATCGGATCGTCCAAGGCTTGTTATGATATGCATTGACAGCCATAATGCTTGGACTTAGTCATGAATGACCTCGCGACATATGTGTGAGTATGTCACCAAGAGATCTGCAAGGTGCGCATGCCTCGTGGCCTGGATGAGAGAAATAGTTCCCTAATCCACCGTGCTGGACGCGCATGCAGATCATGACCTGAGATGTCTTGGTGTCCAGACCTTGTAGTCAGACCGCGAGGCTGCCGAGGCAACAACATGGCTAGCTGAGTGCGTTTGAACCCTACAGATTGAGGCAGTAAGTAATCTGTTGTAATTGCGTGCGGATACGCGGCATGCCGCATGCATGTTCTAGACGACGAAGTGCTCGGCGTCGGGCCATAGGGGGCATGCTTGGCCCGGGTCGGTGGTAGGAATGGCACCTGGTGCACATCGAAGTTTGGATGGTATTTCCGATGCTACGAACGGCATAGGGTCGAGTGGACATTGATGGTGCGACCATGATAGTGGAAGCGCCATTAAGTTAACAGGTTACGTAGCGCAAAGGCCGAAGGGCATTCCGAATGCCGCTCGTCGGCCAGCGGAAAGGCCGTCCGGACCCTTGGTACCACTCCACCTATTAAACATCGAAGTTCTGGAAACAAGGCCAGGGTCCTGGAAGCGATTTCTAGAATCTCCTCAAACTGCAAGATGTTTACCACGATTAGCATAAGGTTCGAGAAGTGTAGATATCTACATGTAGCTATTCCAGTCTACATTAGCCAAGCCTGTCGCAAAGCCCTCCCTGCTGCACTGGCTAAGCGTGTCGACGTACCTATTCGATCCGTCCATTCCACTGGCCGAACCGTTGCGAGACAGACTCCAATGCATGACTCCCTGACTTGGTAATAGCAGACAAGGCCGTCGGCCGCAAGAATCTTTCGTAGATACTCAGATTCATTACCTATGGCAACTCGAAACGCGGGCGTTGTGCGATGCAAGCAGTCGTGCGAGGCGTGCCAGAACGATTGCGTGGAGCTAATCTTCCCGAAGACGATCCCCCGTGAGATTTCGGATGGAATCGCGCGCTTTGCAGCGGAAGATCGACAATCGCGTACATTTCGATCTGGACATTCGTACGTAGTACTCTGAAGCTTTCGTCATCTGTCTAATCAGCCGCTGAATGCAACAACCGCGGCATGAACTACTGCGATTGAGCTTCGATTATCAACGCAGAGTCCGCCCGGGCGTTCTCGGAGGACAGAAGACCATCACAATGTGCATGGCTGACGAACCCGAGAACTCGGTCTTGGCGCATGATTTATACTCTTATCGTTAATCCTACCGTAGCTGCTGGTTCTCGTAGCAAGTCAATGACCTTGCTACGATCACGACCGCTGACATGGCGCTTGCACAAGAAGGCAACAATTGCGCGGATCTCAGCGCTACATCTCTCAACGATCCACCACTGTCCAATACCATGCATCAGATGCAGCCAATGCACCAGTATGAGTAGCGCGGGTGTCTCGCGCTGCAGCAACAGCTCACGAAATGCGGGCGTAGTTCGGCCAACGAAAGCAATCATCTGATTGAAGTGCTCGGGACCAATAGGTCGAAAGGAACGACACCAGATCAGGGTCTCGACATTGGTGGAGTAGTCGTTGCTTCCGCCGGATGATGAACTCGTGATGCCGCACACTTCCGCCAATCTCACCTCGACAGAATCCAGAGGGTTGATGGGCAGGACTGCGCCGGACAACCAACCGTCCAGATCGACCTCGTCTTCCACGTCCACCCTTCGCATGATTGGCAGCCAGAAGCTCTCGTTCAACCAGGGTGCCATCGCCCCGATGAGGCCTTTAAATCCTGCCTCTATGCCCAGCCACTTGAGTGCATCCTCTCTCTCCGTCCGATCATCTCGCCATACGAAGGAGAGTCCTGCTGGATCTCCATCGGTGTGCTGGTAGTCGCGGTAGGAAAATTGATGCATACTGACCAGCATCAACGTCGATAGCAGCTGATCCATATTCTCGCGCGTAACATTGCTTCGTTTCGTTGCTATGAGACTGCATGATTTGTCAGAACCGGAAAGCTCTGCTCTGAAGCCGTCGAATGCTTGCGCCCAATAGTAGCACTCAGCTACCTTCAACCGACTCTTTGATGCAACAAGCTCTGGTGGCATAAGGTAGCGGAGGTGAGCTGCAGCAAGCCCGAGCAACGCGTTCATCAGGAAAGGAGTCTGTACAGCAGCAGTGACAACAGCAGACCCATGGACAGCCTGACTGGCCGGACTACCGCACGTCATCGCCGTAGTTGTGTAGAAATGATGCAGGATTGTCTCCGGACTGAAGTCGTGACATTCGGAGACCTTCCTTACCGGCAGAGTTGATGGCATGATACTGCGAGATTCAGAATTCAACGACCTGGTTGTGAAAGATGAAGGCGTTGAGACTTCGCTCACGACCAAAGCGCCGGAATCACCAGGCGTCACGCTGATCGCTCGAGCACTGATCGCGCCGCCGGAGACATTAAAATCGCATTGGATGCCGTGGTTCTTGCATTTCAGGCACCCTCCTGGCGTCTCATCGCAACGAACGTGCCTACCCTTACAGTTTCGACAACCAAAGCGCGACTTTGTGTGAGACCGTCGTGGTCGAAAGCTTTGCTCCTTACCGCCATCTGCCTCCCGCTTGACATGCTGCGTTCTCGCCGGTTTGGACTTCTTGGGTATTCTGAAAACATTCTGAAGGGCTTGCTGCTCTTCATGATGGTGCATAGCTCCGCCGGGATGCTCATTTGTAAGCGTTGCAGTCCGAGTCCAGGCGTTTTGCTGTGACAACGACCATTGTGCTTTTGTAAGTCATTGCAGACTGGGACTCGAACGCGCGACCAGAGTCCACCTTGACGGCCTGAGACGCAATCGTGAGTTTGTTGTCGTTGAAATGAACCATGTCATGACGCATGCCAAGACATAAACCTGGCGCCACAGTACAATTCTGTTTCCCTCTACTTCAAGACCTCAACTTAACAATCATTAGATATTGCTGGCTACCGATTTCTCTTCGCAATCGACCACAGGGTGTGGAGAACAAGCCTTCCCGTCCGCTCAGGCAATTTAAGCCACACGCCGAACGGTTAGTAGTTAAGTGGGTGACCATTAGCGAATTCCGTTTGTTGATTGTTTTTGAATTTTTTCGGAGGGGACAGATATCTGACTTGCTCTTGGCCTTACTACCGCAACTACCCAACAGGTCGGCGCTATGGTTGCCTCGAATATTAACGAAAGCTCAAGCTGTGAGGCGGTAGAATCGCATGACTGGGCTCCTGCCTGCTGTTGTGGCCGGTCTGGTCGCGGTTTCTAGAGAAGGCTCCAGACACAGCTCATGTGATGGCGTACTCCCCATCAGGCTCACTATTCCAGACCCGCGACATGCCTCGATCCTCGGCCGTGGCGTTACTCTCAAGCGCAATGTGCACAACTTCAGATTTCCAGACCGACGCGAATCAGATCTTCGGGCATTCGTACGGCCCGATCAATTGCGATCCCCGCATGGTGCCCTCCCGAGAGGACGACTCAAGCGCCACACCATGCATTGGAGCTTTCGAGAATCTGTAGACATGCCGCGGGTAACGTCGGCACGAGCGTCGTGTGCGTGATATACGGACGGTCCGTAGTGCTTGAACTTTGCTCCGGCTCATCTCATCCGAAAGATAAGGTTGCGGCTATCGCGGATGTGGTGAACAACGATCGTTGTTATAGATGGGTTGAATGGTCTTTACAGTCCGTTACATTTACATATGTAAGGTATGTAAGGTATGTGAGTAAGCTAGTGCAGTCCCGAACGCTCGGGGCGCCACTGCCGCATCCTGGGGCTTCGGCACAGGAGGGAGTCTCCTTTGCTGGCGTGAGGTGACGCACGATGTGTGAGCTCGGCGCGCTGACTCATGCCAATGCCATCTCGAATACGTTTTAGTGAATCGACTGAGCAAATCGGCCGTAGTCGTTGTATTCATCCCACGCAGCAGCCATCCTCCATCCTCCTCGCGAACGCGCCTTGAAAGAAGCTCTGCATAGCGTTGTAATGAAATAGTATTCCGCCAAGTACAGCGACATGCCATATGTTGTGACTCGTGCCAGCATAGTCGAACTTGCCCGGCCACCACTTCTCGGGTACCTGCGACGCATATATCAACGCTCCTGTCAGATACACCATGACGCTTTTCGTGATAGGTGCATAGAAGTAAAAAGTCCACTCCGGACCTCTGGTATAGTTGAGCTGGATGACGGGAGCAAAACCAGTCGCAGCAAGCGTGACATAGAAGAGCACTCGAAACCAGGCCATGTCGTTGCGGTTGAAGCTTTCCCTCCATGGTAGGATGGATCCGGCGATGCCCAGGACGATCGTCAAAGACATGTAGACGGCCCTAGACACGGGCTCGCAGTAGAAGGCTGTCCACTCTGTCGAGAGGATGGACGCTGCAACCAGAAGGGCAATGCCTGAGTAGTCAACACAGGCGAAACGCTCAAGGACACATTTATCCGCAATGCTGTTCATCGTGTGCCACATAGTGCTGCAAATGAGGCACTTGGAAGCGGCTATGAAGAAGCCTGCGGCGATGAGGATATCCCACTTCGTGGAGAGCGGGTATATCGCTGTTGAGGGGTAAAGGTAGAAGGCTATTCCCAGCACGACGAAGAAGCCGAGAAGGTGAGACCAGATATTGATGGTCTCGTTACTCGGTCGGAACATGCTCACTATGCAGTCGATCGACGTCTCGTTGAAGCGATAGCCCCGCAGGATGTGTGGATTGCCACGCCACGGTATCGGCAAGTCATCGTAGTGAATGAGCCGTGTTTGACGTGCTTGAGAGAGTGCGTGTGCTATCGAGTCCGCCAGAAGGTCACGGGCATGCTTCGCTTTGTCATAGCCTTCCTCGAAGATCTCCCTGGTTGCAGCAACGAATTGAAGTCCATTGCGGCCGGCGTGTGTCCGTGATTCCAGTTCTGATAGATATGACTCCATTGTCCGTACATATGCTTGTGCTTTCTGCTCGAACGTTTCCCTTGTCGGCATGAGTTCAGTGTATTTGGTCTCGAGCGTTTCCACCAAGATTCCTGCCCTGTGCTTCGCCACACCCCACAAGAGATCACTGGAAGGAAATAAAGCGCACGAATCTCGTACATCTCGCAGAGCATTATACCCTCGTTCAAGCTGAGCATCTAGCTGGAATCGACTGTCCAGGCTGTAGCGCTCCAACCGATCTAGTCTCTTCTTCAGCTCATTGAGAAATAGATCTACCCGAACATATATCGCATCCGCGTTGCATAGGCTGGTCGACCGAGGTCTAAATGTGTCGTAGGAGTGACGTCGCCTGGATTGAGGACGACTACGGTGCAGCAGCGCCGATCTTTCGCCAATCTCTCGCGATGTGCTCGATGCTCGGTTGGAAGAGGATGGCACCTCAAGGGAGGTCGTGGTCGTGGCGCAAGCCATGTTTCTACGGTCGGACTCGGCGCATGCGGCAGAAATGTTGGGAGCTTCGCCAGAGTTCGTTCGTGCGTAGTGTCGCAGTCGTGCCCAAGCCGCAAAGGTGTGTACTCTTGTCAAGTGATTCGCTCCTCAACTGCAGTTTGTCGTTGAAGTTCGTGAAGGCGAGGATGCTGATGTGAAAGACCGTGGGCGCGCTGGCAGAAAGTGACAAGGAACGACAACGAGGACGCAGAGCTGTTCGAATGCAGGGCGTTGTATTAGTTCATTAGTAAATGGCTATAAGTGGTGTTGGCGACTTCTTGGGAGGTGGAAGAGACGGCAATGAGCAATCAATCATCCTCAATAATCTGCGAGAAGGAAGCGAGGTTGGGGCGCCCCGAGGCTTAGCCCCTGCCAAACCACCGTCATCATCTTAATGACGATCTAATTTTGACTTCGCGACCTTTTCCCATCACCTCGTGATCAGCCTCGGACTCAGTATTGGATGTCAACGAAGAATGCGGCCGAAAGAATTGTTGTGATACCAGTGCTTTGCGCTTCGAGCGCATGTGCGCCGCAACCTGCAGATAAATGCATGTGCCCAGACACGTGCGATACGACTATTTAGATAGCCACAGACCTATCAGCTTGCCACGGGGTAGCGCATGGCGCAAGCAGGGATCTTCTCTGCGGCGGAATCACCCGCAAGCCACTACTCATCAATTCTCGGCTTTTTGAAAGCGCCCTTGTATCCAACACCGAAACATCTTGATCCTCCGCTGTCGATTGACAATCAGTCGACGGTCAACATCGAGGTCGAGAATTGCGAACGACTCGCCCCAAATGTCTTTCAACTGGTCCGTCTCAAAGAAATAGACCCGCGTACCATCTCCGCGCACGTAAAAGTTATCTTCCATCCATCGCCCGGCTTTGAAGCGGACCTGAGCAAGGTCTCCTCGGCCATAGTCTCTGAACAGCACGTACCCACCTGGCTTCAATACTCGAGCGACGTTCTGTACAGCCTTCTGCCATTGCTGAGGACTCAGTGCAGAGAAGATGAAGATCATGACCACCACATCGCAGCTTTCTTCCGTCAGACCTTCGGGAAGGCCGTCGCCTGCAACATCCCACACTTCCGCCCTGACCTTGCCCACTTTAGCCTGGATGACCTCTGCATTGCGCATCGTTTCTACTGCCTTCTTGCTGAAATCGGCTGCAACGACTTCGAGTTCGGAATTCTCATTGAGCCTCATGATTGGAAAGGCTGTGTTGCCTGCTCCGGCTCCCACCTCCAGCAGCACCTTCTTCCCAGCGTTGGCTCGAGTGATGTCGTTGAGCACGGGAAACTCCTGCACAAGCCACTTCCGGTCCTTGAAGAAAGTACTGGTCTTTTGCTTGTAGAATAAATCCCACCACTTCTCCGGCTGGGAGTTAAACCTGTCCTTGTCGTAGTCAGAGACTGGGGCGGCCTTCTGCTTAGCATATTGAGACTCGCAGTATTCATAGTGCTCGTCGTCGGGCGTCACATGGTCCCAGGCATTGTACTCGAAGATGTCGTCGGTCTCCTTCAAATACCTTTGTCCAAATTGAAACGGATCTGTTCGCTTTGCATTTGTGGCTGGATCGTGTGATAAGTGTGCCGGCACTGCTAGATCGCCTTCATGTGAAGGCGTGTCCTTGATACTCAGCGTCTCAATTTCAATGACTTTTCCATGGGCGCCAACTTCGCCGCCTCCTCCTCTGTCTGGTGCCATGATTTGGGTCGTATGCAGAAACAGAAGAGACTCTTGCAATGAAGACACATTTATTCTCCAAGCCCACAATGATTGGTGGGGATTGTGGGGAGACCGGATGACTGTAAATGTAATAGTCGACTGAGGCACTCCTGAGCTTACCGCCAACAATCCTCTTACCTCCTGTAGTAGCAGCGATCGGTTGCAATATTCCCTTCAACCCACTTTGAGACTCCGATAAACCAGTGGCGACCGTCCTACCGCCCGTCATGGCTGTCGATACCGTTGTTGTCGATCCATCTCTGCAACCACTTTTGAAAACCACCAACGCGGCACTGGCGCAGACACAAGCCATACTGGACTGGATTGAGGACAACGCCACCTCCTCCGAGCCGCTCGCCGATCTACAGCATGAGCTAGCGAAGAAGCAGAAGCTCCTTCACGTCTACCTGGCCAAGCTTCGTGGACTACACAGACAGTCGGTATTCGGCGTACGCACCACCAAACAACAGACCGCAGAAGCACGACAAGACCTTGATCGATTGCTGCTCCAGCTGCAAAATCTATACTACGAGCAAAAACATCTGCTGGGGGAGATTAGCGCCTGCGAGGACTATGATCACTCATACATGCGACTGCCGCTGATATCACACGATGAATACTTAGCGCTCTTTCCAGACCAAGCAGGACTGTCAGACGAGGAGCTGATGCCTCGGAGGATAGAGCACGAGAAGCAAGAGCGAGAGAAGATGGAGGAGGAGAGGCTAAGGCTAGTCAAGATCAAGGATGAGCTACTGAAGGAGAACACACGGAGGAAAGACGAGCTAAAGAAGATGGATGAGAAGCTGGAGGCCATGATCGATGGTATGCTGCCATTGCAAGAGGCTCTTGCGAAGGACCTCTAGATGGATGGTCCAAGTTCTGGGCAACTGTAACATGAACGATGCTGCCCAGACCTGTGGCTATCCGATCGCAATGACGAAATGCTTTCTCAGGGGCTGCGGCTTCGTCTACACGACTCCAGAACGCGGAGAGCTTCAGCCAGGTCAACGACGATTCATCGGGATGGACTCAACTCTGGGCTCCTTGGACGCCCGGCTGTTGACGGGGAACATTACCCTCAAGCAACCACTCCTCCAAGCCGTTCAGTGGCCGCACGGATGCGCTGACAGCAGAGCGCTGCTTCGATCATCGATCGGGCTTTGTTGAGACAGGTTGGACAAGCAGAGCCTGGGCTGGTGGTTGAGCAATAAGCGTGCAATCAGCTGCTTTGCACTATGAAACGAGAAGAAGTCACTTGCAGCTCCTCTACCCTGTCGCTACGGTGCTCGGGCTCCAGAAGTTGTCATTGGACACGTCCTCTCTCTCACCTGTAGCTGTAGCGTATAAACGAGAGGGGATGAATTGGCTCGCAGACCGTTGAACCCGTCCGTAAATGTTGGCATTGATCCAGCGACAGCATCTTCAATGACCGCGTCTGGGACCTCCCGAGGCTGAACCTTGAACCTCCGGGCCGACTGGGCGGCCATACGGCCCCGCGCTACCCCAGAAGCAGTTTAGTAGGGCATCATCTTGAAACGTGGATGCCTGGTACACAATCGTCAGTGTCCAACGACATCCCCTCTTCCATCTCTTTCGCAGAGAATCACGATCGTTTACCTGATCAGTCGCTGTCCTCGCTGGGATCTGGTGTGCATGTATCCCTCGGGTTAAACTTCGATGTAGCTGGGCACAACTGTCTTTGTCCTCATTTAGTCCAGCACAATGTTCTGCTGCGGCAGGTCGTCGCTCGCCGAGGTCAGGTCAGAAAAAGCACACGCAACACAAGAGGCTGAAGCCCGCCATGCACGTGTCGCATCAGTGCTCAGTCCGCCGCCACGAGCCTACGTGGCAGATCGACCTCTGTCGTGCGTCGAAGATCGAGAGGCTCCTCCGCCCTACTGTGCAGCACAGTCGCCACCCAATCCATACTCTAGCCCGTCCGGTATGAACTACCAGCAGAAAGACGAGAAGCAGGCGTTGGCCGCGGCTACTGAATCGACCACAACCCAAACTTCTAGTACAGCCCATCAGCTACTTTCACCTCGTGATAATTTTGCATTCTCGGATACTTCATCGATCATCTCGATACCTTCGACCCAAGTGACTGGTCTCGATTCTGTCTACACAGGTCGATATGTTCGCCGGCACAGCAACGATCGGATGAGTGACGACTACAGCACACGGCCTCCATCCTACTACGCGAGATCCATCGATAGACGCAGCTCGGTCTCTAGCACCGCCACGGCTGCCCGTTTTGTGCTCCATCCGGTGATGAGGGAGGAATGGCTGGATAGCCTAGACTCACAATCCCGGAACATGCATGACACTTGAAGCGTTCCTGATAGCATCCCTCCCGCCATAAACAACCTCGCTCGATGAGCATTGTGCATGGCGTGCCCAAGTCGGGCCATCCGTGTACGAAGATCATGCTGGGCCAAGAAGGCGATGCTCAACGGCCGACGGGCTCTTTGACCTTCACCAGACCACTACAAGAAGGCGGTTGTGCAGTAGGCCTTCAGCTTGGCTCGCACGTCATTGGAATATCAGGCACGATGAAGTGGGACTGTCGACGTAGGGTATAACAATCAACATCCAGACTCAACAGTACGGAGTGACACATCTCTGGGGAATGTCTTCAGCCTCGTCTTCCACATCTGGACTTCCTGCCTTGCAGAAGGCCTGGAGCAACAGGGGACTGACCTCCTATTGTGCACGTTGCACACCGGCTCAAGCATTCCCTCCGCAGCAGGCTATCATCATCTATCAGTGGTCCGGCTCTCCTCCTCTCGAGAACGGATCGCGCCCGCCCCGCCCGGACAGTGAAATCGACCTGTCGTGCATCGTGACAGACACAACGAGGGCGCTCGGCGAAATCTGCTCGAGCGATCGCTTTGCTGAAATTCCGATGTGTGAATTGTGCGAGTTACGGTCGGTGGGGACCAGGCTGTGGCCGTGTGGCAATGTCTATGGCACGCGCAGTATGCCCCGGCTTCGATGTCTGTATTCAAGCATGGAAATGGCCCTCCAAAAATTTCAGCCATTCAGCAACCGATGACCTGCCGTATGCTGTAGCGGAAGCTGTCATAGACCCAAAACCTCGAAGGAGGTCGCGCTCAGTGGGGTCGAGGTGCGCCAGCTATATTAATATTCGCGACGCCTGGGTGATTTCGGTGCAGTTGCATCAGTCAAGTTCTCATTTGGTGTGCCAACAAGATTCGCGAAGAGCTGTTCCTAAGACGTCCGTCGATTTGGATATAAACATATATAATTCATTTTCCGTCGCCTACTGCCATGCAGTCACGAGTCTTGCGTCCATCTCACGAAGTTATGCAATATCACCTGTATCTCTATGGTTGGTTTTGAACACAATATGCTCAGCAAATATGCTCAGCTGAATGGCGACGTCGGTCCTTGCAGCCGATTCTTAACCATGGCGCTCTTCCATTCTCTTCATTCTGATCAGACATGGGAAAGCGTCGCTGATCATCGAGCGATCCATGGTGCTTCCGCACCTGAGCAAATACCACGTCCCTACCGTGGAGCACCTGTGGGACGAGTGGCAGCGTCCAGTGGCGAGCCTGTACCTCGTCGTTGCTTACGCAGCCGAGGCACCCAAAATTATTCGCTCATGACTTCCAGAAAGACAGTCAATTGAGGAGCGTTGCCGGCGAGTTCACTTGTCTGCTTGCATTATCGATCGATATCATTACATCACAGTTATCCTGCTATCGCGAAGTTCACCTGCAGTGGTTGATGTTACGCAATGACTTCCATCGCTGCCCTCGCGGCATGTGAAGAGTGTCATGCATATACAGGTCAAGTCGACGACAATGCCTCCGAAAAGACGCAACAACCCTCGTCGGCGATCCTCTGCTCGCCCACCAACCAGAGTCTGTGAGGACCCATTCGTACGTACGGGTTGTTACAGTTCCTTCGCAAGTAGTCTTCCGTGTCAGTTGAACGAAGCTTCTTGCCCATGATGCGCCGCCCCCCTGGTCGTCTATTGCGCAGACTCCAGCCAACGTTGAGAAGCTCCGCCTGCTCTGCAACAGCGAGAAGGAGAGAAAGCAGGAAGGCTACATACTCAACAACCTCGATGACCGAGAGATGTCTTACAAATCCAGGTGCACGGCCTGCCACCGTGAGTGGGTCCGGGGACGATCACGGGTCTGAGAAGCTAAGCATACCTAGGCCGTCGTCAGAAGAACAGACGATCAACCAAGAAGAAGAAGAGCAAGTCAGGCTCGGGTCCCACACGCATCCCACTAAGCACAGAAGAGACCAGCCCACCAGCCCCTGAAGCTGGACAACCCGTCCCCGTCGCTGTTCCAGCTCCAGCACCCATTTGTCATTATCATGTCGGCAAAGTGCTGCCAAACACGAAGGTATGCATTCACACATCGTGCGTCATAGCGGGCCTACTGAGATGCCACCAACAGGTCTGGTCATGTTGCCACCAAGACGCCAGCACCAAAGGCTGCATCGCCAGAGAAGCGCACGATTATGAAAGCCAGCACGACCCAGCCCTGCGCGCGAATTGGCAGTACCACCGCACTCCGTTATCTTCAGCTCCGTTACCAAGCCACCGAGCAGCCATAGCCATCGACGCAGAAATGGGCACCGCGGTCAACGGCGACCTCGAGCTCATTCGCATCACACTGATCGACTTCTTCACCACCGACATCCTCCTCGATAGCCTCGTATTGCCCTCCGCCAAGCTGCAGAGCTACAACACTGTCTATTCTGGCATCACTGCAGAGGACATGGAGCAAGCAATTGCGGTTGGGAACTGCCTCTTCGGTCGAGATGCAGCACGGGAAGCCGTGTTCGAGTTCTTGAGTCCGGAGACTATCGTCGTGGCGCACGGCGGGAATTGTGATCTGAGTGCGTTGAGAATCATTCACGAGAACGTGATTGACACGTTGATTCTGGAGGGATACCATGGGGCGAAGAAGACGCTAGGGGGAAGAACGTTGAAGAATCTGGTGAAGTTGAGTAGGGGTATCGAGATTCAGTGTGGAGTGGGCCATGATAGTTTGGAAGATGCAATGGGGGCGAGGGAGTTGGTGAGCGTTTTCGTGGATATGATTCCGGATGAGTAGGAGCGAGCGTTGAGGTTAAGGGATGAGAGCTGTGGGGGATGGTGCTCTGCGCTGGTACGGAACGGAGAGGGAACGCTTGAAGTCAATCTACCCAGTATACATGGCCATGCTCAGAGCTGATCCGTTCTGGATCTCACAGGTTGCATAGAGCTGTACCTCACGAAACGCGCGTTGCTTTCAGCCAACCTGGGAGACCCTCACCGTGGGAATGGTTTATTGACGTGCAGGTGTGTCAATGTTCGTAGTCATTGACCTACGATCCTTAGTTCGATTTTTCGAGTACGTTTATGTCACTGACTCCTCGGACAGTGACGCACAACCTTTGTGCATAGAAGTTACCGGTCTGCTATTATTTCCGATGGACCTCCAATGCGCACCTTGCATGTATCCAGCGGTCACTCTTCCACTGTAGCTGTTTGAGAGCTTCCGCTCTCCATGATGCCGTTCTCGGCTAGTTGGACCTTGTCCTCGACCTGACAAGCTGCGAGTATCCAAGATCCTCCACTGCCTACAACATGTACCTGTAGTGTGGGCTCATGTCGCCCAGCTCCGTCTCTTCATACTGACCCATCCCAACGGTCTGAGTCTTCTCCCTCTGGCGGTTCTGCAACCAGCAGGACGCACCGTATGCAATGCAACTCGCAGCACTCAAGCAAATGAAAGCGATCGAAATGCTGTAGCCCATGTGGTAGGTTGGAGCGTCTTTGGCTTGGAAGGAGTACGTAGCGATGATTCCACCGATATTGCCAAATCCGATGATCCAGCCGCTGCCCACTGCGCGCCTGTGATGCCCTCCCAGATTCATGGTGAACCAGCAGACGATGATCGGCATAGCGGAGTAGGTGCCGGACGTGACCAGGAAGAGGGCGCCGTACATCGCGCTGCGGTCGTGGTGGATGTTGAGCAGCATCGCGAAGCCTGTGATTGAAATGATGATCGGGAAGATGGTGAATGCGAATCGATGCCGCAGAAAGTCAGAGCAGGTCGCGACCAGCATGCTGAAGACGAAAGCCACGGCCCAAGGCGGGACAGAGAAGAGCTGAGTCTGGATGGGGGAGTAGCCGTAACTACGGATGATGTTTGGCGAGAAGTATGCATAAGAATATGCAGGGACAATGAGGCCGAAGTACATCAAGCCACCAAGGAAGATCTTGTAATCCTTGAAGCAATTGAGCACATCTCGACCCGTGATGCGGCGCTCGATTGCGGACTTGCCCTGGTCCTGGGCGAGGCGATGTTTGATGAACGCACGCTCGTCATCGTTCAGCCACTTGGCGTCCTCCGGAAAGTCGGGAATGGCGAAGAACCATGCGAAGGATATAAGGCATGTCAGTACGCCCTCCAGGATAAAGATCCATCTCCAGCCGTTGTAGCCTCGAAGCCCATCCATCTTTCCGATTGCTGAAGCCAGTAGGCTATTGATCCTGTTAGCATGAACATGTATTGGGAGGATCCAGAGTGGAGTGATCAGTCTCTCCCCTGATCCAGAGTCATAAAAAAACGTACCCGCCAAAGGCTCCAGCCAACGTTGTCGAGGCGAAGAAGAAAGTATAACGCTTTTGTGCTTCTTTCCGGGTATACCACATCGATATCAGGTAAAAGCATCCGGGGAACATGCCAGCTTCGGTGACTCCCAGGAAGAACCTCGTGACAAGGAGACCTCCATAGTTGACGACCAGACCCTGGCAGATTGTGACGAGGCCGAACCCGAACATGCAAAGTGAGAGCCACACATGGGGCTTTAGCCGCTTCAAGATGATGTTCGAGGGGATCTCAAACAAAATATATGGCACGAAAAAAATTACAAGAGCTGTATTGTACTCCAGTCCTCCGAGCTTGAGGTCTTCACGCAGCTTGAAAATTGATGCGTTGCCGATGTTGGTGCGGTCCAAGAAGGCCATAAGATACAGCACGGACAGAACCGGAATCACCTGTGTACGTGTCAGTGTTTGCCACCGTTGGACTCGAGTTGACCACCAGGAATCAAGCTCTGCTACTTACACGAATGTCGATTTTGGTCATGAGCTTGCGCTCGTTGACGTTGGAAGGAACAGCTGTCTCAGCGTCCGTGAAGCTTGCAGGATGGGCCAGGTCTGGATCATAGACGTGGTTGTTTCCACCCTTCTCATGCTCCTGGTCTTTGCCTGCAGTCGTCGTAAGTTATGAAACCCATCCCGTTGACCTCACATTGCTTACCATCGATATTGAACCGCATGATGCTGTTGTGCCCAAAAGAACTGGGAGTGCGCCAATGGGACAGACACGAATGCGATAGGTCAGTGACTCCCAAAGTCGGCCGCAGTTGACCAGCTCTGATGACATAGAGTGAGGATTTCGATCATATTTACCGGCCAGTCGGCCGACGGCCGTGTGTGGTGGGCGGCAAGCATTGGCAATATTGAGTTGAGGTCCGCCCACTTGTCGCACAGGAGATCTTGCCTTTTCGGGCTTGAGTCGATTGCCCGTCCCGCACCTGCTCAGAGAAAACTTGTATGCCAAGGACCTCGGAGGAGGGTTAGCGGGAGGCAAACGTTTCTGAGCCAATGGCGGCGAAGTTCATCGTCTGGCTTGCCAGGATCAATCCGTAGATGAATGTGGGGAGATTTTGCCATTGCATCTGCAGGATCCGATTTCCCAATGTATGCAATACATGGGGTACTGGAATCTGACAGCAACCTGCGCACACCCGTGAACGGAGCCAGCGCTGCTGACGTAATTATAGTAGCACGGCTAAAAGCGAGCTCGAATGAAGTCCGTCACAGTCCGTGAATGAAAAAAGCGAAACGAACAGCACTTGCAGAGACTCGCGTGCAGAGCCTCAACATGGACGGAAAATACCAGGTGCACGAACAACTTGAAGGACTGAACTTACATCCAGAGGGGCCGCTGCAGGGATTGTCTGCGCCCAGAGTGTCGGCCCAAGCCTATGCATACGATCAAGTAAAAAAACAATGCTGTGCATAGGCCCGCAGCATCGAACCTACCCGGCTTATGACACCAGAGTGATGGCATAAGTACCCTGAAGACTCAGCAATGTCACAAGAGGACTTCGCCATGAACGGCCACGGCTTTCCGACAAGGTCTGAACTCCGGTCGAGAGCATCGTCTAGGTAGATGAATGACACATGCTGCAAGATGGTCTAGCGATTTGAGCTCGACCTCTCTGGGAAGCACTAGTCAAAGGTGAGACGCGCAATGCGACCTTTCTCACCCGAAGCCCAGCAGACGTCATTGGTTGGACATTCAATAGTGTCGTAGGACCCATTGTCGAAGTTCATCCAGGTCTTCCCACCATCTCGGGTAATATCCGATCCAGAAGGGCCAACAGCGATGGCAATATCACAGCGCCCTGGTCTCCAGGCTGCTCCTGATCTGTAACCACTCGGGAAGACAGTAGACGCCTGCCATGTCACTCCACCGTCTTTCGACCACGCTGCATTGCCCATAGTGCCGTTCGGCACCAGGTAATCACCCCCAACAGCGATCCCATGTTCAGCTTCTTGAGATACCACCGAGTACACGCCCGCCGATTGGCCTCCTGCCACCGGCGTGTCTGTCACATTCCAAGTTTCACCGTCATCAGAACTCCGAAAGACGCGGCCGGGGTCCACACCGCCAGATGCAGTATAATACTTCCCGCCAGGCGAGGAAGTAAGACACGTGCCGCTAGCAGCGAAGGCAAACTCGCTCGTGAGGGCAGTCGGCATGCCAGCCGGGTCGACAAGCGCCCAGTTCGTACCACCGTCCACGGTCTTGATCAGTCTAAACTTTCCTTCGACCGGGTCGCTGAGTGCGAGACCGACCAGACGCGACTCAAAGGCCATGCAGTCGTAGAAGGCCAGCTCGTCCTCATTCTGGAAGCCAAGCGTCCATGTTGCGCCGGCATCGGAGGTGACGTAGATTCTGGAGGCATTCCCGTTGCCGATCGACATGACAACAGCTTCAGACTCAGAGAACGCCGAGATGTCGCGGAGTTCGACGTCGGGCGCCAGACTGAAGACTGATGACCACGTTTGACCAGCATTGGTTGTCCTGAGAACGGTGCTATTGGTGCCAGCAACCCAGGCAACTGTGTCCGAGACTGCGGACAGACCACGGTAGCGTTGATCAGTCGAGCTGGGTAAAAGCGTCCAGGTTGGAAGAGTGCAGACGAGGCAGGTGAGGCCGCAGCAGCAATGGCGAGGCTACACGCAAGCAGGGCTGAGGGAAGGATGGAGTGCATGGTTCTAATAGTTCGTCGTCTAAATGCCATGTGTGGCATGCCATTCGTAGGCTGTAATGTCGTGCCCGTGGTATGATACCTACCATGCGAGGTAGAGTAGACTTGCAGCCGATGAGAAAGGGCGCATTGTGACTGCCATGGTTCAACAGCGGAGCTTTAATGACCGATGGCAGGCACGAACTGCGATATCGAGGGACGAGTTCTGCGGGATCCGTACGACCATACTGCTCAGACCCAGCAATTTCTCGGGTTGCGCGAGACGCGCACTGTAACTTAGCGAGAATTGGATGAACTACGCTGCAGGCTTGCACGAAAGGCAGGAAGATGTCTGCTACGGGGGCAGAGCCCACCCAGAGCCCATAGAAAGTTAAACCCGGCGTGCCCGGGCAGCTTGAGTGACTGCTAAGCGGGGCCTAGACCTGGCATCGGCGTAAGAGTGGAGATCTTGGCGTCCAGACTTCAACGTGACTTCACTTCATACTCGTTTGTTTGAGTACCTTTTGCTCGAAAGGCTTTCCCTCATGTAAATGACAGTTCATCGCACCTTCATTTATACCCGGCGCAACTTGATGAAGCGTTGATGTAGCTGTTACGGATCCCCGATTTCTGGGTTTGACGCTGGAAATTGAGCTCTCAGAGAGCCAGCTGTCCATCCCTGATTCTTGAACATTTATCAATACAGTCGTGATGTCTTCGCAAGCATCAAGCGAAGCCAGCCAGCCTCAACTTGCACACGGCGAATCCGTTGCTCTTCAGGTCAACAAACAGACTCCCGTGAGGGCGAATCATGCGACCTTTGAGAGCATGCTTACCGCACGTGTTCGAATAGCACCAGATTACGCCCCCTACAAAGGCCCCGCCATATCTACGCCCAGCAAAACGCCTGTGACTGTCAAAACATCTTCCACAACGCCCGTAGCGAAGAAGAGGCCGGCATCTAATGCACTCACCTTCGTATCAGTTGGAGTCGACACCAGCTCCCCCGGTAATCCCCCAAAGCGACTCAAGACTCAGGAGACGAGATTCTCACCCTCGACGACAAAGTACACGAATAAGAGAGCTGTCTTCAACCAAGCTCGCCCGCCCAAGAACGCCGACGAGATCAATCATGATATCTGGACGACCATTCTATCATTTTCTCATCCTAGATTTTTAATCCGTGCCAAGACGGTTAGCAAAGCCTGGTATAACATACTCGAGCGAGAGTCTATCTGGCGACATAGTCGACTCCTGCACTTTGACGAAAACGTCCCGGAATGTCCCGATGGTATTACAGAGCAGCAGTACGCAGACTTGTTGTGTGGTAGGGGTTGCCAAAGTGCTTCGTGTCCTCGCGAGAAGACAACTGCTGTATGTTGGGCACTTCTGGTCAGGCTTTGTCCGGATTGTCTTCAAGCAAAGACTATCAGGCTTCAAGACCTGCCACAGACTCGTCGTTACACGTGTGGACCTGCGGGAATTGGTGCGACCGTCTCGCAGCCTCTGGAAGATGCTTTGCCGATGCTCTTCAGCTCAACATCACACCGGACTGAGCTCCGAGAAGTCCGATCAAACAATGCCGGACAACTATCTTACGCTGATCTTTCACGGATAGGTACTTATCGCTTCTCGAGATCCGCCTACAATGCACTGGAAGCCGAGTATCTTGCAATGCAATCCCAGCTGAATGATCAGGGCATGTTGGACTGGTTCAAGAAGAAGCAAGAGCCGACCTTGAAGAACATGAGTGAAAGAGCAAAGATTGCAACTTGGGCACAACGTGCACCATCTCCTAACTCCGGTGTCCTCAGGCAACGTGCAGAGTTCTTCATTGCGAAGGCCGAGGAGCTCGACCCGCCAATGGCGGAAAGCACCTTAAAGTGCTTCACAGCATACAGGAATGCTTTGACGTCCCGCAATGCCCCTACTGATCGAGCATGGGAGATTCTACGGAGCAAGATCGAGCCATTGCGACCAAGAGCCGAAGCCCTTGACAAAGCAGCGAGGAAGACGCCTCCACCAGCTGATGCTGACACGCAATGGAATCTCTTGAAACGTCACAGAATTGGCTATCCTGATCCGAGGCCCCTGCCTGTAGTTCCAGAGCAGCAGGCAGTACTAAGTCTTGCGAGACCGATATTTCAACGACATATGCATATGAAGGTCGCAGATGCCGATTTGCTGCTCACCACCCTGAAAGCAGTCTATCACGAGTATCAGAAACTAGAGCAAAAGCCGAGGGGTACCAACTTCGACGGACGAGTTGGTGAGTATCGATTGAGTCTTGACGACGCGCGCATGATCGTGGACCACGTCATTGCTAGAGAGCTCTCTCCTCGCTCGAGTCGTGGTGTCGCTGTACTCGACAAACTTAGATGTGGAGCCTGCGTAAACAGCAAATCCCGTGACAAGCACTACAATTTTGAGAAGCTCTTCGAGCATTTGCTCGGCGTCCACGGCCAAACAGTCGGACCTGAGGAAGACGAGTCGCAGCAATTTTGGCGTTATGCGCTTGCCGATCGTCCGCATCACACGACCAGCTGGAACAGAGTCGGACAATTTCCGTGGTACACTGTGGAGTGGCCAGCAGCACTGCCCATTTTTGACGAGAATCCCAGGATCAATGACTTGCCACCATCGGGGTCTAGTGCACCGGTCCCGAAGTCTGCATTCGAAGGCCGAAAGGCGACGATGGACGGCGCTTCTACAGGTCTCACATTTGTCGACTTCTTCAAGTACGCTGCACAGAAGCTACATGGCCTTCGAATGCCAGGACCTGCTTTGACGAAGATAGCACTACAATTCGCAATCAATATGAGCGCTGAACGCCAACTTGAACTGCCCAATTTGAGAGCATTTCTGGAGGCAGTTCCGGAAATTCAAAGACTCAATCCGTCCATGGACTTCAAGTTCAACTGCGGTGCCTGCACAAGAACAAGCAACGGCAAGGGATCGTCCAGATACGTAGCTAACAAAATACCGTACGAGGCACTCGCTATTCATTGGTCTCGAAGACATGAGATCGCTTGGTCTCCAGTCCGTCGACGAAGAGGAGCCGAACAGAATTCGAGCCTTGACGGCGATCATGTTGACGGCCACGATGTTCGGCATTGGACTGAAGATTTCTGGCAGCTTCCATCAAATGTCCAGATAGCTGAGGAGATCGCAGCTTGTGATGCCAAGCTTGCAGAGAGGAAGCGGGACCTCGAGAACATCGGAAAGAATGCGAGAAGGATGTCGAAGCTCAAGTCGGGTGTTGTTCTTGCGACAAGACCAGCAAGCGAGGTATTCGATGAGCTCTTCGTCAAACTCTGATTCAGCGGCATAGCGATCTGTATGGGACCGTATCTGGCTATCATATGCATCCTTAAACTGCACGAGACCACATGAAGGGGGCTCTCGCAGTCGCAGAGCTGAATTTGCTACTATAAGAGCGACTCTGGTGGCGCAGACAAAATCACGAAGCTGGTGTGGTGGAGGCCTCAGACGAAGTTGGAAAGTGGTTGGCTGTTTCGTCTATTGGTAATGCAAAGCTCTCATAGACGGCTCAGATCCATCGGAATCGCCTTTGGCGAGCAGGCTCACCTGTCTCAAGTCCTTGGGGGACTTTGTGCTCAGTGCGCGCTTAAGGATTCTCTAAGATTCATGAAGTATGAGTATAATCAGCAACGACCGCAATGCATTTTTGTCATATCTTTCGTGAGATTGGTCGTGAAGCAATGCACTCTCGAACTGCCTTTGCCCAGCAGGAGAGGCTTACGGAATGTCCAAGATCGATGCTGGTGGACGATTCCTTCCAGATGCTGGACAACCTCGTCGAGACTCTTGAATCGTGAGCGGTATGGCCTAAGTTACGAACATACGTACGCACTGCATCAAGATGGCCTTCGACGTCAAGTTTGAGGTAGGCTGAATACTATTAATAGTGTATGTGAACGTTAAAACCATCTTTCTGCATTCATGGCTTGAACTCTGCTCACTTATTCAATGGTGTGCTACATGCGGAGCTGGCTGTCCAATTCGTAGAACGCCGCGTACCTCGAAACGACCCCCAGTCACCGTTGTCGTCATGATGTTCCTCGATATGCGTCTGCGTCGACGTTCGGCGCCACGCCCCAACAGCGTCCGTTTTGCAGACCCTGTTCAGCGGTGCGCGACTGCAGTCTGTCTGTAACGGCTCCATAGCGTCGATGCAGCGAATGCCGTGTGTGGACTAGAACCATGAGCCTGCGACATCAAGCTGTGCGCTCTGTAGAGGGTTGCATCGGAGTGTTTGCCTAATCCCGTATTGCTGACGCCTCAAAGGCTGAATGCGTCATCGGAAGGGCCGGATATGAGCCTGAGCGAGCTAGATCACAATGGGCGAAATGCCACATGATCCTCGGGTTTTGTGATCAATCGCGCTGGACGAATGTGTCGCACTTTGCCTTCCAGCTTCTCAGCGGTGCGTGCGAAGTTGCTGGTGACAAAGGCTCGAACGCCACGATACGCCATGTGATCGCGTTGGCTTCGGGCGTCTTAGGGGCGTTGATGTTCCTTTCTTGCGTGCTAACGTGTTCGCTTCTGTAGCCAGATTTCTGCATAGCTATGTTTAGTCCAGCCCGACAAAGTAGTCTCTCGACTTACAGAACGAAGCAATGGGTCCAGTCCGAGTCGTAGTCCTCCCAGCTCCATTGACAGGCTCAAGCATCTTCTTCACTTCGGCGCTGTTTCCCATCATCGAGAGATAGTCGAGCTCAGTGGTACCGAAGGACATACGTCGGAAAGTGGCGGACGGCATCTTCGCTAGTGAGTCAATAACGAACTGGTGAAACTTTTCTATGTTGAAGGGTGGGACGATGTTCTTCTTCTGGAGAGATGTTAAGGCAGCATCAATCCAGTAGTCGTGGGACGTGTCGAACGGCACCTCTCTGAGGGCTTGGTGATGTCTCTGAGGAGATTGGTGTGTTTTGTCGTGGCAATGTGAATCTTGAGGATTGACTGTCGCGTGTACGAGAAAATTGGGACAGGCTCCGCGTTCTCAGGCGTATATACCACAGAGTATGGTTTTCGGATGTTGACCCATTTGTTGACTGCCGACTCGACCTGTAGCGCCCAGTCATGATTTGCGAATGCGTTCTGGGAGTCGAAGCTGCAGTCGCTGCCTGCAGTTGTAGGCTCCTGCGACGAAAAGGCGAGAACAGAGATAGTACTCATGGTCAGTCGAATTGGCGACTCTCACAGTAGTTCGGGCAGAAAGCAGTCAACTTCGAGGTTTGCACAGGATACGGGATGGGGCATGGATTTCATATTGAGTGTGGCAGTCATGAGGTGTGGAGGCCTTTCAGCCTTCACCGTGGTCAGGTGTCATGTAAGCAATTCCTCCTTCCTCACCACAGCCGCATCTGAGACGTGTTGAATGTAGAGTCATCCCGCACAGCTCCGGTTGGATGAGAAACACATAGAGGCTGATGAAAGAGCCTGGAACCGCGTCAGACCGTGATGAAATAATGAGTAATGCGACGTGATTCCAGATTTTGACCGGAAGCATGGAAGAGAGCGGATGTGAACTCTGACGCATCGACTCGACTTCGTAGACGCACTCAGCCTCGTGTAGCCTCATCACGAACAGATCTTGATTGGTCGCTGCGGTCGCTGCCCTGCATGGCTTGCGAGGAGCTAAGAGGTGTTTCAGCTGCCGTTCCCCCGACGGTCTCATATCTACTCATCATGCTGCAGTCGAGCTTGTCGACAACTTTCCACGATGCAGACGACCAGATATCTAATTTCGTCAAACGATCTCACCAACAGAGCAGGCCAACGAACCCCGCGCTCAGCAAAGTTTCATCAGACCAGCACAGTTTCACTAAAAGTCGTCTGAGGAAATCAGGATCATGTCTTGATTGGCGATCATTTGATTCTGTGTGAGTACATAAGAATGCCGACTACACGCCAGGCCTCTGATGGAGGCTACTCAGTGGCAGCACGAAGAAAGGAAATCGTCGATATCGGACGATGTGGTCCACACGTCCTCAATTACAAACAGCCCATGCCCTTTCAATATGCCTGACCATGTTGTTGGTGCCTGTTGAAGCCCTCATACTGACCCGGAATGGCAACCTGTTCGTACACCTGTTCTCCTGGTGCGGCCTCTACGTGCTCGTTCCTCCGCTCTTGTGGCGGTGGAGAGACGGACACCGGAGGTGGTGATGCCGATGTCACAGGCTCAAACCCGTCCTGCTCGTGCTTTGGTGTTTGCTGACTCCTGGAAGGCGGTGCCTGCAGTTTGAAAGGCGTTGAAGGTGTCGGATTGTAGCTTGGATACTGCGTGGGTGAGTCATGATCCTCAACGTTCTTGTGTATCGAAGGGAAGCCTGGTGTTCTCGGCGTGTTGACATCCTGGAACTTCTCAGCCCGTGGCGTGTTGATGAAGCCAGGGGTGTTTGGTGCACTCTGGCTACGCAGTTGAGCGAGGTACAGATCAGTGCGTGCACGATCGCGGGCGTCCATGCTCTTTCGGAGCTTGTTCTTTGACCAGAAGCGGTAGAAGACGACCGCGTAGATGGCCACAACTATCACTTCGACGATGATCTCGATGATACAGCAGATCAGACTCCAGTCCTGCAGGCGGCAGACGAGCGCATAATGGACATCTTGTTCGAAAAGCTGTCGTCGCTTGTTGTCCTTGCACGACCATCCCCAGAGGTCTTGACCACCGCCGGACGATTTGGTACCTTGGAGAATGCCGGCGCCGACGATCCACATGACGATGCTGAAAACGAACCAACCAAGAGCAAACATCGTGTAATACACAGCCACCTTCTCGGCTCGCTTGTGGCCGCCTCTGCAGTAGGCGGCGATCACAACAATCGCGAAGAGCAGAGAGATGCAGGCGATCGTCAGCACAACGATCTGAGGCCAGATTGGTGTCTTTGGTGCCCACGCCGGAAGGTTGTTTCGTGGCGGCAGTGCTTTTGTCGCATGAAAGATGGTAAGTACTGTGCTGAGCATGGCGAGAACGATCAGTGAGCATGAGAAGTTGACACCTCGGAGAACCATCTTGGCCATTCGAACTCGAGTCTTGATTTTCTGGATAATTGTCAGCTATTGGAAGCACACTGGGGCGAATCGCTTACGAGATCTCTGGCTTGCTCCTTGTCGGTCTTCTCCTCTTGCTTCTCCAGATCCATCTCCTCCTTGAAGGTCGGACTCAATGGGTTCAGCAACCGTCCGCCAGTGCCGGGCGTCTTGAGCGCCGATTGAGTGGTTGGTTGCCATTGTTGTCTGATCGCACTGTCGCGAATTGCTCTCTTGGCTGACTCTCAGAAATATAGCCAAACCCAACATCAGAAGGTTTGGGCGCTTCGTCCGCCATGACGGGGTCAGCGAAAGGCGATCTGCCTTCGCCAGGCCCAGTGGCTGGTGAGAGAACGGATGTCGCTTCGGCAAATCGCGTTCTTCTTGGCGATTTCAGCGAAGCAGTCGACGAAGAGCTCGAATCAGTGCGAATCGAACGAGTAACGATTTTCTTGTCCTGTTTGTCGGCAGTTGGATGGAAGCCGACAGAGCGCGTCCTGCTTGGAGCGTCGGTGAGGTCGATGGGCGACACAGGTTCGTAGCCTGGTGAAAAATTTGGCGAAATGGGTGCCATCAAGTGCTTATGACCAGAATCTGTCGCGGGTGGGGGGCCTCGTTTCTGGGCTGATGAGCTGGTCGGCGATTCTTACGTGAGGGGTTGCTTGCAGTTAAGCGAGCACACCCATGTACCGGTTCGTGCAATGCTACACGGACCGATATGTCGTCGTTGACAGGTAACAGAGTCCAGCTCGTTCGTTATAATTGATGTATATGAAATAGCGATCTCGTTACACTACCAGCTGTTCGACGGTAAGCGTAGGAGCGTCGTCGGCGTTGACTTGGGTGGACTGCAGCAGTCTCGAGTCAGAAAGTGCACATCACGAGCCACGAAGTCGCTCGCCGAAGACTCACCCTTGAGTATATCGCTGGTCTTCTGTAGAGCCCAGAGACTATAGAAGGCGTAGCAAGAAGCGCCTTGGGGCCGCTGAAGCGGTCCGTTGACTTTCGGATTTCGAAAGTATACTTGGAGGAGCGGGACGAGGCGCAGAGAACTGAAGTGAGATCTCTGCGAAGCCTGCGCAAGTCTTCTCGTGATTATAGCAACGTTGAAGGGATCGAGGGACGTCTAAAGAGCACCAAGCATGAACGAAGTTGCAGAGTCATCGGAAGAGCACATTTGGCAGTATGTATGAACTTCTATCGCTATCTGATTCAGAAGCATATTGGATTTCCCCGTTGGAATTGCGGGCGCTTGAGGCGGCGGTCAGCAACCAGGCCTCTGTGGCGATTGGAGGCTATGCATAAGAAATGACCGGGGTTGGTGAGGTGGAGAGATGTGATTGAACCTCACTGGCCGTGGGGTCAGCATGTCAGATGGGCTTCTAGCGTCCATTGGCCACCGGCCATCGTCGAAGCGCCCAAGATAGCAGCTATTATGCATCACAAGCCCTGCAGATGGAAGATGATCAGGGCCTCTCGACTTTCCTCTGCATGTCGCCTGCAGCGGCTTCGTTATTGGTCGGACGGACTGATGGCGCGTCCAGCGAAATCGTGCTCGGAGGAGTCGAGGCCCTGGCTATCTTGTCAAGCGGCTCTCCCAAACGCCTGCGGAACGTGTGGTTCCCGTCGCGTTGGCATGGACGAGCTGGGACAGATTAGCATGGTCAAAGCCTCATCGCCGCGAAGACATGCTGAAACTTGAGTATATAATATGGTGATATGCTAAAGACTACGTACGCTGCGTGGAATGCTGAAATGTAGGGTGTGAGCGGGCAGCGCGGGACGATGGGCCGTAGCCGAAGCCTGGCGTTCCCCAAAGTGCAACCATGCGAGGCTTATTTTTAGGTGCGATCAGCAGCTGATGAGATGATCCGCATGAGTTTTCTGGAGTCTGCAGGGCCTTGCCGAGGTCAGGAAGACGGTAGCGTTCTGCACTTTGGCGATTTGCTGAGGCTCAGCGTCGTTGAGATCGCTGTACCTTGGTCACCATACTTCACGTGATGCCCAAACCAGCCTTTTCACCCACCATAGTAGCGATATCGTTTTTGCGATGCAAAAGCTGCATGTCCGGAAATAATCGGCAAAACATCATTAGCGGCAATAGACAACGAGCAGAACCCGTAGCTGGTGACGTGCCCAACGATGGCAGCCGGAGATTCTGAGTACCAGATGACTGTCCCTTGAACGATACATGCGCCCATCTCACTTCGCACATTGCACAAACGTGATCCCAACGGCTCTAAGATCAATTCGCTCGTACCCAGCCAATCCCTTCGTGCGATACGCTGCTTTCGAGGACACTACAGCGGGAGCACCCTTGGAATTGATCGGATGCCGCTTCGATCGAGCGGTGTCAAGCACTGGTTGTTTGATCACCAAGACCTTCTTCGCCTTTGGAATCTGGAGAGCTCTAATCTCCATTTCCTCGATTGCTTGCAGCGCCTCCCGAACATCCCTTTCTTCGCGACCCTCAGGGGTCATCATTTCGTTCTCTAGTCTGCGCGCAGCCAGCGCCAAACGTGTGTCGTTGAACATGTGATGCCGCAACGTGAGTCGCACTAGATGGAGGCCGTTGCCTTTCACAACCATCAGCGGTTGGGTCCAGTCCTCATTATTTCCGAGTGTGGTTGGCCAAGTCGCCAATCTGAGGTCAAGGTTCAGAGACTGAAGTCCAACGAGCGTCGTAGCTATCCGGGAGCATGTCCTTTGCCACTTGAGGTCTTTCTTGTCTTTCCAATGCTTGTTCTTCGTCAGTCTGGGCTCCCCATACCCCGCGAAGCTCAGACTTATGGATCTGATACACTTCAACCCAGCAGCCGCTGCGCCGTTGAGGAACTTGTTGATGGCTGCTAGGCTTTCGAAGCATGGCGTTGTTTTGGAGTAGAAGATCTTGGTCGCTTCTTCGGAGATTGCACGACATGACCTGATCAGTCCGAGCGGATCTGCTTCTTCATCATCTATTGAGAGTATTCTTCCGCTCAGTCGGTACCGCGATAGCTTTGCTGATGGATGTAGCTTGCGACGCTTGTGAAGATCTCGTTGCGGATGGTCGGCGATCACCAGAACATGACTGCTGGGAATGACCAGATCGTAGACTTTGTTTCGAAGCTCTCCGGGAATCGAGAGGAACGGGAAACCGAGAAGTGTGTCAGCTGGGCCGTCGTGACCAACGGGCGAAGTCGTGCGAGGACTCTGATGCCTGTCGGTGTACTTGATCGTTTGAGCTGGGGATCGAGACGACGAACCTCGTGAGTGCTCGCACATATTGTCGCCGTCATACGTTGTCTGACTCCAGGGTTCGTCTCGGAGCATGAACGACATCAATTTCAGATGGTGTACCAGACAAGTTCGCGTCCCACAAGGCCAGATGCCTGGACTATTGAAGCAGTGAATCAGGCCTGACGAGTATTATCAGATGGCTGAGTCGCTCACAGGAAGGCGGAAGAACGTCTCAGATCAAATCGAGTCCAGTGATTCGCAGGCGTCATTGACTAAGAAGAGCATTCCTGGCCGGTGCTCTCAAGCGTTACGAAAAGAACGAAATACGAGTCTTGAATCAGCGCAGTTGCTCAATCGCAGCCGACTCATGCAATAGGATTCATGGACATTGAGGATCAATTGATGGCTGGCGACGAAAAGAAGCGGTAGTCAATACTGAGGCTGTTTCCTCGGTCCAACTTACATGTACCTGACCTGTAACTGAGCGAGCCTTCCGAGTCCTCCAACATCCGCATCCGAACTTCGGCGCCAAGGCCCAGGTGATCGCAAAGCGAAGCCTCGATCAGTGAGTACTCAACTCGCACAAGTGGCATGCCTGCGCTATAGCTTATGGGCAGGTACCTAGGTATGTAGCTGCTTCGTTGTCAGCTTCCCCTGGATGGCATTGTTACCCCATTGCATTTTTGTAGACAGAAGATGTGTCGTGGCGGACGGTGCAAGATCAGCATCCCAGTCCAATGTTTTGTTGCGGACGACCTTTTGCATTCTGTGAGAACACCGTGCCAAGTTGTTCAGCTACAGGTAGTTACCTAGCAATTGATCCATCGATGAGATCTTCCAACCCTGGACGCGAAGAGCGACTATGCCACATTGTTGCTAGTGTCGGATTACATATCCGCTGCCGGTACTCGCTCGCACTTCGAACTTTTTGCGATCGATGAAGGTGGTGCGGGTGGTAGGAATTATTTCGGTGCTCTACCATTTCCTCACTAAATTTGCGACGACAGTAGCAGGTCTAGGACGAGCCTTTCGTCAACTTTTGAACCTCTCGAGCAAACAACGTCGCGGCTTTGGTGACTTCAACGGATCTGCCAATATGGCATCTCAGCGGACGGGTAAGTCTCTCATTGGCGATGAAGTTACACCTTGTGCTCATGTGATCAAGCGATATTGTCCGTATATGACAAGACAGGTCTGCTAGATCTTGCAAAAGGCCTCATCAAGCACGATGTACGGCTACTTGCATCTGGAGGCACTGCTAAGCTGATTAGAGAAGCTGGCTTCAAAGTCGAGTTAGTTGGAATTTTCCGAAGTCGAGCATGCGCAATACTGAAGTGTTTACAGAGATGTGTCGGCGATCACACACGCCCCAGAGATGCTCTCGGGTCGCGTGAAGACTCTACACCCTGCCGTCCACGCTGGAATCTTGGCACGGAACCTCGAATCGGACGAGAAAGACCTCGCTGATCAGAACATCAACAAGGTCGACTTTGTGGTTTGCAATCTCTATCCCTTCAAGGATACGGTGGCGAAGATCAATGTCACTGTACCCGAGGCTGTCGAGGAGATTGACATTGGAGGTGTGACTCTGCTCAGAGCTGCTGCCAAGAACCACGCGAGGGTTACAATTCTGAGCGACCCGAATGATTACCCAACCTTCCTTCAGCAACTCGAGAAGGGTGACATCACAGAGCAACAAAGGCAATCGTACTCCTTGAAGGCATTCGAGCACACAGCAGATTACGATGCGGCCATTTCTGACTTCTTTCGCAAGCAATACGCTGGGAACGGCAAGCAGTATATGTCACTACGATACGGTGCCAACCCACACCAAAAGCCTGCTGCCGCGTACACCAAGGAAAATGACCTGCCATACACCGTGCTTGGGGGATCTCCTGGCTACATTAATCTCCTGGACTGCCTTAACGCCTGGCCCCTTGTGAAAGAGCTCAAAGAGGCTCTCGGCTTGCCCGCTGCTGCATCATTCAAACATGTCTCACCAGCAGGCGCTGCTATAGCTGTGCCTCTGGATGACACCGAACGGAAGGTATTCATGGTAGACGATATCGCAGGCATCGCGGAGTCGCCTCTAGCTCAGGCGTACGCTCGTGCTCGAGGAGCAGATCGCATGTCAAGCTTCGGTGATGTGATCGCTCTATCTGACAAGGTGGATGTGCCGACGGCCAAAATCATCTCTCGTGAGGTATCGGATGGTGTCATTGCTCCCGACTATGAGCCGAAGCACTCGAGATATTGAAGAAAAAGAAGGGAGGGAAGTATCTGGTGCTGAAGATGGCCGAAGACTACGTTCCGGACGCCCAGGAGACACGCTCAGTCTATGGCGTTCAACTTACACAACGCCGGAACGATGTCAAGATCAGCCTAAGGAGACTTTTTCATCGGTCGTCGTGCCAAAAGACTCCAAAGCACTCTCTGCAGATGCTCAGCGTGATCTCACCGTGGCGACGATCGCTGTGAAATACACCCAATCCAACTCAGTCTGTTATGCGTTCAAGGGCCAGACCATCGGTATCGGGGCTGGACAGCAAAGTCGCATTCATTGCACCCGTCTCGCAGGAGATAAGGCCGACAACTGGTACATGAGATTCCATCCAAGAGCTCTAGACATCAAATGGAAGAAGGGCGTCAAACGACCAGAGAAGTCCAACGCGATCGATATGCTCTGTTCTGGCCAAGTGCCACCTCGATCCGAGTTCGAGAAGGAGGACTACGAGCGAAACTTCGACGACGTGCCTGCCCCCTTTACGGAAGATGAGCGACGGGAATGGTTGAGTGGTCTGCAGGGCGTTGCGGTCAGCAGCGATGCATTCTTCCCATTCGTCGACAATGTTTACAGGGCAGCCCGGTCGGGCGTCAGCTATATTGCGGCTCCCACTGGCAGCCAGAACGATGGTGCCGTGTTCGAGACGGCCGAGAAACTAGGGATCACTTTCGTGGAACAAAGCACTAGGCTGTTCCATCACTGAGGCTTACATCGCGCTTGGATCTTCTCGAAACTAGTTGCTCTGGCGAGCTCATGGTTGGCGACCGTCTCGTGTACAGTCGCTTCAAGTGCATATTCGCAAGATAAGCGTGCGCCGACTGTCGAGCGAGATGCAGTTGCCGGCAGGTCTAGATCTCACGAATGTCGACTTAAGCACATTCCAAGACGAGCTGAGCATGTCAATTAAGACTACAACAGGGCTGCAGGGTCGCGACAAGCCAAAAGGCATGCTTCGTGTCCCTGCTTATCGCGCACGAGATCTTGCACCATCGTGTCTTAACCACTGCTCGTCGGGCTTCGGCGCTGTACTCCGCGGGGGATTTCTTTAGGCTTTGATAAGGGTCATCTTGGCGCTCGGCTGCGAAGAAAATCACATGCTTGGCCTGCACGAACTTATCCGCCTTCTTTAATAATGTGCAACTACTTTCATGACACAGAGACATTGCTCTTGCATACCCTTATCTTCGCCAATGGTTAATGCATCAGTATTGGAGCCCTCCACAGCTCAAGCTGATCCCCAACCCCCGCCTCATGCGGCTCAAATGATCTGATTCGCTCTTGCCTGCATTGATAACGAACTGTACTGTGTACCTGTTGATCTCCCACGCAGCTAAGGTTGGTCCCGACCGCAGTTTCATAGTCGTGCGACACCAATGATGGGCTGGAGATAAGGCTGCTTCGAAGCTACCCTTGCTGTGCTTTTGTGGTCGACATGCCACTTCCGCAAACACGAGCCCATAGTTCAAGCGGGTGCCGATATCGTCACGCGAACGAAACACAATTGCCGTCCTCCGTGTGAACGAGGGTACATATACATGCCAGCGAGCTGATCCTCTAGGACTGCCAATTCTAGCGCGCTTCCACATACCCGGGACGTGACTTCGTTGATCATCGTTGCGAAAATTTCATTTGCTAACATACTGCGACGAAACAATGGCAGAAGTCTCAAGGTAGAGCCGCCTCTCTCTCAGGCCACAGGATATGGCCTCATTCTTGGCCTCGGCTTCGCCTTTGCGCTGGGCATGATAGGCACAACATGGGCTTTGAAGCGATACCATGGCGAAGTGCAGACGTCTGAGGCATTCTCGACGGCCAATCGCACGGTCAAATCAGGCTTGTGGCATCAGCCGTGGTCAGTTCTTGTTAGTATCACTTCCTTCAGCCCTCAGGCGCGTCTGACCGAAGGATATAGGGACGTGGGCGGCGACGTTGCTACAGTCGTCAGGCATTGCGTACAGATATGGAATCTCGGGTCCATTCTGGTACGCGTCAGGAGCTACCGTTCAGATCATTCTGTTCGCCACTCTTGCCATTGAGCTTAAGCGCAAAGCTCCCAACGCGCACACATTCCTGGAGGTTGTCAAGGCGCGATATGGAACGGTCACTCATATCGTATTCTTGATCTTCGGCCTGATGACCAACATCCTTGTGACTGCTATGCTTCTGACTGGAGGCTCTGCCGTGGTTGAATCTTTGACCGGCGTCCCTACCGTGGCCGGCAATTTCCTTCTACCCGTGGGCGTGGTCCTGTACACTATGTTCGGAGGCATCAAGGCCACCTTCTTGACAGATTATGTTCACACCGTGATCATCCTTGTGATCATCTTCATGTTCGCCTTCAGCGCATACGCAACCAACGAGAACCTTGGCTCCCCTGGGAAGGTATGGGAACTTCTCGTCCAAGCAGGAAAGGACCACCCTGTCGACGGCAACAAGGACGGAAGCTACCTGACCATGCAAAGCCGGGAAGGCGCGATCTTCTTTGTCATCAACATTGTGGGCAACTTTGGAACCGTGTTCCTCGACAACGGCTACTACAACAAAGCGATCGCAGCATCGCCAGTTGACGCCCTGCCCGGCTATATCATGGGCGGTCTCTCCTGGTTCGCGATCCCATGGCTCGCCGCAACGACTATGGGCATGGCGGCTCTCTCGCTGGAGAGCAACCCCGTGTTCCCAACATACCCAGGACGCATTCCTGACCATGAAGTATCTGCTGGTCTTGTGCTTCCACATGCCGCGACTGCACTGCTCGGCAAGGGTGGTGCTGCCGCGAGTGTGCTCCTCATTTTCATGGCCGTCACTTCTGCTTCGTCGGCGGAACTGATTGCAGTCTCGAGCATCTTCACCTACGACGTGTACAAGAACTACATCAATCCTGCTGCTACTGGACGATTCCTCATTCGCATGTCTCACGTGGCCTGCGTGTGCTACGCAGTCATCATGGCCGCCTTCGCCACAGGTCTCTTCTATGCAGGTATCGGAATGGGATGTGAGTACAAGACTTCATCTGAGCAACCTAGTAACAATAGCTAACCTGCGACAGACATCTACCTCATGATGGGCTGCATCATCTCCTCCGCTGTGATCCCCGCCACTCTGACACTCACCTGGTCCGGCCAAAACTGGATCGCAGCTGCTGGATCGCCCGTCCTTGGTCTCATCTGCGCCCTCATTGCATGGTTGGTGACAGCCAAGAGGGAATGCGGTGCCCTTGACGTTGCCTGCACCGGCTCCAACTACCCCATGTTGGCAGGCAATGTGACAGCACTACTCAGTCCATTGATCTTCATCCCAGTCCTCACCTTCGCCTTCGGACAGCAGAAATACGACTGGCTCTCAATGGCTGCCATCAACCAGGGCGACGACAGCGACATTGCAGCGAAGCTCGGCGTGGACGTCGAGCAAATTCGTGGCCAGGCGATTACGACCGAGGTTCTCCTTGACGAGACAGAGCAGAAGCATCTGAAGAGGTCGGCAATCATTGCCAGGAGCATGACTGTTTTCATGACACTTGCCTTGTTGTATGTTGGATCATCACCCCTGCCCCTTCTGACACAGACTAACCAAGCGTGCAGGGTTCTCTGGCCCATGCCAATGTACGGAAGCGGCTACATCTTCAGCAAGAAGTTCTTCACCGGCTGGGTCGTCGTCGGCATCATGTGGCTGTTCTTCAGCTCGTTCTGTGTCGGCCTGTTCCCTCTCTGGCAAGGTCGCAAGACCGCCGTGCACACCATCAAGTCCATCATCATGGACTTGACCGGCAAGAAGCGCCCCCAGCAGGCGCTACACGGCGAGAGCCAGACGCCCCCTGCAGAAGCCTCCGACTCTGAGAAGAGTGGCGGTGTCGAGGGCGTCAGTGAGATGCCTAAGAAGGAGTGATCTACACCTCGCGATCCGGACAGTCGTGCTCTCTTGAACGGGTACCTCGCCGGAGCATCCTGAGATCAGCGACAGCCTTCCGACCGGACACAGCGATAGAGAAGACTAAGTTTTGCCAGAGATGGGCATGGACCAGCCCCGGAGGTCAAGTTCGGACGGCTTGTGCTGGATGAACTAGACCTTTAGCTAGAAGAGGAGAGATGAGATATACCCCGAGTTGTTTGCAAGAGTCATCCACGCTTAGGACTCTCGAATCCTTAGGCGAAGCCTTTGAGCCGCATCAATTCCAATTTTGCTTCTGTCGCTGCCCAATGATGCGCATGCAGTAGCCAATCGATTCCCTAGATACTCTTCATCCGGTGATTCCAATAATTCTTCCTGATGATGTCCCACTTGTTCCCCAACGCCCTCAGACAAGCCCTCGCCTTCTCCTTTCCCTCTTCCGTTCCTTCCTCTGCGTAAATGATACTCAACCAATCAATAGCATGACTGCTCCTCACTCCATCACCTTCATAGTCCAGAGGACCCTCATCCTCGATTCTGTCCTCACCACCCCAAGTATCCACACCCGGATTCCGCTTCGGCCGCACGAAACTCTCACAGAACTCCCTCTCCGTCCCCGTCCCCCTCCCCGCCCGCTTCAACACCCCCCTCAAATAGTTCCACGGACTAGCATTCTGCGGCGCGGCCTCAATCCAGCCCCTCGTGAAACTCAATTCTCGCTGCAACACGACCTCATCCACCTCCCCCAGCATCTTGTGTTCCAACAACTCCTTCCGCACCCTACTCTTCGCCTCCCCTTCCGGCTTCTCCAACTCCGCTAATTCTTCATGTCCGAACACGACGAAGTATCGGTGGGACCAGGCGGAGTTGTTGCGGCAGTCTTCGTTGATGAGCGCTTCGAGGGAGAGAAGTTCGGGGGAGGGGTCGGTAAGGAGGGTGGTATGGTAGCGGCGACAGAGCCATTGGCGGTAGGTCCAGACGTGGTAGTTTTTTGCGTCGAAGGAGAGGATGTGGGTTAGGAAGGGGATTTCGGTTTCGGGGAGGGGGAGGTGGGTGGGGAGAAGGGTGAGGAGGGATTGCCGGTGGTGCCTGGCTTCTCGTCAGTGGACGATCTTCACATATGCTTGTGCACTTGATGTCGTGGTAGGAGCATATGGATTGCTGGTATACAGCAGACCAAGCTGACCCGAACAGAAAAGAAAATCCAAAACATACCAAATTTGATAGTTCTTCAAATTCCGCTCACTCCTCCTCTCCAGCCACTCCAACTCCCTATTGACACCCTCCACGACCTTCCCCTCATCCTCCGCCCCCTCAAACACCAACGTCGCCCCTTTCGCATCCACGCCCCATAGCTGCCTCAAGCACTTCATCCGGTACAGCCACACTGTATAATGTGCCGGGTTCTGCTCGATGATGTCCTCCGTCAGCGCCAGACAGCGTTCTGAGAATTCGTTGTCTGCCATCACGGCCCGGAGGTAGGACATGGCTTCGAGGTAGCGTTGGGAGTAGGCGATTGTGGCGAGGGCTGGTGCTGGTGGGGGAGGCTCAGGCTGTCCTGGTTCGAGCGGTGGTTGGGGGCCGCCTTCGATGAGCGGGATGGGTATGACATCGGCCCAATCGGCGGAAACGGCATAGAAGGGGTCTCGTGACTTGGCTTTGGGGCGGAGGTGGTCGTAGGTGTAGGGCGCCATGGTGGGCAGAGGTATTTCAAAGGTACTGCGCTCAGCGCAGAATGCGCGTGCCTGTGGGCCGGTGTTTGCTGTGTGATGAGCCGGGTAGGTGTGCTACTAGATGGAGTCCGTGGCCATTCGTGTTCTCGTGCTGTGCCTGAACACTAATGGTAGCGGAAGTGGGGTAGTGCAATGGCTTGGGCAGTCAGATCACGGCATGTATGAGGTACGTCGCTGCTGAGGTTTTCCTGGAGGACACCGGAGTTGTGATCGCAAAACTAGACGGTTTAACTTTTTGGAAAGGGTCGAAGGACATTGGTGGTCCGAGCGGATGAGTGAAGCATGGCGGACTCTGGACGGGAGGGCGGAAATCTTGGCGCGTCTATTATGAGCTTTTGATGATCAAAGTATCATCTAAATTGGCGAAGATGTGCGAACTATGATACATGACCAGTATATGGTACCTTACATAAAATGGCGATTGTACAAGCTTTTGAGAGCTTGCGCTCGCTGAACTCGACTCTAAAATGCAGCAACCCTTGACTCCAACGCTGAAACAGAGTACCGCTCCCACAATGCATTTCAAAGATGGAAGAACTTCCACTCGGACCGCTTCTCGCGAATGCCAACACCGACCAAAGTCTCGAGTGCCTCTTCGTCCTCTGCCATCAGGAACTTATGCTGGTCGATTTCTTCGCCACCTTTCTCGGTTGAGCCATTACGTAGAACAGCAGGATAGAGGATGCCAACTCCATCGCCTCCCAGCGTGGTCTTATATTGCTCAAATCCTGCCTTGGCGAACGATTCGTTTAGGCTGTCTAGCTGTGCTCGGCTCACGTCAGGCTTAAGCAGCGTGATGGCACAGCCGCCACCACCGGCACCCGTCAATTTTGTCCATCCAACATCAGCGTAGTCTACCAGTTCTCGAATGTGCTCCAGTTTGGGATGTGAGACTCCAAGTGATACCAAAAGCCCATGGTTGATCCTGAAAAGGTCTCCCAAATGTTCGATGTTGCTCTCGGACTTGTTGTCAAAGTCTTCGGATGTGATGAGGTTGTAGGCTGACATGGTCACTTTGTCGATGCTGTCAAGAGCTTGCTCCGCCACATCTGGGTATTTCTTCTTGAGGTGGCCGACTTTTGCCACCTCAGTCGCCGTTGATCTAGGTTGCTTGGTATTGATCAGGAGTAATGGTAGCTCCGGGAAGTCCTTCAAGGGTGTAGCTCTTGGTGGCTTGGTGTAGTCCACTCGCTTGAATAGAACGGCCTTGCCTCGCGTTGATACTGTGTTATCGACCCCGCTGGGGTTCCCGTGTATACACATCTCTCCGACAAATGCCCACTTGTTGATTCTGTCAAGCTGTGTGTCCACCTCTTCTTCCGGCTGGTCTTGATGAGGCCCTGCCAGGACATGTATCTGTTTCAACAGTGCCGCGCTGAAGCAGACACATATACTGGCGCTCGAACCGAGACCTGCGCCTATGGGTAGTGTGGATCGTAGCGTATAGATGCAAGCGTGTGATGATGGGCTTCCCAAGCACATGAACAGGTACAGAAATGCAGAGGCAGCTGCCTGTTGTACCTTGCGCTTCTCTTGAGACTCGGACGGGGAAACTTCGTCGATGAAGGGCTGTATGGCTTTCACGATTGACTCGTCCAGAGATGTCACCAAGTCATAGTATTTGGGCTTTCGCGCTTTTCCAGTCGTGAAGATGTCCCAGGGCAGCTCATCGATATCCCAGGTGTGATCGAGCCCAACGTCCGGGAACACCAGCTGCACTGTTCGATGCGATTTCGACCGACTCGTGACCAGTAGGTATGTCCTTAGGGAGACCGCAGCTGCCATCGCGGCCTTGCCATGGACGACTGCGTGCTCGCCGAACACAATGACCTTGCCCGGCGCTGAGACCATGAATGCGGGTGCCATGACGGACGATTCCTTGCGCGAGCTCCCGTTGAGGCCAGGACGGCCATTGGCATGTCCATTGACGCCATTCATGGTGGTGCGCGACACCATCTGTTGGCAGGGTCGGCAGAACGGAATGTTGAGGAGCTGGCACGGACAATGAAATTGAGTTGAGCCCGCGGGAGGGACGTCACCTGCACGGCGGTGCTATAAGCACCGTTCCTACCAGAAAAAAAGTTGCCCTCGTGGCTGCACTTTGTAAGAGGGCCAATCGACGCAGCCAAATCATTGCTTGTCACTGGACTACTGCAAGGGCAAGAAAGCGCCCCCATCGATCAACCATGCGATCGGGTACACCCTATCGCTATCCGAGTGGGCTCATTGCAAATCGTTGGAGGCTATCATTCCTGCTTACATGCCGTCTGCATCAGAAAGACACACGCTCGATATGCATACAAGAGCTTGAACAGCCGGGAAAGATCAATTGACCATGGTCATCTGTTAATTCATTTAGTTGAAGTATTGTCTTAGGTGTAAAGCCCTTAAATATTTCCTTGTTCCGCTCCCGGATAGATATACTTTGGCTGGGTCATTGATCTCAGCTCTTTCTGGACCGACTCAGAAATATAGCATTTCTCATAGAACTCGTTATGTGCTTCCCAGGCCAGTCGTGCTACAGCATGTAGTCCAGCGTTCTAGGTGACCAATTGCCACCTCTCCCAATCTATGCGCCTCGCTAAGCTCAACTTTTGTAGTGAAGTTCGACCAGATCGTGCGGGATCACGAGGCCTTTCCAGAATTACGATTCCTCGATGGCGTACATTTGCTCACTGGCCAATTTCGTCATGGTGAACATGTGAACTCGATCCTGTTTGAAAACGCTGCGCATCGGCTCATCACATTGAATGTACCGTTTGTCGGCAGGATCTTGGAGATTGTTGCCTTTGATATGTTTCCACAGTCTCTTGGTGACTTCAGGTCGAGAGAGCTACGAGTGTTAGCATGTTCCTTGTCTGGGCCTTGCGCATGGCTTACCTGGGAGTCACCGAGCAGTGCCGCAAGAGGCGCCGACAGATTCAACGGTTTGTGAAAGCCGGTGTTCTTCTTAGGCTTCTCCACGCCATCGACATCCGAGTCATCGCTGCCAACTGTCTTTGCTGACTTCTTCTTGGGAGTCCGCTTCTTCTTGCTTACAGCGGTCTTGCGACTGTTGCCGCCACGTGTAGGCCGTGCCATCTGGTCCTCTTCTGCTTGCAGTCTGGCGGCCAGAGTAGCATCGTCCTCGGGGCTGGCCTTCCTCTTCTTTTTGGGCGGCGCAGTGTCTACGACGTCCGAGAGGGACTCGCTCGTAGCGGCGCGCTTGATGGCGGAACTTGCGGACGTCGAGGGCGCTGCTGATTCCTCCTTGTACTTGTGAACACCATTGCCGTTGACAGCAGGTGCCGCATCGGTCTCGACTGAAGGTAGAGCTTCCTCGGCATCTTTGAGCTTGGCTGCGACCACTTCGAACCTTTCGCGGACGAGCTCAGCGATGGATGTCTAAACGTGTAAGCAAAGGTGCAGGCGTATTGTGGTGACACCATTCCCATACCTTGTGCGGAGTGATATCGTACTGAACTTTGGACTGTATGGCATGTCGGACTTGCTTGACTGAGACAGTATTCAAATCCGCGCCTTCGAGTGTCTCATCAATGATGGCAACATATTGCGTCCGTACTTCTGGTGGGACTGCCCGACGTAAGCTATTACACTTTGGAGCCTCGGGTCTGAAGCACTCACGAGACATCTTGACCTGCGCTATGGAAGGGTGTTCGGCATGCGGAAGCAAGTGAGGCGGCGGATAATTGCGTCTGCCGAGCGGAGGTTGCTAGGATTATCGCATTCCCTGGCGTGACGAGTCGCAGTGGTAATGGAAAGCGAAGTCGGGATGATAGGCGAAGGGCAAGGGCGTGCATACACAAACGTGTCACGCTCTTCAGTCAAGTATAGATGAGATATAAGTGAATGGAACCAGCATGCGGGCTAGCTTGACATGCGACTGACAGAAACAAAGGATTGGATGCAAGTCAGAAGCAAGCGCTCAGATTTCAGAGGAACCGTCTAGCATACCTCACAGGATAGGACAGGCCGAGCACGTACTCCCGGCGGGCTTTGGCGGCTCATGCTACTAGTGAAATGCATTTAGGCGATCGCGACCGTCCCGACCAAGTCGGAAATCTTGGCAGCCACAGTCACGTGTCTTCCCCACTGCAAGAGTTTCAACTCGAAGTTGACTCAACCATGATGGCGACAGGCCAGGTGTATTCTTTTCTTTTAGAACTCCTGTCTTTTAGTCACAAGCATAATACTACACGGTCGCATTGACAGCACGCCGCAAATATGGCTCCCAGTTTCGACCAACTATCAGACCACGATCTTCAAGAAGAGGAAGATGAGATCGATTTCAGCGATCTGCAACAACGATACGATGTGCGCCTTGAGGAGGGCCTCGAGACATTCATTGTACGTCTGCACCATCGACTTCCACTCGCACCAGAAGCGCTGACAAGCACAGGTCATTGACGGCCTCCCCGTGGTCAACAGCGAACAGAAGCCCAAACTCGTGAAATTCCTCATGAAAAGACTGGCCTCCGCCGGACGCATAAAAGATGGTGAAGAGTCGGTATATATGCCAATGAACGAACAAGGCGTCTCTGAAGGGTTCGTACTGCACCAGACATCAGCAACGCCACTGACAGATCCGACAGATTCGCGTTCGTCGAGTATCAAACCCCCGAGCAGGCAACCTCTGCTATCAAGCAACTTCACGGCACAGCGCTCGACAAGAAACACACTCTTTCCGTAAACAAGTTGACGGACATCGAAAAATACGGCCGCGAAGGCAAGATCGACGACGAGTATGTCGCGCCCGAAATTCCAGAGTTCACAGAACGAGAGCACCTTCGGTGGTGGCTTGCCGACCCAAATGCCCGAGACCAATTCGTCATGTTCCGCGGCGATAATGTCGGCGTCTACTGGAACAACAAGAAAGACAACCCCGAAACGATAGTAGACCGCAAGCACTGGACTCAGCTATTCGTCAGATGGTCGCCACAAGGCACATATCTCGCTTCGATGCATCAACAGGGCGTCCAGATCTGGGCAGGCCAGTCTTTCAGCAGAGTCCGCCAGTTCCCACATCCCTTCGTCAGCTTGATGGAGTTCTCGCCCAACGAGAATTACCTCACCACCTGGTCAAAAGATCCGATTGTTGTTGACCCGGAGGGCAAAGGTCCGTTGACCATCGATGAGGAAGGAAAGCACATCGTTATATGGGACGTCAAGACGGGTAAACCACTTCGATCATTCGTTGCATACGATCTGCCCGTGCCTCCTCCGCTCGGAGACGCTCCGCCCCTGAAGGCAAAGCCACAATGGCCTGCCTTCAAATGGTCGGCGGACGAGAAATACGTGGCACGTATGAAGCCCGGCGAGTCAATCTCGGTCTACGAACTCCCACGAATGAATTTATTAGACAAGACCTCCATCAAGATCGAAGGCATTCAAGAATTCGAGTGGGCGCCAGCCACCGTGCAGCGAGATGGTCCCAAAGTCTACGAGCAGCTGCTCTCATACTGGACTCCTGAACTCGGGTCAAATCCTGCTAAGGTCGGCCTGATGTCGATTCCCAGCAAAGAGATTGTCCGCACACGCAACTTGTTCAACGTCACAGAAGCCCGTCTACACTGGCAATCGGATGCTAAATTCATCTGCGTCAAGGTGGACCGACACTCCAAATCCAAGAAATCACTGGCCACGAATCTGGAAATCTTCCGCATCAAAGAGAAGGGCGTGCCTGTTGAGGTTGTTGACAGTCTCAAGGATACAGTCATCAACTTTGCATGGGAACCTAAAGGCGACCGCTTTGTTCTAATCACCGCTGGAGAAGCTGTACCAGGCTCAAACGTGCTTCCCAAGACTGCCGTTTCCTTCTTCGCCCCTGAGAAGACCAAAGGCAACATTACTGGCCCATTCAAACTCGTCAAGACATTCGACAAGAAGAACAGCAACGGTATCTACTGGTCTCCCAAAGGTCGATTCGTCGTTGTCGCCACCGTAAGCGTTCAACAACACTCCGATATCGACTTCTACGATCTCGACTACGAAGGTGATAAGCCTGATGACCAGAAAGACATGGCTTCGAATCTCATGCTCATCAACACCGAAGACCACTACGGCATGACCGACGTTGAGTGGGATCCCACCGGTCGCTATGTGGTCACCAGTGCCAGCATGTGGACACACCAGGTTCGTCTATCCTTCTGCTAACAACATGTAGCATGCTAACGTGAACTACAGATGGAGAACGGCTACCGCATGTGGACATTTTCTGGCACAATGCTCGCGGAGCAGCCCACCGAGAAATTCAAGCAGCTCCACTGGCGCCCACGCCCGCCCACCCTTCTGTCCAAAGACGAACAGCGTAACGTCCGCCGCAATCTACGCGAATACAGCCGTGAATTCGACGAGGTCGACCGAGAGATGGAGGAGAGCGCCGACCAGGCTGTCGTAGACGCAAGAAGACGTCTATACGCCGAATGGTTCAGCTACTTGCGATCAGCCCGGGAAGAGGTCGCAGAGGAGCGTGAGGATCTTGGCATTCCGGATCCGGAGCAAGAGCAGATGAAGCGGGTGAGAACGAAGAGCGGTGACGGGACTCAGGCGGATGAGCAGGTCATTGAGGAGGTTGTGGATGAAGTACTAGAGGAGACCGAGGAGGTTGTTGGCTAGTTTCCAGTGAAACGGATGATGCGACGAACGGCTGTCTGGTTTTCGACACCATGGAGAGTGTGATAAGTCCTCCTGCGTTAGGGGTCAGTGTCAAAAAGGTGCACGGTGAGGCGATTTCGAGGATATTGCAACGATTCACGATGTCTGGAGACGAGCCATATGCTCATGAGGTCGATCGTTAGAATTCAATGCAGACGTCTGATTGCATAACAAACCATGCTTCGTTTGCCTCGCGCCTGTGTGCACTTCCTTGTCACAGATTCTGACCTGGAAGAAAGCCTTGACCCTGCTGAAATTTTGTGGATTCATCTCCTTTTCCCAGTAGCAGTACGAGAGTCGTTCTGATTATACACTGTGCATTCGCTGCAAAATCTCGTGGTACATCGAAGCGGGGAGGTATCGGAGTCCTGTTCATCGTTGTTATCCTTCAGACCACTTCAATAGTGGCCCTGTCACGATGCTTCCGTTTAAGCACCGCCGAAACTCCCACTCCGCTTCCGATTGAATGCCCGCTGATCTTTCAACCACCTCCTGTACCCCTGCACACTCCCAATCTTTTCGCCGTAGAAGTCCGGCACAGGATTGTTGGTGCTGGCACCCGCTGGGTTCACTCTATGCCTCTTTATCCGCTCGAAGAAAGCCCTCTCTTTGCTTGTGAACTCTGCCAATCCCTTTCTGTGCATTATTCTCCACAAGCCATTGCCGAATATTGGACCCAACAGCCAACCCGTCAGCATGGCGGCAGTCATGGCGATGCCGGTGCTGATGATCGGATCCATGGGAATGAGCTTGACGACATAGTCGGACTGGTCAGGGTAGACTGTCAAGAAATAGAACGTGCCGGCCGTGGTCGATACGAGGCCAATGAGGGAGGATGTGAGTGAGTAGTAGCGTCGAGATGTGCGCAGTCTGAAGAATGTGTTCCAGTCTAGCGCTTGTGAGTGTGCTGCTGGTCTGTCTGTGTGTGATAAGATTGGACTGGCTGTGGTAGTGGCATGGCGCTTCTGTCGCGGTGTATTCTGCAGCGACTTCCTTGTGTTCAGCGACAGACTGTATGTGCTCTTGGACCGCGCTTGCGACAGCCTGACTGAGGCAGCCGGAGACCTTGAAATGGCAGTCGCAAACGACCGCGATGTGACTGCGGGTGCTGTGTGCTGGCAAGCGAGCCGTAAGCCGACCTGGGTCGGAACGGCTGTCAGCATGGCTTGGAGACAGAACGCGAAGAGGAAAAGGGAATGTTCTCCTCTCAAAGATCGATAATGGTCAAACGAAGTTATCTCGCATGTGGTCAAGCAAAGCACGGTTCGAGTTTGAGGTGTAGTCTCGCAGGGTACGCTGGAACTGCTGCCCCTAAACTGGTTCAGGCTTAGCTGGGGAGTCGCTTCTTTCTGGGATTCTGGAAGCCCTGGAAGGCAGCAGCAACGCCCGATACGAGAAAAGATGGGGGGCTAACAGTGCAGATCACAGACGAGTCAATATACTTTGATTAATCACTCGACCATCAGCACCTTTCGAGCTTAGAAACCTCCATTGAGTGAAGGAATCATGCCTGTAGTTCATTATGCGAAGCAGACTATCTCTCAAAGCAGCAGAAAAGTCAGTTGGACGGTGAGCTGACTGGCTGAAGGGTCGTGCTGACATTCGGGAAAATACCTTGAAGAGCGCGCGAGGATATCGAGAATAGCGCCTTTTTGAGCCCACCAGCTAACCCAAGCTGCAGCCGGCTAAGGGCCTAATGAATGAGCATCTCACCCCCATCCACCCCTCCCAGCCGTCCAATCGTACCCTCGACCTGCAGGGCTGTCAACTTGCGGTACTCATTTGGGTGGTCGAGACTCGCATCCCCTCAACTCGATTCCTCCAGCCGCAACTACCTGCAGCAGAGCGCTTTCTTTTCTGGCAAATGCCCTGACGTCTACACATATGACACAACAGTGATCTCACAGTACTTGGGACACCACAGCGACAGCATACATACTCTTTGCATCGATGCTGCTCCTTCTGCGGTAGCCCACTGGCCGTTTCGATGCCGCGCCCGAGGAAACCCGAGCTGGAGGGAAAAGAGGTGAAGAAACGGTCGCGAAATGGTTGCTGGTATGCGGAACACGCGGGAAGTCAGAGACATAGTAGCTAACAAAGGACTTCAGGCCGTGCAAGTCGCGCAAGGTGAAATGGTAAGTGTCTTGTCTCGTCGCATTCTTCTTCCGAGCGTTGCTGATCGACCGACTCAAGTGGGGAAGAGAAGCCGGCATGCATGAACTGCCAACGGCAAGGCGAAACATGCGACTACAGCATCAGACTCAATTGGGACGGTCGCACGAAAGCGAAGAAAGAGGACGGAAAGCCTGGCACCCAAATGATATCCTTCTCGCCTTCACCATCGGCCATGTCCAAACGAGGTCCTCCGAGTCCTGAACTGAATGGCCATATGGGCCTCGCGGGCTTGTCGCCCATGCCGTCAGCACACAGTCCTATGCCGGCCATGCTACAACCAGCACCTCTGCAAGAGTCTGCGATGCCTCCGATGCCATTGTATGCGAACAACCTCGTCCTACCGACTCCCGAATACCAGCCGCCCGTTCAGCCGAGTCCTCCGATCCTGAGGAACCCGTCGTGGGGCGAGAGTCGCAGTAATGGCACATTTCAGGCCACCGGCTCGATACAGCAGCAATTGAGGAACTCGCCCTATCCATCACCACAAGAGAGCGGCTTTGGCAGTCCCGGATTGAATGCAGCGATGTACAATCCCGCCTACTCGAGTCAGATGCCGCCGCCTATGACCTCGAATCCATACGCTCTCGGGGAGTCGGTAGGATCACCATTCAATCCTGCGAAGCGAGTTCGCTTGTCACCACAGACCGATGTCTTCGGCCCTAATCTTGGACCGCCACGACAGCATTTCGACAGTCTGAACGCGCCTTCCTTCTTCCCACCATCCTACAGCCTTAACAATCCTCTTACGCCTGCCGCATCATCGGCTTCAATCTCACAAGACAATGACGACCGCCGCATCTCCGTGAGCTCGCTACTTTCAGACGATCCTGGCCCGCCCAGCATGAGCAGCAAGCGGCCGTCGAACAGCACTGACCAGTCGAACCAGTCAGCACCAACTTCAGAACCCGCCGCCATCCCCAGGCGAGGATCGCTTCATCAGCGCATGATCTCGTACTCCGAGACCGAGACATATGGCCATGACAGAGGCGCTCCGGACTTCGACATACCTCGCAACAACGACACAAACGCCATCTCCGACAGCACTCCCTCAGAGCATAGCGAGTTCAGCTCGTGGTTGGAAACGGAGTTCGAAGAGCCCGGCTTTGGTTTCGGCACTGCAAGTAGAGAGACTGTGTTCGCCAGCGGCGGCTACTATGCCAATCCTGTGCCCATTAAGATACCACGAAAGCTGGAGCCTTTGCCGCAGACCTTGTCCGAGAACCCAATGAACTTGCTCTACTTCCACCACTTTCTCAACCACACCGCTAGGATATTGGTTCCTCATGACTGTCCGGAGAACCCATTCAAGACCATTCTACCCAAGAGTAAGTTGCTGCGCATCGTCCGGTGTCATTGCTAACCTCACCTAGTGGCTGTCGAAAATCCGAATCTGCTCAATCTCATGTTGGCCTATTCAGCATCACACCGAGCCAGACTGCTCAACCATCCAGAGCCAGCGAATAGAATCGCCATATGGGTCCACGACGTCTTCCCAGCACTTCGACACACCCTTGAAAATCCCACCAACGACGAAGTCGGCAATGCCAATCTGGCGACAGCGATTATGCTCGCCTCCCTCGAGATTATTTCACCATCCAGCTTCGGCGTCTCCATTCCTTGGCAGAAACACCTGGGCATAGCTCGCGATATCATCCGCGCCCGTGGCGGTCCTCACTCAGTCTCCCGCAAAGACCCCGTCATGTACTTCCTGACCCGCTGGTTAGCCTATCTCGACGTCCTCGGCTCCCTCTCCGGCCGCCGTAACGACGAGCCTTTATTCGCTGGCAACTACTGGTCCAGCTCACACGACGACGGCGCCTCCGCCAAGGAACTCTCCCTCGATGACGACGAAGAGGGCGATGACGAAGATGACTACACCATCGACTGCCTCCTAGGCTTCACGACCCGCTGCGTCTCTATCCTCGCCCAAATCGCGCTGCTTGCTCGCGAGTGTGAAGCCGACCGCATCGACCCACAGACAAGTAAAATCAACACCGAATGGCGGCCAGGGCCAGAGATTCTGAAGCGAGCGGATAAGTTACGCCGCGATTTGGACCACGCGCGCACGCACGAGCAGAAACAGTGCGCGCATCATAGTCCACAGCTGTCGAAAGCGCAGCTAAATAACTATGCTCTGAGCCATGCGCCGCCGGAGAGGAGGTACAGCTATGTGCACATGACGGACCAGGATGCGGAGGAGTCCTTAGCTACTAACTCAGCATTCCACTGGGCCGGTATGATCCATTTGTTGCGGAGAGTGCATAATCTGCCCAGGTCGGATCCGCAGGTTCAAGACGCGGTACACGAGATCGTCAAGGTACTATCACGAATAAGAGAGCGCGGCTCAGCAGAAGCATGTCTCCTCTTCCCAACGTTCACGGCAGGCGTGGAGGCGGAAAGCGAAGTCGATCGCGCGGAAGTACTGGCGCGGATCAAAGGTGCGGAAGGTCTGGGAATGTGTCAGGTCAATCGGGCGCGGAAGATCATGGAGCAGGTGTGGCGGAGTGGGGAGAGTTGGGAGATGTTTGCGCAAGCCGGGGAGTTCTTTGGCTGATCGGGATGAAAGGTCCGGACCTTTTCGAAGGCGCTGTGTGGCATGAGGTTTTAAAGCCGCAGCATGCTTATACGGCGAAATGTGTTCGAGACAAGAGATGGAGGCGAGGATGTTCGCTTCCGAGGGAAGCGCAAGGACAGGTTGATGGACGGGAGCCATTCTTCATTGGTCATCACGAGGCAGGATCTAGCGTTCATGGTTGCGATCTTCAAATGCCATTTCTGTGGCATGTGCGCGAGCCTGTGTCTACATCAACTACTTGCTGCAGTATCCCGCATCTTCTGCGGTAGGTGCTGTAGTCTCTTCGGGCTACGGTGGTACCATATTCTGGAGCCATTCATGCTATTGCTGATGTGTCGCCTTTTGCTCGGTCTTGTTGTGGTGGATGTCGAAGCGCGGAGTGTGGCACTCGTGCCTCTCAATGCACTCCTTGTGGGATCGGGTATGGATTGCCGCTCTGAGGTTGGCGCCAAGTGCGGCTCGGTTCTGGCTTAGTGCATGAACGATCATCGCCCATGGTTAATTCAGTTGTCATCTTTAGAGGAGGCCAGAACCGTCACTCCAGACCCTGCTTGTTCCATTCCAGAGACATGAACTGTTCGTTCGTGTAGTCGAGGAATCGCTGATCGAGCGGGACCTCCTCTGGATGACCAACGGCGCTGATGATGTCGTTGAAGTTCATCTTGGGGGAGATGTGGTCAGGGTAATTGCTCTCGAACTCGTAGTCTTCACGGAAGAGCCGTTCGAGGTTCTTCCTGGTCGAGAAAACGATGCGCTGAGAAATTCCTTCTTCTTGGATGCCCATGTCTGCTTCAGGCATGTAGCCTATGTCACTGTGCTTCGACCAGTTGCCGGCAGGGCGATAGAGGCCGATGATCGTGGGATAGGTGGCTACGCAGTTGAGGCCAAAGGTCCGGTCGGCGCAGGCGTAGTTCATGCCCCAGTCGACGGGATTGTTGAATGGTTGCAAGCTCATTCGGTACAATAGTTTGCGGGCACCTCTCTGAGAAATGGCGTAGGATCCGGTGCAGACGCCGGCCATGGCAGGGTATATCATGCGCGTGGAGTTGCCTAGTTCTGAGCCGTTCTCCTCCCATCGAGACATCTTCGGGTTGCCGATGTGTTCGCGGGTGCTAGGTGGCTCGACCATGGGGTCGTTGGAGATGACATATCGTCGGGTCGTCCAGGGAGCGGGTGCCGAGCGCAGTGGCCGATCCAGAGGAGGTCCCAGTCGTCGCCGTACGGTGAGTGAGTTCGAGCATTGGTCTCTCCCGTGCTCCATCTCGTCCCTTTAGCCAGCTCGATCATCTGAGCCCGTATGCCTACATCCCAATCGACATCGTCCTCGAAGACCAGGGTTGATGAGACGTCTCTTCTGATCATGTCCTGCCAGACGTTCAGGTGGGCTCGCCAGCAGCTAGAGTCTTCGGCTCCTGTTGCATGGTGTGCGGGAGAGCTTTGGCGGAAATTGTATCACCGACCACACCGTCTGTGATGTTGTAGTCGATCCCAGTAACGCTGGCCATCACCGCAAAGGCGTCTCGCTTATCAATGCGCTCGGGCATGGAGACCACTTGGATCTCCTGGTACTGAGCTGTTGTTAGTGAGTCCGTTGATCGTGAGATATGCACTCACCCCTAGAGTCGCGTTCAGTATGTCGACCATGTTGGGAGTCGCCAATGGTGCACCAAGGTGCGCTCCGTAGAGGCGCGATCTTTGAGCCGCGAGATGCCATGTCGTAGGCAGTATGGAAGGAGAATTCCATGCTATCGAATGTCCTAGCTGATGCGATGTCAAAAGCACAAGCACTATCGCGAAGACCGTCGCGGTGATCAGCACAGGCCACAAGCGCGCCATAGTTGATGGCCGCGATGTCGCGCTGTAATTATTGTCTGGCGCATCGAAGAACCTTGTGTTGTGCGCCTCTCAGATTCTTTTGGCAAGAGGGATCAAGTCGAGGTTGCCGACTCGGAGAACAAAGGAAATGTCTGGAATATAGGAAGGTGCTTTGTGCTGGACGTCTGTGTCATTTGACAAAGTCGGTCCAATGCTTTCCGGCAGTCCTGTCACTTTTCCATCTGCAGCTGTCGAGGTTCGAGACCTCCTGCACCGATCAGTGGCATTCCCTTGCTTCTCAGCAGGACTACCGAACGGTAGAATTGGCTCCTGGACGTGTTACGCATGAACCCACCAGGTTAACAAGAGAGACGTCGGCTTTGTCTCGCCCAAAGTTTATCTATTGTGGCGGTTGAGTTTAGATATCGGCTGTCAAATTTCTTGGGCTTGATTTACCCCTGAGCATCACTTGCTGACACCTCGTGTACAAGCACTGAGGACCTGCCATGGTCGCAAGTCATGCCTATAGTCATAGATAGGACGTCTCTTAGCAGTGTTCGACGCTGCTGTCAAGCTCCTGAATGCAAGGAAAACTCCGTCATTTGCATCGAAAACAAACAGGCCCAAGTACGGCTTCCCTTGCTTTTGCCCCAAATCTAGACTCGCTTTATCGTTGCTTCAACTTGGACTACATTGATGATTGTTTAGTGTCCGGTCATATAGGATGTACGCGACAAAGTACAACCACATTTCGTATCTGTATCTTGCACCTGGTGCACGAACAGAAATACTGAACTGGCATTCCTTCAGACCGGATGACAAACATCCTCGAAGGAGATATGGCCAATCAGACACCATGTGCGAAACTCCACTTCTCCGCCTTCTCCCACAAGGCAACCACGACCTTCACGCGTTTCTCTTGACTGCCGTACACGCCCTGTTCCAGTCCGGCTCAAGCCGCCGCGCATTCGACGTCCATCGCTCTTGCACGGCTTTCATGGGCCGGGTATGTCTCGTATCATGATGTCGATCTTCGCGCAATTTTTGCTACCAGTCCATCAATCGTTACGAGGACGCAAACACCGAATTTCGTAGGTGGATGAGTCGCGTTGGTGATCCTTTGGGTCCGAACTTCCTGTGTGCAGCGCTGGGCTCATATCAAGCGGATGACGCACCAACATGTCCGACTCCGAGCGGGAAGAAGTCTCTGGGTCTGGACTGTCGATAATTCCGTACGACAACAACAGAGACCTTGCTTTGTGAGTATTTGCCGTCAAAGCCAAGTATCAGATACTAACGGGCGACAGACGCCATGCTGACACGGTCGTATACTTTGATCCTCGTACAAATGTTCCAACCTTGTTCCGTGATCGAGGCACCCACGATCTTGAACGTCGCTCGAACAAGGACGACCATTGTCCTACCTGCAATCGTCCCTGGCACGAGGCTGGCAACCTCGCCGGATCAGCCGGGCCGCCGACAGCAGTGGATGAGCCCAATTTCATTACGAGCGACTATTTCCAGAGACTGGCGCTGAGTCTTCCGGGTTCTGCCGAGCCCTCTGCGCCACCCTCTCCCCGAAGACGACTAGCACAGCCCGTCATCAACGGTCCTCGGACCAGGTCGCGACTTGCATCTCCAGCCGCCGACCGGGCTGCCACCCCTCCACCAAATGCCGAGTTTGTGGGTAGCTCACCAGCGCCACCCAGTGCAGCAAATGGAATCTCAGAGGCAGCCTTCGCTCCTCAGTACTTTCAGAAGTTCTTCACCGTGGAGCGAGAACTTGGCAGAGGAGGGCGGGGCGTCGTACTCTTGGTCAAGCATATCCTTGACGGCGTTCACCTTGGTCGTTTTGCTTGCAAGCGTGTACCTATCGGTGATGATCACGGCTGGCTGGAGAAGGTGTTGGTCGAAGTCCAGGCCTTGACTCAGTTGTCTCATCAGAATCTGGTGTCGTACCGACATGTCTGGCTAGAGGACTTCAAAATCAACGCCTTCAGTCCATCGGTCCCATGTGCATTCATCTTGCAGCAATATTGCAACGGAGGTGATCTGCACAATTATGTCTGTAGCGATGCTCAGACGGTGCCCTCCACTCAACAGCTGAAAGAACGAATTCGTCGTCACTCACGTGGCGAAACCGACATGCCTCTAAACACAGCTACTGGACCGAAGAAGTTACACTTCGATGAAATATACTCATTCTTCCGGGACATTACTGCTGGCTTACGATTTCTGCATCACCATAGTTTCGTGCATCGAGATCTCAAGCCATCCAACTGCCTCCTTCACACTGTTGCCGATGAGACACGAGTCTTGGTGTCAGACTTCGGAGAGGTGCAATATGAAAATGCAGCCCGTAAGTCGACTGGGGCGACTGGCACTATCAGCTACTGTGCCCCGGAAGTGCTGCAGCGCGCGTCCCCAGATGGATCGTACGGCAACTTTACCTTCAAAAGCGATATCTTCAGTCTGGGAATGATCTTGCACTTCATGTGTTTTGCAGACCTGCCCTACGCATCTGCAGATGTACTTTTCGAGGAGAGAGAAGATGTCGACAAGCTTCGCGCCGAGATCTCAGCTTGGGCGGGGTTTGACGAGCGCAAGAAACAGCGGCCCGATCTGCCCGGAGAGCTCTATCCCTTCCTCAAACGCTTACTAAGTATTGATCCTCAGTTCAGACCTACGGCCGAAGAAGTCGATCGGGGCGTGAGCACCGGTAGGTTGAGCGATCTGATGCCAGAGCTGAGCCGGAGACGAGGCAGCGTGCCTATGGAGGAGCTGACACCGGGCAGACGTATCCAGAAGCTGGACACTCCGAAGGAGGGCAACTCGCCGCAGAGACCTCCCTCGGATGGGAAAGCTGGACCTGGCCTGCTCCTGCGCCCAAATCGGCCCCTGGCCACTAATCGCCCGCGGTCACAGGAGAGAACGAATCCCGCCTCTCGACTGTCTCGTGAGACAGCTATTGACGATGACGATGACGCTTATGATGACGATGACGCTGGCGCGGAAGAGCATAGAGGCAGGACACAGCGAGACGGGACAGCACGGCGATCACCCCGAGGCTTCCACGTGTCAAATGCCGCAAATCTCGACTCGTCACTCATACTACGTCCACGACAGCGTCAGACCACTGCTCAATCCATGCCGACATCTCCCGTCACAGAGCAACCTCCACCATCGCTACATAGTCCGGTGCTTGAGAGGAAACCTCAGCTCCTGCTTCCGCCCGCACCACGGCAGTCGTCAAGGAGGGATCGAATCGCGGCCTTCGCCACTCGACCCGTAGACACGCCACTCGTCCGCAGCTTGATTCTACTAGCCAAGGTCTTCAGTGTGCTACATCCCTGCCTGAGCATATCAGGCGGTGGTCTCAACACTGCTGCTATCTATCCATTGATCGTGCTCGCTGTGACCGAGTTCTCGCTTCCGTCACCACCAAGGGTGCACACGAGCATGCTATTTGCATTTGTGCATGGCGTTGCTCTGACGATGGCGCTACGGTGGGGTCTTCTATGCAGTCCTTCGTCCAGTATTTGGACCTGGAGCCGGAGAAATGGCGTGGACGAGCTGTGGAATGCTGGGCACGACGGCTAAAGAAAGCATGTACCAACAGCGAGTGGCCGAAAAGTGATTGTTTCCTCGACTATGAAAATCCAGGTGGATTCCCTGTCTGTAGCTCATACCAGCCTCACTACACACCATCCTTTCTCCTCATTTCCTGCATCATGCTCACAGAAATGTCCGACTAGTAGGCTGCCGCTCCGCCATCTCCTTATACTTCTCCGCAGTCCTCACCCGAAACGCCTTACCCCACTTTAACAGACCAAGTGGCAGCAAAAGCACAGCGAAGAGGATACACGCTGTCAAGATGTGCAGATTCTGAATCCCCATGCCGTTGACCCAGGGCGTCAGGACGAAGAGGACTATCACGCTGAAGACGTTGCGGCAGAAACTGTTGTGGTTGTCAGCGGTGAAGGGTTGTGCATTGGACGGAGGTGGCTCACATAATGCCCACAAGCGCATCTCCAACGATATCCTGGTAGCAGTCTGTGGTATAGGCAAGTCTATAGTCAAGTATCAGTCTCGGAAGCCGTGCACAACTCAGACTAGATATGGAAACACTTACGCGATATCCGTAGCAACCACGAACCCAAAGCCCCAAAGCGCATAGGCGATCGCAAGAATAATCCAGTGATCGCCCCGTGCGAGTCCGATTCCGAACATCAAGATGCCAGCCGGGATGAACAGCGCAGCGGGCAGAGCAAGCCAGAGACGCATCTCAGGCTCGAAGATACCCTTGTTGCGCTTCGAAAGCCATTTGGCAGAGTAGTCATTCAACCACCCACCGATGAAGAAGCCAAAAATCGAGCCGATGAATGGCGGCAAATTCATCAGCCCAACACCATCTGGTCCGAAGTTGTAAGGTGGCAGGACCAGGTATGTGGCTTGGACGGAGGTCATGATTGCGAAGGTCGCAAGGATGAGCGTATGTGAGTGCAGTATAGGTCACGGCTGGGAAGGTGAAGAGGACGATGATCGGTTGGTAGAAGTGGTGCAGGATTGGGCCTTCGGTTTTGGTCACGAGGGCGAGACGTTCCTTGTATGTTCTCATTGGGATCGTGGTGTCGATGAAGGAGACTGTGCGCTCGACTGAGCCAGATTCGGCCTCCTTGAGGTCTTGCGGCTGCTTGGAAGCGTCGGGTCCGTCTAACGAGGCGTTTCGAGCTCCCTGGGTGATCGGGACGTCGGTCGGGTGGCGGCCAACGAAGGTAGGCTTGTACTTGGTCTCCTCGTAGAAGCATATTACGGCGATGAGATTGAGACCGATGAATATGGTGCACCACCACCACATCCATCGCCATCCTTGGCTGTCTGCGACGTAGCCGCTGGCGACAGGGCCGAGGAATGCACCTGTTGTGGTGAAGACGAGGTACCAGCCGTTCATTGTGGCGTGCTGGTGGACGAAACTGCGAATCTGATTAGCCTTGTCTCGGGAAAAGGGCGTATGATAGAAGGCAGGATTGTAAGGTTGATGCGAGCAGCTTCTCTGTCAACCCGAGACATATGCTCGGGTAGTCTTCAATGCAACGCTCGTTTCCGGACACAAGTTCTTACAAGATATCGGCAATGGTGATCTGGACGATCGTCTCCGAAATGGCGCCACCTAGACCTGAAAGGATGTTGGCCCCGATCAGCGAGCCTCCTGCGACGTTCGTCGAGCCGTCAACCTTGGCCTGCCAGATGCAGCTGAAGAACTGCACGAGGACGCTGAAGATGTACAGAGGTCGACGGCCGTACTTGTGGACGAACGGGATGAAGAAGATGCAACCGATGGCCAGGCCGCCGTAGTTGACCGCAGCGGATGCGTTGAGGATATCGATGGAGAGGTTGTATTCCTCGATGATGGGACCCCATGCTGTGAAGCCGATGTCAAGTTGGACGAAGGTCCATAGGACGTAGTAGCAGACGAGGCCGTAGTTGACGATTTTTCTCTTCTTTGACCAGTTCTGGGCATTTCGTTAGTTGGGCATCGTTGTCGCGGTGTCGCGTACTCACAAGGGGGTCATTCGGATCGGACGACGGCGGTGGTTGGAGGACTAGCTGGTCCTTTGCCCGAGCCACTGTGTTTGTTAGCAGAAACTAGCGATGAGTCGTTGTGGACGCACAGTCTTCCAGAACCACCGTTCCTGGGGCGAACTGATAGCCGCTCTCATCTGTGTAAGTAGCCATTTTGTGAGATCAAACGTGCATTCACGTCTGTTGGGTCCGCGAAAGTGCAAGTTGGGCTTGAAACATTTGTGGAGATGGAAGCATATACATATACTACAGGCCGAGCACGGAGTCGATGAAGCGATCGCACCAACATCCTTGAGGCCGGCCGGAACATAAAGTGTACGTTGCTGCCGTCTTATCAGTGGTGAGGAGTCGCGAACCTTAGTAGGGAAGGAAAGAGTCGAGATCGTCCGGCTTAGCGCGGATTGGTCTAACAGCAGCTCTTTCCGCGAAGACCACGTTCTCGAGGCAGTAAGGTTCCGCCAAAAGCATTTTAATCTGGGGAAATGTGCATTTCAGAAGACGGCCTGCGGGATTGGAATATGAGTTGTACGAGCTCGTGAATAGATAAGAGGACTCATTCGAGGTCAACACGACCCGGCACGGTCGCCATGAGCCAAGCCCAATGTAGAGTGTATCAAGATCACCTCATGAGGAAGAGGCACCAGAATGCGCCGGTATGGTCCCTGTTCCGACGGCGATTTACGTTTGTAGCCGGCATGTTAAGCTCTCGGGTCGCTTTGTATGTCGTTGATAAGGACGATTAAGAGCGGCTCTGAAGGACTTGTCCGACTGCCATTGCTGCCCCTCGTCCTCCAATTTCGGGGCACCGCATTGACTTGCCCTTTTGGGTGCCCATACATCGACCACGCGTTTTGTTCTATGATTCAGTCATCTCAGCGTGTCCATGAATTCATCTGGTGGTGATCGGGCTTTCGGACTTTTCTGTGTCCTTTCTTTCAGGTAGGTCGACGGGCTCGTCAGGAGTGTGCGCTGTGGCGGGGCGCTTCGGGTCAAGTCAGCTAGGGGCGCCGTGCAGTGTACGACCCGTCACACGACTCCATCTGCGGTTTCTGTTCCGGTGCCTCAACACATAAGATGCACTCTGCCAGTCCGTTGGTCACTTGACGGTTATCCGGCATTTCATGCAACACGGTTCAAAGACAGATACATGATAGAACTGATACAGTGCTTTCCGCTCGGCACTTGCAGCAACTAACCTACAGGTACTCAGCAACAGCAACAAGCATGGAAGCAGTGCCACAGCCCATGATCAACGACTTACTCGGTCAGATCAGTGCCGATCCTCAGCTTCCACGTCCAAATCCAACATCAGCGTTCTGGCAACTGCCTCCACATCCTACCATCTCTCAAGTCCAATCAAGTTCACTACCCCAGTCGGCCGACTATGTAATCATCGGCAGTGGCATCACAGCCTGTAGTGTTGCTGCGCACCTCCTCACCAATCCCGACTTTCCCAAGTCCGCCCATGTTACAGTCCTTGAAGCTCGTACCCTGTGCTCTGGAGCCACAGGAAGGAACGGGGGCGCCTTGACCTCCTGGGTTCCACTCGCCTTCACCGACCTAATCGCCCAATATGGCCAGGAGGAAGCCATCAAGATCGGCAGATATGCATTCCGAACTCTTTCCAAGATGCATGACCTTGGAAATTCAAGACCAGAATTCAAGGATGCCAGTGAAGTGCGCCGGTTACGGGACGTGCTAGCATTCGTCGACGCGGAAGCGTTCGAGGGTGCCAAGCTCTCGTTCCAGAAGTACGAGGATCTCATCGGCAAGGAATACTCGCTGAACTCCGAGGTCTTGACCGCTCAAGAGACACACGAGCATTACAACATGACAAACGTTGCCGGAGCGCTGCTGGTAGACTGTGGCGCGTACTGGCCCTACCGATTGATCACAGCCCTCTGGGCCGACCTACTTAAGACCTACTCCAAACAACTGAGCATCGAAACCAACACCCCAGCACAATCTGTCACATTCGATCCCAACACTAGCACATATACAATTACCACTCCCAATGGCACCATCACCACACCCAATGTCATCCACGCCACAAACGGCTACACAGGCCATCTTCTCCCCGCCCTCCGCGGCAAGATTCATCCCCTTCGCGGCACCATGTCTACCCAACACCCACCCCTAGGCTTCGGCCACTACGGCACCGAGCGAGCGTGGTCCATTTCGCACGCGCCCCGCTATGATACGGAAACTAAGCAGTTCGAGGCAGGGCTATACTACGCGAACCAGAATCCAAAGTCGCAGGACGTGTTCATTGGCGGCGAGAAAGTCTTGCTCACGGAGATCTTCGTCACTGATGATACAGAGGTTCGAGAAGAAGCGAGGCGGAACATCGAAGGCATCCTACCGAGATATTTCGATAAGAAGGGATTGACGAAGGAGAAGCAGGAGCAGGAGCCGGAAATCCGGAAGGTGTGGTCCGGGATCATGGGCTTTACAAGCGATGGTATGCCGCTTGTTGGCAAAGTGCCTCATACAATCAGCCAACGGAAGCCCGACAGCGATGAGATAGGCAGTGGAGGCGAATGGATTGCGGCAGGCTTCAACGGGTACGGCATGCCGCAGTGTTGGTCGGTGGGCGAGGCAGTCGCGAAGATGATTCTCGGCAAGTACGAGACGGAGGTGAAGGATTGGCTGCCAGATGCTTGTTTGATTACAGAGAAGAGGTTGGCAAAGATGTCGGCTGAGGCGAGTCTAGCGCACTTAACTGGCATCAAGGTGAGGAGGTGTTGATTCAAAGAGATACGTCGATTTTGGAAAGTCATCATCATTCCATCTTTTGTTACTCGTCAGTGTATGATCTCAGTATTCCGGTCACCTGTGAACTGTTTCCGTCTGACTTCCAACGAGCCTGAGACCGCCAAATGTTCTACGGCCGTTGCTGTATGTTCTGGAGGAGCAACAAGCCAGCACGTTCAACCTGACTCCTTGTGCTTGACAGTCACGAGCCCTAACACGATCATCTGGCACGCCCCAATATCTTCTCAGATCTTCCCAATCTTCGGCGCAATAAACAGTGCCCTGCCCGTCGCCATAACCTTCGCTCCTTCCCCTTCCACGGTCCCACACACCCACGCTTTCCTCCCCTCAAGCTTCTCCAACCAGCCCCTCACAAGCACCACTCCCGGCGTATCAACCGGGGCCTTATAATCCACTGTCATGGTCGCCGTTGCCGGCGCCGTAGCACCGCTCTCTACGGCTGCCGTCCTTCCCAGCACATGGTCCAGCAGCAGGGCCGAGAAGCCGCCGTGTGCACGGCCGAGCTTTCCGTCTACGCCGCGGCCTAAGGAGACGAGCATGCATTGCTCGACAGGCTGAGTTGTTGGTGACGATATGGTCGCGCTAGACGATGATGTTGTTGGGTCGGCGATCGGGACAGGTCGCGTGAACATGAACTGGGCGCGGATCGCATCTGGGGAGTTTGCTGCGAGGGTTTCTGAGAACAGGGAGTTGGATACGCCTGGTGAGGGCTTCGATTGTGGGTGGCCAGGTGGGTTGGTAAGGGGACGCGTGTCGGGCTGTGAGAGGAGTTCTCGGATCCAGGAGACGTCGAAGTCGGGGTGGTTGTCTGCCATAATCGATACGTTCACCTGGATACCCTCCTTGACTGTGGTGAAAGGGCGTGCGGCGATGAAGATGCAGGCCCCAGGAGCTGACTGACGAGGAGAAAGGGAGAAAGGACGGCTCAAGATCGTCGATGACAGTGGCAGTGGTAAGATTTGCTACTCTCTGTGGCAGAGACAAATTTTGTGCTCCACGCCGTTGGACACAATATCGTAGCGGCCTGCTGATACTGTGTCTAAAAGGGTATCGTTAAGCCTGTGCAGTGTTGCTTGCACGGCGAGCGCGCTCAAGCCAGCTACAGCGTGAATTCACACTATGGTCAGGAGAGAGATGACGCCTGGCTCGGCCAACCCGCTGGACGAGTCCGTAAACGCTGACAGCGAGAGATGTCGGAGAATCGAGGATGACGGGAAGTGGTTCGATCTTGCCGAGGTTCGTGGGCCAGTCGCGCCCCCAAAATAAGGCGGCCAAACAAGGCAGCGTCTACAGACTCATGCACGATGCATGCAATCGTGGCAAGTACAACGTACACGTTGATGGCGTGCAGGTAGGAAGGTCGACATGTCAACCTGATCGGACGGGAGATACTGCGCATATACGTCTCGACTGCTCCAATTTTCTACAGTGATACCTCAGCACGAATATTTGTGTCAGCATCATATCAAGATTTCTGGGCGAAGAGCCCGCTAACTGCTCTATCGAGACCAAAATCTGCCTCCTATATAAGCCTGATCGATGAGATGGCTCTGCCGCCAGTGTCCCAATATGCCCATCATAAATCTCCTGCCGCGTCTGCTTTTACTATTAACCATATCCATGCATCATATCATGTCCCTTGAACGCCCCTTGAACCCCACGCTATGCACATTTCAGGTCCCTCAACAAAAGAATATGCAGTACAATGCTTGTCTCCCAGCAACGTCCTTCTGGTCGTTAAATCAGAAGTATTCACCACCTACTCCCCCCATGCTACCATTCCTCCCACCTTTCCCTAACGGACTCGGGGCACCAGGTAAAGGGCTGCGACTCCTCAGCCTCCCCTGTCGACTCCCTGCAGCCGGCGGCGGAGCCGCCAAACTCAGTGCACTAGCACTTCTCGAACCGGGCGTAATAGCGGTCGGACTCTCCGATCCGTCACCACCCAGCAGGAATGTATTTGCTGTCGGGCTCAAGCCAGGACTTTTCGGAGCGGCATATCCTGCTCCGCCCCAGCTGTTGGTCGTGGGACTGGCGTGGCCGCTACCGCCACTACTAGCACGAACATCTCTCAAACTCCAGCTGCCGCTGCCTTTACCGGGTCTTGGTCGACGACCGTGTCCTGGTTGGAAACTGTCACGGCTATGTGATCGGATACTTGCTGCTGGTGTGGAGCGATTGCTCGATAGATTTCGGTAATGCGAATCACGCTTGATATGGGCTGGCGCTTCTGCGTGCAGAATGGAGTTCGGATTTTCTAGCGCGGCAGCGACGTTCGGGTTGACGATGCTCACGTCGCTGTTCCGGTACCTGTGATTTGCGCGCTCGTAGGGAACGGAGAGGTCGTAGGCTGCCCCGCCCTGGTCTGCCGCACGGCTGTGCCGACCTGTCAGGGTTGCAGCATCGCTGTCGCCCATCGACGCCAGAGTGGCCAAAGTAGGATGCTGACTGAGGCTGGTCGAAGTGTGAGCCCTGGGTAGAGCAGTAATGTGCTGATCGACTATGTGTTTTCCGTTGCTCTTGCCGATGCTGCTCTTGTCAGAATGGCTGCGACCATTGCCCGGTCTTCCGGAAGGCAAGAACCGAGATGACATTTCGAGGTCTTCTGAAGTCGACGACATGTGCGATAGCTTGGAGCTTGGCCGTGTGGACATCTTCGATTCTCGTCCATTGTATATCGACGCGCTGATCAGGCCGCTGTCTTCCATCATCATGGTCGCGGGACTTCCGCCGAGCGATTGACGGTCTCCAGGTGTAAGATTCATGCTTGGTCGCGCTGATCGAGGAATGATATCGTCGTTGATAGGAGCATTGAGCTGCAGGGCAAGTGAGATATCTGCCGGGTCATCCGATATGGTCGCGGTCTCACGGACCTCTTGCATCCGGCGAGACTTGCCAATCCACAGCATCTGCTCGTGCTCGCGCAAGTACCGATCGCCGGAGAATGATTTCTGTACAATGTTCCGCGTCATCAGACCAAGCTTGCGGCGATTCTCCTTCTTCTCATACATGCGCGCTGTGATCCATTCAACGTCCTGCGGCGTGGGAGCAAATGGCATTTCCGTGACCTTGCCTGGCTCATCGTCGGCATACTTGCTCCACTCGTCGAGCATAGCAAGCATCTTGATCTGAGCTCGAGCCAGTGCACGAGCATCGTTAGGCGCAACGACTGCACTGTACCTCGAGAAGTCATCTGGGTCGCTGAGCACACGTAATGAGGCTCCAACGTCCGTGCATACGACTGGTGCACCTGTCAAGGCAGCTTCTCCGAGGGCGAGTGGTAGGCCTTCTGACAGTGAAGAGTTCAGGAACAGCCATGTCTGCTCCAGGACAGACATCGGATCAGCAGTTCCGGCAAGCTTGACTTGGCTGCGGAGACCCTTCGAGGCAAGCAGCTCCTGGCACTCATTCGAATAAATTGGTGCTTTCTCAATGCTGCCGTATACATCGAGCTGGTAGTCGCGGAAGCCCCATTCGTTCACGATGATGTCAGCTGCCAAGATAGCAGTCTTCAGATCCTTCGCAAACCACAAGTGTGACAACATGGTGACAGTCGGCTTCTGGGTCTTGATTTCCTTGACAGGCTTGAACTTCTCCGAGTCTGTGATGCCGTTGACGATAGGCGAGATCTTGCGCTTGAATGAATTGCGATGTTCGATGGTGCCTTGACACGTGCCGATCTCGACTTCCCATCCAGGGTTAAAGAAGTCGGCGCAAGGCAGAATGGTGTCGGCATTGTGCAGAATGAGTACACTCGTGAGTCTCATCAGACCAAGCAAGGAGTTGCGCACGAATGGAGGCAGTTTGCAAAGTGCCGAGGACAAGCACATATTGGTTTCTCGCCACGCAACGGCATGATCCCAGATCTGAAGCTGACACTTGCGCTTGATCTTGCAGACGATTCCATAGGCTGCGGAAACGGAGTGATGCGATGCTTGGAAGATCGCTGGAATCTTGTCTGGCACCTGAATGGAGAAGACGAAGAGGTATCTCAACCAGAGCTCCAGAGCAGTCTCGAAGTGACCAAGGGTAGGTAGCTCCGTTTCGAGTAGCTCGTCCATTCCACGAGCATTGGACATGTCTTCGAGCCACAGCGAGCGCCATGCGTCTTTGCTGACATCACTTTTCCATACATCACCCCAGTGACGCTTGTTCTCGAAGTAATCATGCAAATTGACCAAGGCGCGGGTCGCTTGTTGCAGATCGGCGTGGGACAAAGTCACCGCTCGAGCTCCGCGCACCAATGCTGACATGATGGGCACGAAGTTGAGCTTGATCTCTGCAGCAGTCGAGCTGGACTGGAGCATGTCGACTTGCGAGTCCAGTCGATTCTTGAAAAGGCCGTGGGTTGGGGTCAGGAAGTCAAGGCCCCACAGGGGAATGACCTTGAGCGACAGCACATTCTGCTCGGTCTGATGCTTGGGGATGCCGAAGTCAGTCGCACTCTCAGCTACCATGTGCCACTTGATGGTCTCCAGATTGTTGATCATGTCTCGTCGACAAGCTGAGACACCGCCGCCTTCGTTGGGCCATGTTCCGTTGTCGGCAGCAAGAACATGGAGTGTCTCATTGGTGTCCTTGCCGACGTCTTTAGCTGTCGTGTGCATGATCGTGTCGCCTCCAGATCCGAAGCTAATCAAATCGCCTAGCTTGTAAGCGATAGGAGTCCAGCCAGCGATGTCGTCGGCCATGTCGACGCTGGATCTGACCACATCGGCATTCTCAGCAAGGTATCTTTTGGCGTCGCGCAAGTTGCCTGCATCCCGAAGTCGCCAATACTTCTTCAACACCGGGTCTTTGCGGATAAGCTTTTCGTCGAGCCAACGGATGACAACGCCATCAAGATCCCGACCGTTCTTCCAGGCCTTCCAAAGACGACTCCGCGCCATAGAAGTCGATATGGGCACACGATGTGTTGCGAGCCCGAGCATCCTTGTGATCGCATTGGTGTTCCAAGCTGAAGTGTTGAGCAGAGGATCGTCATCTGCAAAGCGAGTATGCGACGGCTTCTTAAGCACACTAAGCCAGTCATGCTCTATGAGAGGTGGCGTTGGCACTCTCGAACCATTAAGATACGTTGTGATCGTGGGATGCATCTGATGGTCGTACTTCCAAGAACTTTCGAAGACATCAGGACCCTGAACAAAAGTCGCCTTGGTGACTTTGGTATTGGGAATCCAACGATTCTTCTTTTCCGAGCGCCTCGTGGGTGGTGCACACCACGAAACGTTGGCGCTGAGATGTGCGAGTACAAATTCGCCCATCAGGAGTTCGTCGAGCGTGGTCGCGCCTTTCCGATAGCGCAGTCGGAAATGTGTCAGGTTTTCGCCTGTCATGTAAGATCCCGATTCGACCAGGCCTTGGTTGTTGTAGACAACATTCTCAAGCTCACGCTTGCCGCGAACACAGCGACGTGACTCTGGGAGAGCCCGAAGCACGGCATTCCGCAATTTGCCTTTGGGCGCCTGTTCGTAGTCGTATTCAAAGAGATTGATGCTGCTACCATTCTCAAACTCCTCTCTCGATTGAAGCTTTCGTTGCTGAGAGTACGTGTTGATGGCGACAAGCAAGCCTTGGTTCGATGGTTCGGACTTCAGGTCACCCTTGTAGACGTGGAGCTTGAAACCTTTTTCGAAGGAGCGGCGGAAGCCGGTGAATATGCCCTTGGAGCTTTGGATCACGATTCTTGACCTTTTGTGCGAGACGGTCATACCTTTGGACTCTTTCATCAGTCGCTTGACATCAGGCCGATCGTGGTAAAGGAAGAAGGCAAGGCCAATGTCCTGCGCGAACTTCGAGTACCGCCATAGAGCTGTGAGGAGGAAGCCGACGACCATTTTGAAGATTCTGTTCTTGTTCCGCATGGCATGATCGAACTCTCGGTGCCATTCCATGTCCGCGACCAGTGCCAAGGTCATATACTTGATGGCGAGGCCAAGATGGTGATACAGATAGCTGAGCGGCTTCTTGACTTGTGACCAGATCGTATCCATCACAATCTCTGGCATTGGGACCATGCCGGCCTCTTGACCAGCGAAGATGACTGGGTGTGATTCGCGATCTAACTCGAGGAGAGTTGCCGCGGATTCAGCGCCAAGGTCGCATCGGGCTATGTGAGTCGGATAGGTGTTCTCCTCAGTGCAACCCAGTAAGTAACGCAGTTTTCGCTCCTCGGAGGTCGAGAGCTCGTAGGATCCGCCAACTGCTCGCGAGAGAAACCATTTCCGCACCGCATGTGGCAGCTTTTCCCATCGAAGATCACAATCAATGCCGAGACAGTATTGTCGAAGAACCTCTTTCCGAGCCCAAGTTATTACACGACTTCGGTCTTGCTCATCTGCGAGCATCATTCGCATTGTCAGGGGTACGCTAGAACTGACAAGCTGAGGGACAAGACAGGCGTGATGAGTCGGTATGTGAAAGTAGGAGTTTGCGACTTCCCACAGAAGAAGCTCTGCGATGACTTGGCAATTTCCTCGCATGTTAAAGGTGCCATCGTGAGCTCGCCGGACTCCGACGATGAGCTGCGTCCTCTCCGCATAGCGTGCAGTCACAGCTTGGATATCACCAGTCATTTTGTCGAGTGCTAAAAGATCAATTTCGATCTGGCCTGACTCGAAGGCTTGTATGGCAACGTCCAGCATCTCTTCGCAGTCCGGAAAGGCATTAGTCAAGTAGTCGGAAACTGGTGATGCAGATCTGAGCAGCGCAGTGACCTCATTGCCAGGGTATTGCATCGGTCGAATGCGATAGAGATCATCGGCTGGGAGCTGCTTGAGCTTCTCGAACATCGACAGTAGCTCAGGCTGTGACCAGTGTGGATCGTCCCAAGGCTTGATGTAGGCGAAGTAGAGCGCGTCTTCATGGATCTTTGGCAAAGGCTTCTCGGGCATACCGATCTTGGCGGACCAGAGGCAGAGAATGGCAGCGGTCCAAGTCGCTGTACCCAATGAAATGACGCCGCCATAGATAAAGTCACGGACAACGATCTTCAGTATTACTCCCACGACCAGTCCGACCGCAACGGAGATCAGTAGAGGCCGTAGCGCGTATTGTCCTGCGAAGATCTTGGTGTATTGGTACCATAGAAGCCCAGTGTAGGAGAAGACGTATGCTAAGAACATGACTGTTCCCTCCGTTGTGGCTTGCAACATGTACACGACGCTGGCAGTGAAAGCCAGAGCCCAGCAATGCCATGACAGGAAGCGAAAAAGAGTCCTTCTGTACATCCTTCGGCGAAGACGAATGTGATCTTTCTGCTGTTGTCGAAGCTCTGCGCTGTTGCGTACGCCTTTCGGCTCAGATATGTCGACGGCGCCATGGAGTTCTTGTGCTTTAACGTCAATGAGTACAGCACCAATAAGATAGTAGGCTAAAGAGAACCCGACGGAAACCCTGAGAGGTCCGTCCAGCCATCCAGGCAAAAAGCCGATGTTCCTCACACCAGTGACGAGTTCGACCCACTTGTCCATGAGCGCAACCAGGAAGTAGAGGATACCGCAACCAACTTCGTCACCTGCTTGCCGCCAGTGCATGAAAGCGTTGTGTAGTCTGATGCCCTTTTGCAGTTCGACCAAGGTATTCAGCGCGACCTTCACCTGAATGTTCCAGCCTGAGCTGAAAGGGATTGGCCGGGGAACATCGGCATATCTATTGTACCAGTCCAATAGAAAATTGGTTCGGACATGATCTCGAGCCAAGCCACAAACGAGGTCATCTTGCGTAGCTTTGGCGAAGAACGACTTATTTTGCTCCCGATGTACATCGATCAGAAGGGCTTCTCTACAGACCTTGAGTGCTGCAGGATCTGACATCGCATCGAGAACTGAGGAGTCGCCTCCAGCCTTCTGTTGGGTATACCATTTGCGGACCTCGGTATCGTTGGTCTGATTGATGCCTTGGTACCATGTGACCCATTGCGAGGACACCCGCCTGAGGGCCAGTGTGAGTGCGCCGATCAGCAGGTAGAACACCGCCAGATAAACGTAGATGTCGTTATGGCTCCAGGGAGTAATGATGGGCGACAGTAGTAGAATCGGTATACAAGCCAGTATGTATGCTCTGCCCGAGAGGAAAGATGATCCAGGCATTTGGAAACTGGCAATCGCGGCGAAGAGAATGAGGTACCCAGTGAAAGCGATCAGGTAGAGAAAGAATACAATCGCAGGACCTGGACCCTGTACACCAGCGATAATGACGAATCCGAGCAAGGCGCCAGCGACCGTAAATGCGATGCCAGCGATCAATCGCGTGAGCACAAACACATTCATTGCTGAGAACGCCATGCTGACCAGGTAGTAGGATCCTCCAACGGCGATCCACGTGCCTGTAGCTCCAGCCAACAGCAGAGATATCATAAGGGCGTTCGTTGCGCTCCGCATTTCGTCTTCTCCCATGAATGTCGAAAGATACAGTCCGCGTCCGATGGTGCTCAACAGCGCGATGTCGACAAGAGCAGGAACAGCGAACACACTCAGAAAGCCGAATCTCTGAAACTGTGGCAGCGGCTTCGGCTGTCCGTCAGGGTCGACGTCGATGCCTGCTCCACCGTAGGCGGTAGCAAATTCGGGGGCACCGTTGTTCCATTTGGGAGGCTGTTTCTCCTTGTATACTGTGCGGAAGCGGTCAGATAGCAACCGTCCGAAAGTGTTCGGCGAGACATCGAAGTAGACTTCGCACCTGGAGCCAAGCGCGAACGACTCGGCAAAAACAGCCGCTTGGTCGGATTGATCGTTAAGCAATGGGTTACGGTCCGTGACTTCAAGATACACTTCGTCAAATGCAGCCTTTCGTGCGGCGCAAAAGGTTGCGAGTCCGAGAATATCGGCTCTGGCATCAATTTCATCCGTCTTCAGGATGGTGTGCAGCGCTGTCGTGAACGCTTTGATGTCGGCATCTTTCCTTCTCCGAAGACTCGAAAGAAACCATTGCTGGAGCCTGACAAAGAACCTCGCCGCATCGAGCATGTCCGGGTGTGCTATTGCTTGCTTTTCATACTGATCAAATCGGGCCATCAAGAGCTGCGTTTCTGATACCTTGCCTTCCATGTATCCGACAGAATCAACCTCATTCAGCTGTTGGTGTGTTGGTGCATCCAGGAGCTGCTTGCGAACCCAATTTGCGAGGCGAGTCATTGTCTCATGAGACCGACCAGACGCCACGAGCTGTTGTAGCAGCAGTATCCGCTCTTCCGGCGTCAGCATATCGATGTCCTGCGCCATCCGTCGCGAAAGACCGCTTTCCTTGTGAGTGTCCTTGCACCAATCGGCAAACTTCAGCTCAATATCGAAGCAGGTCTCTCGAGGCAAGCCTTCGTTCGATAGAAAAGCATGAAGAACGGTGCTGGAAAGACCTTGAGCATCTCGTGAGATGAACATCTCGGTGCCATCAGCATCATCATGTATGACAGCCAGAAGCGTGCGCTTGACCCATATTGGAAGCCTGGGCTTAGACCCAGATGAATTCTGACAAGGCCAGCTGTGGCAGTTGTAGAAAGCTCCTTCACAGCGTCAATGACACCGGCCGGTACCTTCTCCAGCTGCGCTAGGTATTTGTCGTGGAACTTGCGATACAGCACGCCAAGATTAGTCACCTTCTGCTGATCGATCGGATGCAGTAGACCCAGATTGCGAAGCCGGAGCTGCTCCTGCAAGACTTCTGCATACGCCAATGGTGTGACATCGAATCCGAGGGGCACACATCCTAGATTGTCACCATCGAGAGACACAACTGATGCAGACCGAATACTCTCGGATCCGTCTGAGACATCAGACGCCTTCGGCTCCTCAACAGGCTCTTGGTACAGGAATGAACCACTTCGAGACGGAGCGGGAGTCGAATAGTCGATTGCAGACCTCAAGGAAGCTGCCTCAGGGACTGCCGCTGATATTGATCTCCATGCCTCTTCAATTGTCGTAGTTGAGGTACGTGTTACTGTATCGTTGGACCGCCATGCTGTGTGAGCATCGATAACGTTATCTTCTTTTAGCCATTCAAACGCGCCCATGGGCTCTACGTCGGGTCTTTCCACACTCGGGTCGGCCTCTGCAGAGGCACAACCAATCCAGGTGACCACGGAATAAAACCCACACCATTGTATCGCACGTTTGACGATCGCGTTTGAACAGACAACTCCATCATTGTAAGATTCCCACGCTAGCGCGCTGAAGTCACGAATACACGACTCTTTCACGATGGCTCTGATAGTTGGCTGCAGATGTGTCATGTCAAAGTAATCGCGGTGTTGGCCGTTCGGAAGAATTGCGGCATTTCGGATAACGATTCCAGAGATCTTGGCGTGCTGAAGGACGGTGACGTCTTCGAGGAATGTCGGCGGCTTTGCTTCCAGATATAATAGGAGCCCAGCAGATGCTACGAAGTCAGCGAGGGCGAAAAGATGTTTCCGAGGTAATTGAGTCTCCCAATTTGCCAGTAGCAAGCCGTGAAAAGAGGATGGACCAAAAATGCGCGCGACGACATCAGCCAGTGCTTCGACAACGGCGTCGGGATTTTGTTTGCCGGAAACGAGACTGTCCACGTCCAATCTGCCGATCCAGCAGTGCTTGCCGGGGAAAGTACGAATGAGACTGTCCGCTCCTCGGAAGGGATCGAGGATCGCGAGTTCCGAGCGATCCAGCAAAGCTGCTTGGGAAGGCGTGACCTTCGAGCCAGCGTGTCCCAGAAACACGTTGAAAGACGTGACTTTCGGGACAGCAATTAAAGATCGGGATGAGAGCTTCTCGGCGATGTTGTCGAGACGGTTCAGTGTCTTGCTGGAGACTTCCAGCGGTCGTGCCGAACGCTTCTATTCGCTGTCAGCGCCGATTCGGGATGCTAGAAACGAGTGGTAAGTACCTTCACCAACCTGAGCAGTCGCAATATTAGTGAGTATGTGACATATGAAATGCCGATTGCGACTGAACCAGCGACGATGCCGAGCAAAACCTTTCGAGCCGTTAGCCCTGCTCGAAGATCGTTCAACCTGACATACCCAGGAGTACCAATGGTCCTTCAATTGATCCCAGTGTAGGACGACCGGTTCAAGAATCCGGTCCTCCATACCGGCAGTGTTCTGAACGTTCCCCCGCACAGACTGTCTGGTTGTGGGAAAAGGTGGTGTCGTCCTCAAGTCCGTTGAGACATGTCAGTCTTGCACCGTCGGTATGGCCTAGTCCGATGTTCAAATCCAAGCAAGCTGTGAACACTTCATCCAAGCGTAGTGAGAAGGGAATAAGTACAGCTCCGACAATAAGGCACGGTCGCTGCAGGGGAGTGATCGGGGGTCAAAGATCTGCAGGGGCCTCCACAACAATCTGATATTCGTATACTCAGGCCGTGCTTTCAATATCTGCACCGAAAAGGGTAACGAATGGCTGGGGTTTGAACTGATGTATGAAACGGGAAGGAGAAGGCTCGACAATGAGCTGGTATAGAACTAATCAAAGGTACACGAACAACAGCAACGCTTCTGATGCAAAAGGACGGGATGCAGCACTGCACGGGAGCATCTCACGCCAAGTGTGAAGTATGCAGAGGTATGCACAGGCCGACTCGCTGGGCCGATGTAATTCCTAAGCAAGCAGAAGTGCTGCGGTAGCATCCTCCCAGGCGTCCACTGACTGATGCTGGAACATATTCGAGACAGTTCTATCGGGTGCGGGAGAACAGCCGCAAGCCCGAATTAGCATCTGCTCCTCATCTATGGGTCTATGGAAGCAAGAAATTTTCCAGTTAGCGCTATAGGGGCACAAGCGCTGAGAAGCAGTGGTACGGCACACAGAACTTGCTGCTGTGGAATAAGACAAGGGGTTACGAGGTGGACCGGGGAAGCTCTGGCACTACAGATGTCAACTCGGTAGACAAGGATGTGAGTGCCATGCCGCTCGTTACCCATTGGTGCTTTTCATTTGCCGCATGGCAGGGCTGCTGGCCGGCCGAAGACGCTCACAGCGCGAAACGAGGCGACGGAGTCGCTCATGAAAGCTACGTCGAAGGTGGAAACCATCTCGACCATTTGGAGGTGGAAACTTTTTGCCCGCCGAAGAAGTCAGATGAAAGTGCATCTTGGCAGAACAAGCGCTAATCGGGCTATTTGTAATGACGGTCAGACAGTCTCGGCCGTGTGTCCAGGAAATACCGAGTACGGCACTGACACCAGGGCTCCAGCGCAGCAAGATGGGGTTCAAGGCAGCCAAGCTGTGGCGCCTCCGCGTTAACCGACTTGGTCAGCGGGGATAGCCCCCGTCTGCCATGGCACATCACTGCTGTCAAACCGACCCATCAAAACTCGGACAACCCCTTCAGGCATGTCAAAGTGAGACAAATGCGTGCTTGCGATGTACCTAAGAATGCACCAGATTGCCACGTTGCTTAGCTCTTGGTGGGCGGATGCTTGCCAACAGTGTCACAAGCGAGAGGCGAAGCTAGTCCAGTTCGCACTATCACGACAAGGTGAGTCAGGAGAGGCGCTTGGATGTGTCACAAAAATGCCCTCATCGGTCGGTCTCGCAAAGTACAAACAAGAAGTAAAATTTTCACCCTATGGCCAACAAGAATTGTCCAAGATGTCTGGATGAATGTCTTCACAAGAAATCAGCCTCTCGTATTCCCTAAGCCTCCCGTGTGTGCTAGCGAGCAAAACTACCTTCCGAACGCAGATCCGGGTGCTGTACCTGACGATCCCCAGTTTTGGCTGTGTTGCGTTACGCGTTTTGCCGGATGACTGTACCGCGCAACAAAGTCCTTGTTGCCATATGTCTTGTTGCAATTTCTCTTGCGAAGCGGAGCGCTGCAACAGGCTCAACTTGACGCCGCCAAGGATCAGTCTATAGAGTGCTAACAGGCAAAAGGATTTTGCATGCGAGGCGCAGGCCCGGAGGATGCGTCCGGGTTGCCTGAAATTTTCTCATCAGCCACTCCCAATAGTGAGGTACTGCTTACATACGCGCACTTGCTCCAAGGAGCAAATAGGGTAATCGTTCTATACGAATGAGGTTATACGACACGCCCTGGCTTCCGAGCAGGTTTCTGATCAGGACGAGCAATAACAGTCACCGGCGCGCAATGAGCGCATTGACCGCAATCTTAGCACAGTACGGCCTCTAAGCGAGTCGAACTACTGCATTGCTGCGGCAGGATTGTGCGGAGAAATGACACCCAAGAGAACGCACTCCTGCGACGGGAATACACACCTGCACATCGTTAAGTACAGTCCATGAGAGAAGGAAAGTTGATATATTAGACACCCTGTTAGGAAGCAAATGGCTTTTGACTATGCAATGTACCCTGACTACCTGCGCTGTCAACTCTCCCCGGGCAAGGAGGAGCGAACAGCCTATGCATAAGAACCCTGACAAACTTGTTTTTCGTGCATCGTCACCTTGGCGCCCAATGTATGCTTAGACAGTAATGGGCGTAGTGAACGTGAAGGTCTGGGCCGAGCCCGAGAGCGTGACCCAGTAGGTCTGGGGATCAGATCCAACCTGTTCAAGGCGAGCGCTTGAGGCTCCCGACACGGGCGCTGGGACTGTGACCGGAATGGGGACCGAGCAGCTGTTGCTGGTCGCTGAGACTGTGAGACCAGTGATGGTAGATCCACTCTTGGCCCAGGTCAGCTTAGGGACACAGCCGTCGCGGGTTTGACGGTCAAGGAATGCCTGAGCGAGATCCGATTGCTTGACAGTAATCATTGGCCAGTTCACAAGACGAGTAAACTCTGCAACGACGATCTCAACCCACGCCTGGAAGATCGAGATCTGGCGAGAGACGCCGTTGACTGGGATGGCAGCAAGGCCTTGGGAGCGGAGGTTGGCTTGATGGAACATGTATCTGTATGATGCGTTAGTCACGTCTAGTAACAGCAGGCACAAGATCTCTTACCCCTCATGGTAGAGACCAAAGAGATGGCGCATGGTATCCTTGCGCTCCTGGTCGAGCAGAGCAGTGAAGTCACCAACGCCAGCAGAGGTCTCGATCCACTCTCGGGTAGTGCAATCAGCAGTATCGCAGTTGTAGTAGATGCGTGTAGCCCAGCGAGGGATGACATTGAATCCATCATATCCGTCAGCCGCGACGGTGGTCTTGTACGGCCACATAGGGTTCTGGGAGTTTCGAAGGAGGGGCCTGGTGTTGTCTCCAACACAGTTCGTCAGACCGGCATCCTTCCACGCCCTGAGTACGTCTCCGTTGTGAAGACCAGTGATTGCGGGAGGGATCAGACCGTTGGCTGAGAATCTGCCACCAGTGAGGCCAATCTGCTGCAGCCAAGCTTGGTTGAACTGGATTTCCTTAAGTGCATCACTGTAGGTAGCATTGTTGAGTTCGTAGTGAGTATATGTGTGAGACAGGTGCATGAACTTGTCACGATTGTTGGCATTACTGAACCATACCCAGAGAGCATCCTTTCTGTTACATGTGGTTGTGTAGGTATACGTCGTGGGAGTGTTGGGCCACGCGTTGGTGCCGCTGCCCAGTGGCTTCTGGAACTCAAGAGCAGTGTCGGCACGCTCCTCAGTGTAGACAGGTCCTGTGCCGCAATCGGTCAGAACTTCACCGCCCTGAGTAGCAGCATCAATGGCGCCGTTTCCATTGTACCCGATCTCTGGCAGATAGAAGGACCCAGCGTTCATCTTAGACTGGATAGTCGACACCCAATTCGCGACGTTCGTCATGTCGTTGCTGTTGACACGATAAGCAGGCGATGTTGGTTGGTTCAAACCGTTGTAGATGTCCGTTGCCAGCATCATGTCATCGATCTGGGTGTTGAGATTGACACGACGGAACCCTGTGTACAGGCCTCGGGTCATCCAAGTGATGTAGGCGTGCTGAACGAAGTTGCTGGTCGGGTTCCAATCTGTCGCTTGGGGCAGGAAGAAAACCATCTGCTGTCTTCCAGCGAAGTTGTTGATGACGCCAGCAGTTGAAACTTGGAAGCCGCCACCTGCGGCAAATTGCGCGATCTCAGTGGTTGTCGTCGTATCGGTGATCGTGGCAGGGTAGTGGTAGAGACCTGCAGTCGAGACACCGGCGCCAGTCTTGATGCCTGCTTGAGGGAACGCAGCGACGTTGGAGAACGAGAAGAGCTGCTCAGTCGATGCGTCGCAGCAGCCACCGAGGGCAGTGGCACCGTAAAGGGGACCAGGGTACACTCCATACTGAACCATGCGTACGCCATACATGGTCTGATAATCATACATTTGCTGCCACTGACCAGCAGTCAGGGCTGAGGAGAAATTGCCATTGCCGTAGTCGTAAGACACCTGTTCGGCCACGATGATGCCACCAAAGTTGCCACCAGCAGTGGTGTTCAGGGTAGGCAGAGCGACACCAGCCTGCGGAACCTGCAGGATCTGGAAGGGTATGCCATAGCCGTTCAAGCCAGATGAGGCAACTTGTGCGCCGTACGCGTCCCTGGCAATGACCAAGACCGTGGAGTCAACATTGCCGTTGAAAATAGCGGCATTGACAGAAGGAGTTGCAGAAGCGGACGATGTCGAAGAGCTCGAGCTAGCGACAGTGACCGTGGTGGTTGTCGTAGGACGAACAGTCGTCGTGGTCCGGACAGCGCTCGTGGTTCGGGTTGTAGTCGTCCGGGTGGTGGTGGTCCGGGTAGTGGTCGTGCGTGGGCGTTGAGCTTGGGCAGTTGCTATAACTCCCAGCACGCTGGTGATCCAGCCAAGAATTGGGCCGGGCATTTTGACGGGACCAAATTGGGTTTCTAAAGCGAGTGACTAGAATATGTGAATGATCTCGACTCGAGGTCGGTAACGAGTGACTGGAAAAACGAACGAATGAATGCAAACAGGTCAACGAATGACTGAGAAGGGGAAGTAACGAATGTAGACGACACGATGGTCGATGAGCTTGCCAGAGCAAAGGAAGGAAGGAAGAACAACCACCTTATGAAGACATGATGTCGCGAATGGTGAACTCCATTTCGGATCAGCCACGATGGCAGACCCGACTGATGCTGAGACAGGAGGCATTTCGGTCCTGGTCAGCATATTCGAGACCCAGTCTTTGCAGAAAATATTGGCATCTCGCACTTAGGTCACTCGAATATCGACCATCTCGACCAGGTCTTCAGGCCACATGAACAGAAAGCAATTTCCCATGCCGTAACAATACGGTGCCCCTTTTCCCTTTCAGAGGCGGTCGAGAAGGCGACGCGCAAGGAGAAGCCATCGAAGTCAGACAATAGGAACCCACAAGGCTGACCGAGTAGGTGGGTTTCGGACAGAGGCCAGGTTGATGCAATTAGAGGCTTAGATGAATCGTGTGAAAATTTGATTCGCGGGTAAAGAGCCGCTGGAGTGGTTGTTGGAGGTGACGGGGTGTCAAGAGCAGACTGAAGTGGGTTGACATCGGCTATGAATTAGTCAAACAATAGCAGCCAAGAGGAACAGTGGTCTATGATCGAGGCGCGAGGCGTCAACAAAATCTGGGAAACTTTAAATCATGAAAGCTTGGCGATACGTCTCGTCGTACACGCCGGTTGAATCCGTGTAACGCTGTAAAATTGAGGGCTATTCTGGGCGGCTGCCTTGAAGCCCCCTGTCCACGCTCTTTACGAGAGTCACGTTCAAGGCGGGACTCAGAATTCTACGCTCGGGTCTTCGATGCACTCAGCGGGCCTCCAGGAAGCACAGGCGGCAGACGTGCTCCCTGAATGACTCACAGAAACAACCTGTAGGCGGTTGAGTGTAAGCAGCAATCACCGAATGCGGATGCTCATCAATTCAGGAGCTTGCAGTCTGTCAACGTCAGGCTGCCACGCAGACAGCACATCTCTCTTGTTGTTGTCGTTGTTGTTGATTTACTGAGCAACAGTGCCTGTGCTTGAGATCTGGGCCTCCGTCGGAAGGCAGCGCGCCAGATTGGGAAGCTAAGCCATTTCCGCCGCGCACCTCGGTGCATGTTTCAGCACTTTGGCATCACCACAGCCACGACTTCGCCAGATCCGACCATATATTCATTGACTGCTCCAGTTCCCCTTGATCAAAGCGCTGTGAAGTTGTTGACAGATGTGAAACCGATCAACGCCCTGCATCTATACCAGATTCCAAGAAAACTCGGCGTGCAGCAATAGATTGTCCCCAGATTAAGGAGTTCGTGAGTACGTCGAGCCCCGCTTCGCAACGGCTTCTCACTCGCACTTCACAGTCCAGACAGCAAGGCTCCGTCTAGGCACGCAGCCAAAGCAAGTCGAGGCCGGTTTCAAGGACCCAGCCCCTTCCGTCAGTACATTCCGCATTCAAGTAGTGTTGCTGGGCTACGAAGTACCTCGAGTATTATATATACAATGGCGAGCGACGAAAAATCGATGTTGCCGTCACACTCGGCAGAGCCAAGTTCTCGCAAGGTGAAGCGAAGGAGAGTCATCATTGTCGGTTCAGTCATGGGAGTCATCGCCATCGCGCTGGCCGTTGGCCTTGGTGTTGGACTTACTGTAGGCAGGCCTACACACAGACGCCCTCCACCGGCACCCTCATCTACACCCACGACTATTGGCAGTGGCGGCTCTCAAGGCTCGGCCTCAATATGGAAACCAACCGCTGGGTTGAGCTGGGACTACGATATTCTTGGACCGGTCAAGTCGACTAACGCGAACGGGGTGGTGGTGCACGACATCGATCTTTGGGACAACGAAGCAAGCACTGTCATCGCACTCAAGTCTCAGAAGGTGGAGAATCAAGACGTCAAAGTCATATGCTACTTCTCTGCCGGCACAAGTGAGGATTGGCGGGACGACGACAATCAGTTCACCGACTCCGACAAAGGATCTTCATTGCCCGACTGGCCTGGAGAGCGATGGCTCAAGACAAGCAGTCCTACCGTACGCAAAGTCATGGAATCGAGGCTAGATCAGGCGGTGCAGAAGGGCTGCAACGCTGTGGATCCAGACAACGTCGACGGCTTTGATAACGACAATGGACTGGGCCTGACCAAAGAAGATGCCATCGATTATGTGACCTTCCTGGCAAATGCCGCACATAGCCGGAATCTCGCCGTTGGACTGAAGAATGCTGGATCTATCATCCCAGAGGTTCTCAACCTTGTCGACTTCAGCGTCAACGAGGAGTGCTTGCAATACGATGAATGCGAGAGCTTCGCGCCGTTCATTCAGCAGAACAAGCCAGTCTTCCACGTCGAGTACCCCAAAGGCGGCGACGTCAGCAACACCGTCAATGTGGCCAGCTCAGAGCTCAACGGCATCTGCGATGACAGCACTGCGAAAGGCTTCTCTACGATCGTCAAGAACATCAATCTCGATACCTTCCTTCAAGAGTGTCCGGCATCATGATCGCGTCACCTTGGCCATTTGGCAAATTTCTTCTCACACCAACTTCTGTGTCTTTGGTGTGACGGTCATCTCGATCCTACGTGATGGATGACTGTTTCAAAAGGGGGTGCGCTCGTAAGCGCTTACATAGCTCAAACAGCAATGAACAAATATTCTACCCCATACCTATAGCTACTCCGTCTTTTGATATCCATGTTGGTCGCTTCCGGGTTAATATTATGGCTCGGAAAGGCACTGCTGACCCAGACCGCACATGGCACCGAGAAACACGGAGAGTAAGTACATCACAGCCCGCCATAGTATCGAAACTGCCGTAGGTATGGCGGCGGACATGGCTGATGACAGCGTATGACCTATGCTGGAACGATCCCTCCGTGGCAACCACGACTGTGCTATTGCCCACTTGCATTGGGGCTTCTGTGCCTTGCCTGCGCAGGTGTGCAAGTGCAACGGACGACTTAGAGCTCTTTGCAATAGGATGTTGCAGGACAGTCTATTCTGCATTCCGAACTTCGCACGCACGCCAACCCAATACTTCGGGCCCTTCGGCATTCCTTGCAGCTGTGTCTGGGAAGTGTTCTCCTGGATAACCAAGGACAGCGATCGAAACCAAGTCCATATCTTCGTGCGTCCCGGGAGACTCCGATGGATCTGTATAGGAGATGCAGGAAAACATACGCAACGATGCATTACAAGAGATGGTGTATACTGGAACACTTGTGGACTTCGGTATGCTGCAGAGTTCCGGTAGAGTGCTTTGAGCTAACGTACCCTACAGCACCTAAACGAAATCCAGTACGCACGTCACGCTCGTGCATGACTCCCGCAGTAATGATTCAATGCAATAATTGCAGCGCACAGAGACGACAGAAAAACTTTTGGCAGGTAATGCAGCGGACCCGGCGACAATAATGATGTCGTCGACTGGCCGCGCAAATTCTTTTGGGCTGGAAAACAAGGCGTCAAGAAGATATCGTGGAGATTTCAAACTTTGTCGCGTAGAATTTTCGAAGTTCTCGCGTTCAAGAGAAAATCACGAAAAATACCCGCGCTGTACAAGCCACGTCAGGTCCGCAGGTCTGTAGGATCCAAAGTTATTGGCAGCGTTCCAGGCTAGGTACACGTATCTGGCCACAGTATTTATGGTAAAGTATGCCAGCACCCGTCTACATACTGGTTCACTTGCGGCCTGCGGCGGGTCACGGGCATCGTACAACGCCTACCACAGACCGTCCACGAGAACTGCTCTGCGTTTCACGGGTACTCCGAGTCGACTCCGATCTCCGGATCAGGTCAAAGACAGTGGAGATTACCACACGACGAAAACTCTCGGAGGACGTTCCTTGGGCATGGTTTTGACGTACAACACCATGATCCCCGTCGATCACGCAAGTTGCAAGGCGGGGCAGCTTCCTCTGTCTCACAGACAGCTGCCATCCTCCCACCAACGCCATGACTTCCGTCAAAGGTCTCATGCAGCCTTTGGCATATGCACGCCCACCGCCGTTATTGCGTTGCACAGAACCGGTCTGACAATTGACAGCTTTGCTCAATCAAGGCAATTAATCGAATGTCTCATCAGATCCGTTGAATTTATGCAAGCGAGATTCCAAGCCCGGCCCTACGACACGCTGTCGGGTGGATTATTGATCAGTCGATCGCCAGGTCTGAGAAGCCAGACCAGGTACTCCGCATAACCTGATTTGTGCACACCGGAACCGGCAATCACTTTGATCACTGCATCGTGCCTGCTAAATGATTGATCCCATAGGCGACGCAGGAAGCTGCTCCATCACGCCTCGAAAGGCTTTTTCACACCACTGAGTCAGACACGTGCACAACAATAGTACTTCACATCGAAAACTTCAATATTGCCGGCAGCTAGGCAAACAAGACTTTGATGATCAATACAGCATCGCTCCCGTCCATACGGTCTTCAAAGCCGAAGTCCACTTCTCCTTGTCAAAAGGTTTCATCGACAACCACCAGCCACACCGAGAGGCTACCCCATCCATTTGACGCGCAGGCGCCCAGAAGATTCCCCTGTTTCAAAATCACTAGGTACCTATAGGAACTCCGCGGCATCGAACATACAGGCGAAACCCTAAAGCCAATATTACGGTATGAGAAACTCTCCTGCGACGTCGCCGAGCCGGGCCTTTCCAAGGTTCCTCGTCAGATTCTCTCAGCCTTACAAAAAATACCAGGCTACCTGACTCAAGTGCTTGGGCTGCCCCAGATTGATGCCCGCGCCACACCTTAAAACCTGCACCTTTGTACGTACAGCGAAAATTCTGCCACAGCATGCCCACTACACTGCCAACACAACATGTCCAGGACTCCAGCTGAGATCGAGTTCCACGTACATCTAATCTGCGGATCTGTCCATCTCGACAAAAATCTTGTCATCAGTTCCACAAGAGCGGTGGAGGACATCATAATGCCAATTTTCGTCCAGCATGGCAAACATTTCGCCCCACCGAGCAAAATCCCCATAAGGCAATAAGGAAACAGTAAAGACTCCGTTGGAGTCAGCAGTAACGTACGAAACAGGCTCCAGGTATCAATGGTGTCCGGTCTGTACGCTCTGGGGCCTCTCCGAAACAACGATGATCGATGCTCCGACCGGTGTACAGTAAGCCAGGCGTAGCTTGCTTGCGAGGTAGGTGTTGCTTCTGACATGGTATTGCCACTCCTTGCGAGGAAAGCGCAAACGTGGCGGTACGACAACCTGCCGTCGCTTGCGAGTCTCGAGATTGCTTCTAGCATCCTTCCATAAGGAACAACATAGTCCAGGGACTAGGGCAAGATCTCAGCCAGATCGTTGTCTGCGAGAGGTGCCCCTTGGTTCAGCATAGACTCGCTGATGATGATGGGATTTCGATGCGAGATGCGGAAGTATCTCGCAACAACACGGAGAGTGCATGTTTGCTACCGAGATCGCTTCTTGCAATAACATATTTATGAGTCTAACTATAGTCCTAAGCTGACCCGACGCTACGGTCAGGAAAGAGCTGTAACGGAAAGAGAAGTCCCAGAAACAGACATTATTCCAGGCAGACATCGCCTCGCCAGGACCGACACAGGTCTTCCACCATTATACCATTACTCATCTGCATCATCATCTGCCACAGTGCCACTCCCAATAACGCCAGCCCATTCCCTCCAACCTCTTGAGAACGTCTCATAGAAGCCGCTCGACAGCTCGGTGATGAAGACTGTCCCAGCTACCTCGGTCGCGTTGCGAACGAGATCTCGTACCAGCTCTGCTCGGACTTCTTGGCTAGCAATTGTGGCATTGCTCCCAGGCACTAGTGGATGTTGTGCTGCTGTGAGGTTTGTGGCGGCGTCGATGTCAGGTAGGGGCACGGAGTGAATGACCACTGCGCGGCGGAGGCGTTCTTGTTTTGCTGCATCTGTGTCTGTGTCATTGCATTCATCTGCTTGCATTCGTTAGTCTCTTGGACAGCAAGGAGCATGTCCATGAGCGCAGACGACAATTTGGCCGCCCCTCCAAAGACACGTAAGGAAGGTAGGATGGAGCGTTTTCGCAAACTTACCTTCAGCCTCGTCGTTACCTGCTGAGGCAACAGTCCCATTCGGCAGCGCCAGGACCCCCTGAGCCAAGCGCTGCAAGAACACTGCATAGGTGTCCTCAAAGACCACAGTCAGGTCTGCCAGCTCTCGTATTGCCGGCGGAGGCATGCATCCTGGATTGTGTATGATCTGTTCATTTTCGGGTCAGTGTCCTTGCAGCAGGAATGCATTCAATCAATTTCAGCTCGCTTGGGAGAATGAACAGCATCAAGGTGGAAGTGAGGCAGATCCAGGAAGGGAGATTGAATGCAAGGCGGTATACGAGGCAAGCAAGGTCCGCATATGTGACTTCCTCCATCGACGCCTTTGGCAGTCCGAATGGCGTGATGTTCCTGACTGGGAGCGACCTCGGAGTAGGAATCATGAAGCAGTAGCCTGACAAGCCAACGGCCAAGTCATCGGCGTGTCGGGCACCGGTGAGGCATTGTCGTGATCCTGCCGTCCGAGCACGTTCTCTGTCATGTTGACAGTCAACCTGACAGGCGCATATGCATGCTCCTCATCACCCTTGTGGCTTGTCCATGCACGGCTGCCCAAAGCAGTCTTTGCAACGCTTGTCGCCCTTCTGAACAGGAAGCCGGTCGTCGTTCCAGAACGGGAGGGGGAAATTGTCGACAGCACCGTTCCTGAAGGAGCTCGTGTCTGCAAAGATGTGATAGTGTCGAAAACACGAGTCACGACGGAATAGTTCTTTACCGGCAGCGTTGTGCCGACGGCGGTTCCATGGATGTTTAGCGAAAGAGCCAGGAACAACAGGCGTTCCAATAATTCGGAGCGCTTGAGGTCGGGGCACCTTGCGGCTCGGTTGGCTGTATTGCTGTAGCGAATGGTTGCATTCGCCTTGCATGCCCGTTGAGAAGGATCCCGCCAACTTTTGCAAGAAGTTGGTCGGCGGCTCCCGATGACCAACTTGACGCTGTCAGGTAGATTTGCTGTGCTGTTGCTTCTGTCATCCGTACGGCGGTGAGATGCTCTCTCATAAGGTGGAGTGAATGAGCCGCAAGCTGACTGAGAGTCTGCCTGTTGGGATTTGGAGCGTTGCGATGCGACGAAAATGCATTGTTGGACGCCCCGGCAGTGGACATCGCTTCCGGGGCATTCATGCAAGGACCAGGGGCAACATAGCTCGATACCGTATACGAGCAATACAAACCAGACCGAAAAATTCAAAACCGAAAGAAAAATTGTAACTTACCAACGGGTATTTTTGACCAGGGGCAGCCGCCTTCTTCTTGGCGCCAAAATGGCTCTCGACCAGGGTCTTGAGCGTGCCAAGGAACTTCTTTTCGTGGTCTCCCGCATCAATAGGCGTTTCGTCCACAAACACTCCATCAATACCAATTGGCACTGAGACATTTTGATCCTGGTGCTGTGGCGCCTGCTTCGTGTCATGCTGAGTCTGGAGATTCATCTGATCATGATGATGATGATGCCAATGTTGCGGCCAGGCGGCATAGATCTCCACATCCTTGCAGACCTCGTCAAGATCGCGAGTCGCCCAAACCACGTTCACGTAGCCGTAGACGACGACATTTGGGTGAGACCGTAATTTCGGAATCTCACGACAATAGTTGCTGTCCGGAAGTGGTGTTGCGCCTGGGCCGTTGTGTGGATTGATGACCACTTGAAATTGTGTTGTAGGATTTGCTTCGATGACTTCGTAGAGTGGGTTCCAGGCGCCGAGGAGGGGGTAAATGTATAGCGGTACTAGTATTGCCGAGCTGGGCATGGCTGCTGGTGGTCGCAAGCTTGTGAAAGGCACAAGTGAGGGTGGTGGCTGGTTTCCTGGGGGAGTGCAAGCAAGCAGTTCGTTTGTGAGGAAGTGCTAGTCGCACAGCAGGCGTCCGAACCTTGACCGGGAGATCGCGACAGAGGACTAGAAAAGCAGGTCCAAGATCTGGTATATTCTTGGCGCTAATTCCGTAAAACGAGCGTAATGCAAAAGTCTCACAAACAATTGTTGCGCCCAGGCCTTGTCTTCCGTTCGGGTAACACCATGTGGTCATGGCGCCGTACTTGAAATAGTCAAAGTGTGGATCTCCTCATCAAACACTCCATCTTGTAGCATTGTAATACCCGGTGTCAAGGCGAGACCTGACGTCCGAAGCATTGAGGGTACTCTTACCCCCTAAGCATTGAGGCGCTGTCTTAGCATATTCATTCCTGCGCTGAAGCGCCTGAATCACACGAAATTGTTTTGCGGGCCTCGTCGTGCGCAAATTGTGCCATCCCGTTCGATGGCACAGGCCGTCACCTTTGTAATATTGTGTGTCTGGGTCCTTGACATAAACAACATCGCCGACCATCCCACTGGCTCGCTTGGGTATATAGGCATATGCTTTGCCTTGGTAGGTTCGTACTAGTCACTCGTTAATAGATCAACATCTTGTTTCCCAGCGCTTGCAGACAGCAACAAAGTTTCCTTGTGTTTGTTATGTCCTCAGCTATGTCCTCAACATACACGTCGAGAGCGGCCTCGCCATCAGCCTCATACCCAGGCACACCAGCCACAGAACGCTCAGTGCTCTTCGACAATGTCGACCTACCTCAGTACATTCTCGTCACAGGCGGCCTGGGCTTCATTGGATCACATACCGCGGCTGAGCTTCTCAAGTCCGGATACAATGTGTTGATTGTCGACAATTGCATGAACTCACATCGACGCGTCTTTGACCGGATAGTTCAGATCGCAGACAACCACTATGCCGACTCACCACAAAAAAGACCAGATGTCAAGCTGTTCGATATCAGCTACCAGGACATTCCGGCAATGCAGAACCTTCTGGACCAATACACCAGCTGGTCATTGTCCGGAGATCGGCAGAGCTCGATCATCGGCGTTATCCATTTTGCTGCCCTCAAGGCCGTAGAGGAGAGCATCCGCATGCCTCTGAAGTACTACCGCAACAACATCAACGGTCTGATCGACTTCCTCAGCCTGCTGGACGAGTACAACGTCAAGAAGTTCATCTTCTCGTCATCGGCCACCGTATACGGCACTGTTGCTGACCGAGGTCTGCCTGTCCGCGAAGAGAGCTGTGTACACAAGCCCACGTTGTACCAGGACAAGGACTCGGAGCAGTTGGCCGAGCAAGGTTGCACAGGCCTCACCAATCCTTACGGTCGCACAAAGTTCTTTGGCGAGGCTATCCTTGCCGATCTCGCAGCGTCAGATCCATCTTGGACAATCCTGGCCCTGCGGTACTTCAACCCTATCGGCTGTGACGAGTCTGGTCTCATTGGCGAGGATCCAAAAGGCGTCCCATCGAATCTTCTGCCGGTCGTGACGAAGGTCATGACTGGCGAGTATGCTGAGCTCAAGGTCTTCGGCGATGACTGGAACACGCCCGACGGCACAGCTATCAGAGACTTCATCCACGTCACTGATCTGGCACGAGGACACATCGCCGCCCTCTCAACGGCTCAGGGCGAGTGCCTGAAGGAGAACTTCCGCACGTTCAACCTCGGTACAGGCACTGGCTATTCTGTCGAGCAAGTCGCCTCAACCATGGAGACAGTCTCAGGCCGTCCAGTCAACCGACGAAAGGTCGAGCGTCGTGCGGGCGATGTCGGCACATGTGTCGCTGTCGCTGATCGTGCTCGGGTAGAGCTCGGTTGGGAAACTCAGAAGTCGCTGAACGATGCATGCCGCGACATCTGCAACTTCCTTGAGCTCAACAAATCGTGACGACCCCTTTGCAGCCATTCATCTCATTGTTAGGAGTTTCGGAGGAACAAGCGGCATAGCTTTCGGTGCTGGGGAAAAGAAAAGGTTCGATACCCAAGTCAGTATCGAACGACTCAGAACCAGTCTGAGATGATCCTATCCGGATCTGCATTCGATAGACTATTAATTGCTAATAAATTAAAGTCGATGCATATCAAAATCTGCGGAGTTTTGCTGTCGTGTTTTACACGTGTACGCCGTCGACTGAAGTTGTGTTGACAGCTGTCTGCTACCTCGTGTCGATTGCTGGGCACTTGGCGTCGCCGCCGCCAAGTCTTGAGGTTAAGGTAAAGTGCTGATTTTCTATTACAGCAGCCATGATCAGTGAGGAAAGGATAAAGAAGCCTTTCATTGGTTTGGCTTATCTCATGTTCGCATCCACCGCGATTTTGCACATGACTGACACCAACTTACCACGCCGTCGAGTTGCAGCACGAAGAAATCGACGTTGACTTAAGGTGCTGATCGTTCAGAGCAGCGACAGCCGCCGGCAACAACACGGACCCGGCGGCCTCCATGGTTTTTGGTTACCCCAAGGATCGAACCATTCGCGTCTTCCCACGCGATCGCGGAGCGGCGACGCGGGTTGGCCACTCTGATGGGTCGCCGCAGCCAAGTTTTGACGTCGATTCAAGGTGCTGATCATGCACATGGCGACCACGATCAGCGAACACGCCAGATCTCAAGATCTCGTATGGTTTTGTAACGTCTTGAGGGTCGGATCCCGCCCGCTTGCTCGCCGCACATTACGAAGGACGTCGTCAACTCAACACGTTATTGGCTCGTTGCGCCGAATATTGATGTTGAGATAAGGTGCTGATGATCGTGTCAAACGGCGACCACACGTCAAACCCATGCCAGATTTCATAACCTTGCATGAGCGCTTTGGGATGACATTGTTCGCATCTTGCTACGCGAGTGTAGGCATGATGAAGCGGAAGTGATGAAGTCACTCGACTAACTAGAAGGAATTCGGAGCTCAGCGAGCTGTACATAAAGGTCACGTGACTTATGGTCGCCTCGTAAGATTTCTGGGGGTTGAGGGAGCACATCAACCAGCACAATACAGCACGCAACTACGAATTGATCTACTTCCACACTTCTTGTTCCGCCCGCTGACAAACCTTACGTATCTCTCCGCTCGAACTGAAAGCCACCATCGCCAATACCCACAACATCGTCGACCCGCCCCTTCAGGTCGTCCTCTCCCATCAAGCCCTTCCACCCTTTCTCGATCAGATACCCCCTAAATCTCTCGTCCTCGATCGCCAAATCATCGCCCGTCAGATTCGGCACAAAGAACCACGTGACCACCATCCCTACGACGCCTACTATTGCAGCGATAATGAACGTCCACTTAAGCCCCAGATTATTCTGTATCGGCAGGAACACTTGTGTCCCAACAGCAGCCCCAGTCTTTCCCATCGCAGCGGATATGCCGTAGCAAGTTCCTCGCACTGCGGTGGCGTAGCTCTCGCTCGCGACCAGGCCGACCATGTTTCCCGGCCCGAAATTCCCCATCGTGAGCAACAACCCATACAGCACGACAAACAGCGGCGTGATCTTCGAGATCCGGTCGTATAGCAGACCAATGATCAGGCCGAAGACCAAGTAGCCGCCGAAGCCGATCAGCATAATCGTCTTGCGACTGAGGAGGCCGACGCAGAAGGCACCGATGATCACTCCCGGGAGACCGAGTGCGCCGAGTAAGAGCTGCCACTCCGCTGTTCCCTTGATGTCGCCCTTGGGAACAATATTCGCGATGATGCCCCCACTGAACACCGCGTTGGGTATTGTGACGAAGTCGAAGAGGAACCATGCGCCGCAGGTGCCGATTAGGCTTTTCCAGTAGTACCGCAACACGAGTGCGTACGGGGTGACTTGTTTCCGAATAGCGCCCCGGCGGTAGAGGGCCGAGTTGAGCATTTTGACGCGCCAGTAGAAGATGGAAACGGGAAAGATGATGCCAATGCCGAAGCAGACGCGCCAGATGGTGGAGGGGTGGGTGCTGCCGGCGGCGGACAAGACGATGAGGAAGATGGAGGAGGCGAGCGGGACGCCGAAGGTCAGGGGGAGGTTGGTCACGAGGATGAAGATCGTGCCGCGGGATTTGAGGGCATACGCGTTGGCAGATTCGGAGGCGGAGGTTGAGGAGGCGGGGTCTATGGTTGAAGAAGTGGTGTTAGTGGGGAGTATGGAAATGAGGTGTTTCTTGTTGGGAACAGGGAAGGACGGAGGTGTCATTGTGCGGCCGATCATGGATAGTGAAGACTTACATTCGCCGCCAGTCCCATAACCTGTCACACCGCGTCCAATGGTCAACATCCAAAACATGCCACCAATGGTCACACCGTGGGCGGCGGTGCAAATGATCAGTCCAACGATGATCATGCTGCTCGTGAGAATAATGGCAGTTTTCCGGCCAAGATAATCGCACGTGAGACCGATGGTGATCTGCCCGATGATCTCTCCGACCAACAGGGCATTCGACACCCTCGTGCTGACATCCGACGTGTACTCCCTGGCATATTCTTGCCGGAGAACCACATTGATCAGCGTCATAAGACTGTTTGCATAGCCGTCTGAGATCAGCGCACAGCCGGCGCATAGGATGGTAAACAGGTCGGACAGACGTTGGCGGCGTGAGGACACACGTCGAGAGGGAGCGGTAGGATCATCCTCCGGGATGTCGTTGCTGTCGCGAGTGTCAAGAACATGCTTGCCGTCAACGATCTCAAGTGAGTTGGCACCAAGGGCGTGGGTGTCTGCGGCGGTGGGCATGTCGGGTGGACTGTTATCAGAGGAGGCCCCAAGTAGAGGCTCGCTGGACTCTGACATGGTGGGCGACTCCAACGGCCCTGGGGTGCAGACATATATTTCGTCAGAGTGAGCGGCATCACACATGTGGTTCGAGGTTAGTACTCGACTCCGCGGTGTTGGTTCGCTGCACTGACGATCCCAAACTTTAAAGTAGAGTCTTGGACGTCATTTCTGTGCCGTCCTTCTGTTAGGGTTGTGATGGTTCCTTTACTGTACCTCATTGGCAGCAGTCTCTGAAGAGGGATAGAGGCAGGTTCTGTCTGGATCGTTGGACTGGCATGTTTGTTATCCTCGAAACGGTGCTTTGGTTGTTTCATTAGGTTTAGATCTGATCTCGCTGGGTCCGGGGAGACTTTTGCGTGCGAAGCTTTATGCCAGGATACGTTGTGGACGGTTGTCTGGAAAAGGCTCGTGTGCCTGCTTTACCCTTGGCATTGAGCATAGCTGGAGATGAACACTACGCTTTCAGTAAGAGTGCTTGGGATTGAGTATGACTGTCGATGGATGAACGTGACGTGTGACTTTCGATTTGGGGTCACGGAGAGACGTGAGTTGTCATCCGGCTTGGGTTACGGACCCGTCGTCAGTCTGATCAACCTGCCAGTCGTCTTGAAAATGTCATTTCGTGCTGTGAAGAAGGTCCTGATGAAGTGGGCATACTGCTTACGCTCTTGTCCAACTCTTCCAACGAAAGCCGACCTTCAGTCTGTCTTCCACCGGACCTACTACCCGAGACACGTACAACTGGCGATCATGTCAAGCGTGCTCTTTTCGACCTCTACTCGGCCCACACAGCGGCTTTGTGCAGACACTTTATGTCGCAGCCTCCCCTCAGTCAAAGCGCCAGGGACCCGGAGACCCTCATTGGGTGCGTGCAACGGACAACTCGTACTAGGAGCAGAGGCTTATGTCGGGTTAGGTAGGTCTGCGAGGTTTGAGAACGATGGATGGGGTAGACTTCAGGTGGAAAGATTTTGATGATGGTTGATGGTCATCTGATTTGATGGGTTGATGGTATGATGGATATAGGACCGAGTGCAGAAGCAATTGTTGCCTCGAGAAGAATAAATATTGCGGCGCCGCTCCTGCCTCCTCATCCAACGGAAGGTTGGAAGGCGCCAGACGCGTCGAATGACTCGTCACTGCCAGTATGTTCAGAGCCAGGTCTCTGGCAGGAGCGTCCTGCCTAGCGGCCACTCTTGCTTTCAGCACGCTTCGAATCAACATTTCGCCATTACGGCTATATCCACGCAGCCCACACTGTCCAGACACCCATATCGCACCCCTCTCCCTCCGTGCCCAGCTATTCACTCACAATCGACTCCGCCCTCCATCGAGTAGATATGACTGACCCAGCTTTATTTGTTGCACCGCCTCCTTCACCATCCCCTCAACGATGTCCTTCGCGGGCTTGATTTCCCCAATAACAGCCGCAACCTGCCCCATCAAAAACGGCATATCCACATCCTCAACATCATTCTCAATATCCGCCATCATAGGAACGACACCCTTATCCGTCAACTCTTTGATTTTCGCCGGCTGAGCCTCCCACTTCTTGATATAGTCATTTGCCTTGACCCGCAGCGGCCGCCCTGAGACGACGAGTGTTCGTAAAGTATCGGTGAAGTCAGCGCTCACAACGCCCTCCTTGTGCTGCTGCGAGCACCCGGCTTCAGTGCTCGCGACGAAGCGCGTGCCAACCCAGACGCCGACGGCGCCTTGCATCAGTGATGAGGCGAGGCTGCGGCCGTCGTTAATGCCGCCTGCTGCTACGACGAGGGCGGGCTCGCCTGTCAGGGGGGATTTGTATTTGCGGGCGACGTCGCACACGGCGGGGATGAGGATGCTGTTAGCGATGTCGCCTGTATGCCCTCCACCCTCACCGCCTTGGGCGCAGACGATGTCGACGCCGGCTTTCAGGGCTTTTTCGGCGTGTTTGGGCGCGCCGACCATGTTCATTACGTAGATGCCTGCTTCGTGGAGGCGCTTAATCACATGTGGAGGTGGGACGCCGACGGCGGAAATGAAGATTTTTGCGCCGGAGTTTATGGTCACGGTGATGAGGTCGTCGAGCTGGCCGTGGGTGTAGTCATGGTTTGTCTTGCGGGCGGAGCCGCCGACTTGCGGGAGGGCCAGGTCGACGCCGAAGGGGGCGTTCTTGTCGTCGAGGTTGGACTTGAGTTCGTCGATGATCTGTGGTCTGTATGTTAGCGGTCACGGCCACAGACGGCGCGGAGGGTGTGCGGAGATATGAGGCCATGTACTTCTTGTAGCTGCTTAGGTGTATATCCCAAACCTCCAATTGTGCCGATGCCGCCGGCGTTCGTGACTGCGGCAGCAAGGGGCCCGCCAGATGTTCGTGCCATGCCGGCCAGCATGATGGGGTATTTGATGCCGAGCAGCTTGCATAGTGGCGTGTTGAGGGCGGGTGGTGATGACATGGCTGCGGCTGTCTGGGAGTGTTCTATGTATGTGGTAGTAGGTGTTACGAGTCAAGATGCGCTGTGAGGACGGTACCAAGCGTAGGGAAGTACGTAGCAATGGGTTGTTGTTGTTCCAAACCTGTGGGGAAGATACTCGATTGTTTTATCTGACTGATTTGTTAACCGAGGCCAGATGCCTCGGTATCGCTACCCAAGCGATGTACTCAGGGTGGGAGTGCGCTGACTCGCCGGTGCAGCTATCATCGCGTGTCTTGTGTCATTGTACTGATGAGACATGCAATGGCAACGAACTCATCGACACATCGACAAAGGATGGTTAGTGTGAGGTCCGAGAGTTGAAGGACGATCAAGGAAAGAAGAGAGATTTTGGGTGGGGGGCTTCCCTGCCAAGACTCCGCTCGCGGTTCGACTGGGAAGGCGCATCGAGGGGAAGGAGCACCTGGCCATCTGTCGTTGGTGCAAAGCGTCGATCCAGATCGGGAGCGAGCACGATGGTATCGTGTGACGGGACATCTTCAGAGCGACAAAGCTCATCACCACGGAGCCTGCACTGCAGTGGTGGCGGCTGGCCAGCGGGTCACAAGCGTAAATATAATCATCTGATTCATCGGCATAGTTTGGCTCACAACGCAGTGACCGATCACGACAGGGACTCAAGCAGAGTCAAGAAAGTCTCGATTGTGGTATCATTTGATGTGTTTCGAGGACCGCGTCAATGCTTACTTCCAACACCATTGGTGATGTTGGGAGCGTTTGCCATCACTCCCTTCGAGGCAAGCTCGGGAGGAGGAACCGGCCCAAAGACTGGCGGTTCAGGTTGCTTAGCCTGCGTATTGCTCATGGACTGCTGTTGCTGCTGAGCCAGCAGCTCGGCCTCATGCGCAGCAAGCTCGTCTTCATCTTCATCATACTCCAGGTCATCATCCACATCATCCATGTACTCGCTTTCTGATTCCTCGTCATCGTCGTGTAGCTGTTGGGAGTCCGGCGGGAGCGAGCGGCCTTGCTCTTGCATACTCTTGATGATATTCCGCATTTTCATGTCTTGTCGGCGTAATTGTTGGATTTCTTCTTTGTCCTGGCCTCGTTCCTCCGCCATTTCGAGAATGTTTCGGTCTTTCTGGTCTTGCTTCCTGGTCAAAGTCTGATTTTCCTTCTCCAGTCGTTTGGTCTTCTTGGACATCTCCTCCATTTCTTTGCGGAAAGTGAGGAAGAGCTCGTTGCTGTTGTTGAGGGTGTCTTCGACCTGCTGTTGAGTGAGTAATCTATGCTTCAGCATGTATCTTCGAAAGTGGCGGGAGGAGAAAGGGAGGGGAAGGCTTACCTGTTTGAACTTTTCGACGTAGATGTTGAGCTGGGAGCGGAGCTCGGCCTCAGTGTGGGAGAAGGTGTTAACTTGGTTGGTGAGGGTCCGACAGCGGGCGGCCTCCGCGTCAGCTCTGCGGCGTTCGACCTCGAGTTTAGCGCCGACGTGGGAGATCTCGGCGTCTCGGTGGCGGAGAATTGTCTTGAAGTGCATCTCGCGGAGCTCGGCTTGGTCGAAGAGGACTTTGAGGCGGTTCTTGAGTCTGGGGGTTGTTAGTGGCTGAAGATGGGCCGCATAAGAGGGACGTACACTTGATCCACGGTCAGATGCAGATTCTCCGGATGCGTCGTGCCCTTTGAGTTCATCACCTCCTGTACATCGTAAAGCATCGAATCCAGCCGCTCGTTAATCGTCTCCCTCGCCGCCTTCTCGGATACCTCGAGCCGCTTGTTCTCGTCCTTCATCTTCTTGTTTTCCTTTGTGAGTTCCCGACACAACTTCTCCAGCTTGTCCTTCATGGTAGCAGTCTTGTTCCCCTCGGACTTTGACTTATCGAGCTCCTTCTGCTGCTGATCTGATTTCTTCTTGATCTTCGCAAACTCCCGCTCCGTCTTCTTCATATCGGCCAACAACTCTTCATACTTTTTCTGAACCATATCGCTCCTCTGCATGGGTTCCTTGACAGTATTCAGTAGTTCATTGAGATCTCGGGTGGCTTTCTTGACCTCGCGATCGACTTCGGCCTGCTGGGTCTTTTCTCCGGCTCGCTCCTGCTCCAGTTGGGAGAGTCGCGCTTGCACCAGCTTTGCATTTTCCTCCGCACTTGGCTCCTTCTTCTTGGCTTTGGCTTTTCGGGCGGCAGTGGCGGCCGGCGGAGGGAGGTCGTGTGAGTCTGAAGTTGGTATATTTTGGGCGGCGGCAGTCGCCATGTTGCTAGAGTGGTGGTGACACGACAGTCGCTATCCGCTTGTGCATGGCATGTATGACTCCAAGCTCCGGCTGTGTAGTTGCGGCCGTCGATATGCTGATTGTAGCTCTTTGCGGCTGAGGCAAGCGTCTTTTGTAATGGGCGAAATCTTCGTCGAACTTGTCGCGATTTGGCTGGGAAAGGAGTGCTTGTGTCCAATGTGTTGTCAAACGCTACGCAGGTCGATACCGAACGCTTTAGAATACTCTGCAGCGACGGTGTGGTGGAATAGCGAAGCAAGACAGGGCTAGATGTCGGGATCAAAGACGGCGTCAGAGAAGCACTCCGCGCCAAGGATCTATCTCGGCCGTTTTATCCATTTCGTCAACGCCTCTTCAGTCATCATCATTCTGGCCTTACATTGCAACTCATCAACTCGAACACAGACACGCAGCGGCTGTAGCATCTTTGGACGATCCTGGACGACACATACAGTGCTCTCTGCCATCAGCACAACATCCTGCCAGGTTGAATCGCAGTCGAAGTTACGCCATATCCAAATATACATTGCGCACGCGAGCTCGCCTTATAAGTCGCCGAGAAGGGCATGTTGAGGCATGGCGGGAGGCGGAGCTATCAAAAGACTCTATATGGACTCGCGACAGCGGATAGAGGGCGTACCGCGGCGTCCAGACGGCGGTATGCTTCGGTAGCAGAAGGCTTGAGGCCGGGCCAGCAGCTGCATGGCTTTACTCTACAAGATATCAAGCATGTGCCTGAGTTGCATCTGACGGCGTTCAAGCTTGAACATGACAAGACCGGTGCCCAATATCTACACGTCGACAGAGACGACAAGAACAATGTCTTCGCCGTCAACTTCAAGACAAACCCAATTGATAGGACCGGCCTGCCACACATCCTGGAGCACGTCACATTATGTGGCAGCGAGAAGTACCCTGTTCGAGATCCCTTCTTCAAGATGATGCCGCGCTCGCTCGCCAACTTCATGAATGCCTTCACGTCATCCGATTACACCTCATATCCTTTTGCCACCACAAATGCAAAGGACTACCGCAATCTGTCCGAAGTCTACCTGGACGCCACATTCCGCCCGTTACTTAAGCGTACCGATTTCCTCCAGGAAGGATGGCGACTTGGACCAGAGGATCCTCGTGCTAAGGCCACCGCAGACAACGTCATCTTCAAGGGCGTCGTGTACAACGAGATGAAGGGACAGATGTCCGACGCCAGCTACTTGTTCTACGTCCGCTTTCGAGAACACCTCTTCCCTTCTCTGGAAAACTCCGGCGGTGATCCAGAGAAGATGACCGATCTCAGCTACGAGAGTCTCGTCAAGTTCTCCCGACAGAACTATCATCCGAGTAATGCAAAGCTCTTCTCATACGGCAACTTCCCGCTAGCGCCGCGACTGGAGACCGCAGATGGCGTACTCTCAAAGTTCGACAAAAGGCAAGCCACCCAAGAGGTCAAGCCACCCATCGATCTGAGCCAAGGCCCTCTTCATTTCAAGACTGTCGGTCCGTTGGACTCTATGCAGCCTACCGATCGTCAAGTCAAAGCCTCGATCACGTGGCTTGGCTGTGAACCTGCCGACATCGTCGAGTCGTTCGCCATCAGCATCATGTCCTCACTGTTGATGAATGGCTATGGCTCGCCACTGTATCAAGGTCTGATCGAGTCTGGTCTGGGCACGAACTTCAGCCCAAATACTGGCTATGATTCGGCCGCCAAAGTTGGCACTCTGACTATCGGACTCGACGGTATGAGCGCAGAAGACGCCTCGAGCTTGAAGGATCGCATTCAGACGACACTCCGAGAAAAGGCTCATGAAGCCTTTGCGCCTCACAAGATCGAGGGCTATATGCATCAACTGGAGCTTGCTCTCAAACACAAAACCGCTGGCTTTGGCATGAGCTTGCTTGAGAAGACTGTCCCAAGTTGGTTCAACGGCGTCGACCCCTTCAAATCTTTGACCTGGAATGAAGTGGTCGACTCTTTTAAGCAGAGGCTACAGCAGGAAGGCTACCTGTATAGCCTCGTCGAGAAATACTTGTTAAATGACAAGTGTATGTCTTTCATGATGGCTCCGCAAGAAACATACAACGCAGATCTAATTGCCCGCGAAGAGCTTCGCAGGCAGAGCATTCTACAGGAACTGGTGTTTGATTCCAGTAATCCAGAAGCAGCATTGTTGAAACTTGGACAACAGGAGCTTAAGCTTCTGAACGAACAAGAGACTGCTCAATCCAGCAATATCGAGACACTGCCTACTTTGCGCGTTAGCGATATACCTCGCACCACCGAAAGCAAACCACGATATCACGCCAGTATAGGCAAGGTTGACACACTTTGGCGGGAGACATCCACAAACGGTATTACATACTTCTCGGCAAAGCATGTTCTCCGCAACGTAGCAGACGAGCTACGACTGCTGTTTCCACTCTTCAGCGAATCTCTGATGAGACTCGGTACAAAGCACAAATCGGTTGGAGACATCGAAGCGGAAATCCTGCTTCGCACAGGAGGCATCTCGATATCACCCTTCGCCAGTCCAGACCCCCACGAGGACGATCTGGTCCATGAAGGCTTCTCACTCGATGGCTATGCTCTCGATCACAATGTGCCTGCAATGTTCGACCTCATGCGAAGCGTGCTCCTGGAGGTGGACTTCGATAGCCCGACGGCCAAGAAAGCCATTCAGGAACTGCTGGAGTCCAAAACTTCGGGAGCGCTTGACGGCGTGGCCGAGTCTGGCAACTCCTTTGCCGTAACAAGTGCCGCATCAGCATTGTCACGGCGTGGCATCTTGCAAGATCAGCTCTCCGGTCTGACTCAGATCGAAGCCACTGCCCAAATGCTTGAGCAGTCACGAGCTGATCCGGCCTCACTTGAGACAGTTATCGACAAGCTCAAGAAGATCCAATCCATTGCCATATCGAACACGGCCGACCTCAGTCTACGCGTCGTTTGCGAACCAACAGCAGTGTCTGTGAATACTCGACACATCGAGAGCTTCCTATCTCAGCTGCCCTCGTCGCCTTTGCCGCTATCATCTATCGTCGGCTCGAACACATTCCTGTCGAGACGAGCATTCTTTGACCTTCCATTTCAAGTCTCATATGCTGGAACATGTCTCAAGACCGTCCCGTATTCATCACCAGATAAGGCGCCCCTCATGATACTTGGTCAGCTCTTGACGCACAACTTCATGCATCCAGAAATACGCGAGAAAGGCGGTGCCTACGGCGGCTCTGCTTCAGCAAGTCCCATCAGCTCACTCTTCACCATGTCCTCCTACCGCGACCCGAACCCTCGGAACACACTTAGTGTCTTCGAGCGTGCTGGCTCGTATGCTCGAGACAAGGCCTGGACATCTCGTGAGCTCGAAGAGAGCAAGCTGGGTCTCTTTCAACACATCGACGCACCCACGAGTGTGAGTGGTGATGGCAGCAAGGAGTTCGTGTTCGGCATCACTGAAGAAATGGAACAACGGACTCGAGAGCGGTTACTGGATACCACAAAGGACGATATACAGCGAGTTGCCCAACAGTATCTTGTGGATCTGCCAGCTGATCAACGCTCGATTTGTCTACTGGGCGAACAGAAGGAGTGGATCGGTCAAGATCCGAAGCCGTGGCAAGTTCGGCATCTGAGGATGGCTGCTGACGACGCTGACGACGCCGACGAGGGCGTCTCTGTTTGAGGCCTCGAGCGAGATCGGTTCCGGACCAGTGTTTCACCACCATTCCTCGTCACGATGAAAGTTGTATAACACCACCCAGCTTCAACATGATACCCACCATTGAATAGATTTGTCCTTCACCCAAAGTCTTGCCTTCCTCTTGCATTTTCATGCAGCACTTCCACTCCATTCCTTCCATTCACCACTACGATCAGCAAGCAACAGCGCGACTGGAACAGAACCACGTCTGAGATCTCACTGTCTTCCATAACCTCAGATCACAAGTCAACCCCGCGCAAGAACAAGCGGCTGTCGTGACTGCCCTGGTATCACAAACCTGGCTCTCTTTTGAGTGTGCAGTGTTCGTGGTGTCGGCGGGAACGACGAGCTGATGACTACACACCTATTTCAGACCTGCGGTGCATCCGAGATTGGTGGGATTGCGGGCTAGAGGTGTGCGTACATTTCCCGGATTCTCGTGAGCGCTGATAACTAATGAGGCGATGGGCGCTTACCACGATGCGAAAGCGGCCGTGGTCGAGGGAGGATATTAGGTGAGTGCAATGCCTTGCTTGAGCTCCTGCTGTCAAGTGTTCTCCGGTAGGTCCAATCTCGCGCTTCATCCCATCTGAACGCACCGTCTGCACCGCTCGCCTTTCCTGCCACTTCCCATACTCATTTCACGCCGCGGAACCTGATCCGCCGCTGCACGTCTTCAACTTCGGACAACGAAGGCCCGTCACAACTTCGAAGACCCTGAATTGTCCTTGCACTTCTCGCAGTTGCATCTACCGAAATCCTGCTGCCTAGTTTTCTTCGCCTTTTCCTTTGTCTCCCAGAGATCTAGACTCGCCGTCGTCCTGCACGTCTCGTCGTTGCCCTTCTTGGACCCTGAATCCGTCGTGCAGTCCTCGTCAGCGTCGAAATTTCTTTGTTTGGACCCTGCGATGGACAGGCCTGGCCGTTGGCGTGAGTCATTGAGGATAGTGGGGCGGACTGATCGGGCGGAGCGGAATGGGGTGGCGAAGAAGGATAAGTACGTGGCTTGCCCTCGCTCGTCAGGCTCAATCCTGGCCATCATCAATCACTTTCCTTTGTCGTCATGGGTATGGATCTTTGGTCTTCTACCTTGGTCATGGGTCATGGGTCATGGTATTGTGCTATGGTCCATGGGCTTTGGTCCTTTGCCATATGCTTTATGCCTTATGCCTTATAGCTCTTACCTTATGCCTTGGTCTCGGGCCTCTTGTATTCTTTCTGACTTACGAGTCTTCTTCATGCTCGCTCTATCCCATCGGGACGATGAAGGCTTTCTGACTCACGAGTCTTCTTCATGCTCGCTCTATCCCATCGGGACTATGAAGGTCAGCAGATAGGCACGCGGGTGTGGAAAAGTTTTCCACTTCTCTATCAATGCTTGCTAGCATACGTACGGGGCTGCCGTCTCTGGACTCCTCACTCCACCTCTCCGACGCGTCTGCTCCAAAATCTCCATGGATGCGTACAGGAGCCTTTTGAATCGTCGCCACAAGTCAGGGCATCAAGCTGTTCACGCTTGCTATTGTCGGGTGTGATGAGTAAGGGAACTATCACGCGCAACATCTGTCCTACTGCTGACGAGAGTAACCCACGTCGGTGCTCTTTGCGCCGCCCTATCCATACGACTTCTGCGCCTCCGACTTCTTCACCAAGGTCAGGAACCAGCTTCGCCGTCACGTTATGAGATATCTATCTTTGAAGGTCACAAACGGCTGCCTGGTCCTGGTCTACCAGACCCATGCACGGATACGATCATGGAGCATCTCTACGCCGGCTTCCGGCTTCGTCTGTTGCGCTTCTATTCATATCTTTCAATCCTCCTGTTCGATACGGCTGCCGCACTGTCTGGAGAAATGCGGCACGACTTGCTGCTGCGAAAGGCTTTTTTGCAGCCAATTCACGGTTTCCGTGTCCCGAAATCATCACCAGAATACGCACGTCGATGTTGCATTTGCAACGTTTGTCCGGTCGTGGTGGCGCCATGGGCTACAAACACCTCTTTCCGCACGGGCCTACTACGCTGCGTGATTTTTACGCAGGCTGCGGCGCTGTCTCCTGAGACTTCGGGAGCGAGGTACGCCAATGATCAGTTGAAGTACTTCACCGCTGGCTTGGTGCTTGGGTCGAAAGAATACAGACTACGCGAATCACACGTCCGGCGCCTCTTGTGTCGATTGTAAGGTCAATCCAGTTTGGGAGCAGCATACAGTGCTGTTAACGACCGGAACCGACTTCCATTCATGCATCCTACCAGGTAGCCAGCCCAAATCCGATCCTTCTACACGAATTGATGCAAGAACAACGACAAACTCTCTCACGGCTGGGTCACCTCTTTCTGGTATCGACGTGTCGCTACGGGTCTGGACATGTCACACAAGCAATACTTGGATCGACATGCATCTGGAGCAGAGCTGCTGAAGAGCTGCTTAGTTCATCGATACGCGGGCTGCCTGGCCTTCTCTCTACCACTTCTGGGCTGCGGCTATGCACGCTCTCACTCCATCGTCGGCTTGGTGCTTGGGCCGTCCGTACCTGAGATCCACGCCTCTTCCCGTCGACAACGTCTTCGCAACGATTACGCGTCTTGCTGCCTCGACTTATGCAGCTTCGTCAACCATAGAGCCGTCCCATACTCGTTCCTCTAAGGCTCTGGACATATCTGATGTGCATTATTTTTAGACAAGACGCTGGTGCGAAGCTGGTTACCAGTCATGGGTCAACACACGAGGCTGACTCACCTTGGAAAAAAGAGCATTACGTTCTGGTTGCCATATCGTGCGGAGTGCGAGGCACGACCTGCTGCGACAACAGATCAGCAGGCTACTTTGTATGTCAAGCGCTTCACTCGCGTCCTGTCTGCTCGTTCCGCTCTGAGTGACAACACTGCGAGCGCTTGTGTGAATACACTTCTGATGCGGACCTGCGCACGAAACGCAAGTTCGGGTACGCGGGCTGCGTCGCCTTGGTCGATGTATGCCCGCCATGGCTGTCTTTCTGTGCGGACTTGGCTGGCATTGGCCTTACTACGAGAACCATTCAGAAGCTTGCGTATGCGCCTGCGCCTTCGCTCCTCGTCCCGCTCCAGTCATCAGCATGTTCCACGAACATCATTCTGCTCAATGCACGCCTGGTGCGGAGCTGCGACTCGTTTCAAGTTTATCACGCGAGCTGCTTCGCATTGATAGAAGTGTACCCGTCATAGCTGGCAAACCTAGCGGAAAAGCTTGCACGACTTGCTGCGGCAACATGCGTAGTTCCACTATCCAGTACAGCGCACGCCTCCCGTCCGCTCGGGGTGCGGACATATGAGCATGGCTTGCATCTACCGGGGTCCATCAGTCTAGCATGGTTGACCGTCTCCCTTGCTCGGTGTCATCATACCTCTTCTCGTCACGTTGCGACGTCGACAATCAACTCTACTACCGGTGGTCTCTCGGTGTCGTCATGGCTGAGCCCTCAGCCAGCAAAGTGGAACTTACCTGGTTTGGAGCTTCAACATCGCATGTCAAGCCTGCGCGGGCTCTCTCACCGTGGTCGATTCGTACCAATCATGCTGCCTATACGTCTACAACGACATTTGCAACGACTTGCTGCGCCGACAGATCAGCTTTGGCGAAAACACCTCGTCCCTGGGCTCGTCGCTCTGCTCGGGTCCTGCATAGGCGGTAGACGCATGGACGTGATGACTGCACACCTGGTTCGGAGCTGCTCATCAGACCCAAGCAGTCCACGCGGGCTGCCTCGCCTGGTTCAGTCCTGGGCCGTCATGGCTGCCGGTGGAGATCACAAAGGTCGCACGATTTGCTGCGACAACGGACCAGCTTCGTTATGCGGCCCTCCTTTCGTTTCTTCGACACGCTCCGGGTCTGGACGTGTTGTACAAGCATCAATTCGACGACGATACACCTGAGCAGAAAATGGCTACCATGCAACAGCCCCACCTCACGCGGGCTGCTTCGGCTAATCCAATCATGGGCGGTCGCGGTTGCCGGTCCATCCTTACGAAGATGGGACGACTTGCTGCAGCAACAGGTCAGCTTGTACGTACGCTTTGTTGCTTGGCTTGGCGTGACGCTCGGTGCTGGACAAAGGTACAAGCATCATTTGCTTACATATACACCTGGTCTGAAGCTGGTCATCCAGAGTCAAGATCACGTCCCGCGGGCTGCTTCGCCCGAATCAATCTTGGTTAGTCACGGCTGGCGGTGCGTCCTGCACCGTGTGGCACGACTTGCTGCGACAACGGCCAGATTTCGTACGCTGTGCCGCTTGGCATCTCGTTCCGGCTCGGGCCTGAGTGTGGTGTACAAGCGCTGTTCGCGTTCCTGCTCATCTCGAGCGGAAGCATCTTTCAAATCAATGACACGAGGGATACCGCGCCTGGTTCAATTTTGATAATCGTAACTAACGACCGGCCCAGGATACGCGGCACGACTTGCTAGCTGTGAGTATACGCCCGTATCCTTACCGGGCTCCTCGTGCCCCTTCGGTTCTCAATATGCTGTACAAGCAATGCTTGCGAGCATGATCGATCCCGCACGGAGTCTACTCAAACAGCACTGGCCAGTAAGACAAGGTTCCTTCACATGCTTAGCACGCTCGAATTAGGCGAGAACGCATGTCAGATCTTGGAACGAGCTGCAATATACAGTCTACGGTTCGTTACCAGTTGTTCCGCCACAGAAATCTCCCGTTCCAAGATTGTTGACCCACGCCGGCTGCCGCGCCTGGTCCAAAATCAGCACCATCAAGACCGACGGTCCGGCCTGGATACGTGGCAGGACTTGCTGCGCCAACAGATCAACTAAATCTTCACCCCTTCCCGCTCCTCGCCGGTGGTGGCTCTGGCCATGCTGTACAAGCATTGATACCATCAGGATATGGCTGGTGCGGAGCTGCACAGTGTGGTTTTGGGCTTACGAGGGCTGCCGCTCGGGTTGGATTTCACGGGCACGGCTGCTGGTTCGTTCTGCTGGGCATGC